GGGTCGATGACCACTATTTTCTCTTCTCACGCTCAACACCTTGAACGAACCCTTCATAGCTTGGTACTCAGTGCAAGAGTGACCGTGGAACCAAGTTTTGCCACACCACTTGCAGAAAGTGTTTCCGCTGGCTTTCTTGGGTACGTTTGCCTTTTCAACTACACGTCTTGATGAAGAACCACCTTTGTTCAGACGACAGTCCTTCTCGTGATGTCTGGCCTGAGAGCCTCCATGGTTTGAGCAGTAGTAACGAGGAGCAGAAGAAGAAGCAGCAGCAGAGGAAGAGAATCCAGATGAACCGGATGAAGAGGACGAAGCACGAGAACCACCATGTCGCTTTGCGTTGACAAACGAAACAGGACACTTTTGACTGTTGAGGACGTTCATGGCACAGGTGACAATCTGACTGGCGGTGAAGTTAGAACACCCAGGGAAGTGAACACCGAGAACAGCGTTGATTTGGATCTGCCATTCATTGGGGAAGCCGAGCAAGAATGTATCGCCAAGAGTGGTATCTTCAGATGAGTAGCCTGCCTCCATCATAGCCCGAGCGAAACGGTTGTAGTACTCCTCCGTAGTTTCTCCAGATCGCATGGTAGCGGTTTGAACTTCACGACGAGCATCCAAGCGTAGAGCAGCATTACTGAACTTGGACGTGAATTTTTCCTTAGCCATGGACCACGACTTTGCTGTCAGCAGGTCTTGATTCAACCAGAGATCAAGGTCGTGTGGAATCGTGAGTGGAATGTATCGCCGCCATACATTTTCGACAGCCTTGCCTGAAGACGAAATTACCTTCTCAAAGGAGCGCAGAAAATGGTGAATCGAATCATAGGAGATTTCGTTGGGAAAGTACTTGGTGGCATGCGAACGAAGTTGGAATTTAGGTAGGTCTTGCTTGGACAATGAGATGCCCTCATTGTCACCAGTGAGTGATGCGGTGACATTAGATTCGGATAGCTTGGCTGAGTGTTTGACAGTGGAGATCAGACGATTCAGGTCCTCAATCTTGGATCGCATATCTTCAATATGCTTTTGACTGTGCTCATTGTTCATATCAGTTCCCTCGACCATGTCCAGCAACAGACGTACAAACGAATCCCGACGCCAGACCAATTTCTTGATGGAATTCAACGTGCTAGAACCAGCAGCAGAGGAGGATGCATTACCTGATGAACATGATGTCGACGCAGACAAATGAGAAGTAACTTGAGATGAGGATTCACCACCATCATTGGGAGCATGGTTAGCCAAAGCAGGAACAGGAGAGGATCGCAATGGCATAGCATCCATCATGGCAATATCCTCTTGATGGTTTGAAGGTTGAGGTTGTTGTCCGACATCAGTACCTTGATCCAAGTGGATGGCCTGGACTTGCTGCCTAGTGTGCTCAATGGTATCGTCACCAGGTTGACGTTGAGCAGGAGAATCTTGAGCAGAGGGGACAGAAGGAGAGCCAGAGTTGTTGGTATTGTCAGACATTGTGATAAGGTTTGTTTAATAAAATATAGTTTGAATATTGTAAAAAATGCAGTGAAATCAGGTTTAATGGATTTCACAAAAAAAATAAAGCAAAGGTAAAATACAATAGAAATCAACTGTATTTTATTTTGTGTATAAAATGAACTGAAGATCCTGGAATTGAGTAAAAAAAAGAAGAGTATTTATACATTTGCATCTGGCTTGTAGGATTAGTGATGATAGAGAGCAATAGGTGCTGCTATTGCGATATCTGGCAAATGTTGTTGATGTTTGATTTAAAGTGGTAGTCAATGCAGGAGCACTGGCCATAAGGGTCGATTTGAGTAACCTTGCTGGGCTTGGGTGAGCTATCGTCATAGCATGATTTAATGTAACCTTGATGGTTTAAAGTATGATGTTTGTTATTGAAGCATGGAATCCTTTATCTGGGATATTGTGCAACTATGGCAGCAGGGCATAGTTGTCATATTTGAATATGCTTGTTATTGATTTAATTCTATTTGGATAAAGATACCATCACCTATTACGACCATCATGGGTGTGATTGAATACACTGTGATCAGGAGTGATTCATTCACACGATGTGCGATATAAGCGTGCATCTTTACTTTAGTATTTTTAAATGGGTTTTTGATGTACATTTGAGCGCTTTCATTAATAGATCCAAATAGCATGAATTTGAATGAGTGCTATTTGATGAACTTTGGTTTTCAATTAAGTTGCGTTTGGGTGGCTATTTCATTACAAACTGAATTCATCACTCCTAATAGGTTGTTCCCCGTGTAAAAGCCAAACCCATTATGCCTCCAAATTGTCCAAAGGCTTCTGATTTTGTTGCAGGATCCGTTAGTAACAATTTTGCGTTCAATCCAAATAGCTATGTACACACTTTTGGTAGCGTTGTAAAATGCTTTGACCAGCAGAATTGACACTGATACTGACTGTTGCTACTTTTAATGCCTCTACAGAGGCTTCCACTGTTCGTTGATGGCAGGCCAGACTATCATCACAGAGTTGAAGATGAATGCCGTATATTCAAATCAATAGTAGCGCTTTACTTGCATTCGTAACGAGCGGTTTAAACCACGGCTCTTCATCTGGCTCAGTTGTTGCTTGGTAATTGCAGTCGACGATTCGAAAATTGGCCAGGAACCACCATTGCCAACAATCTTGGTATGACTTACTTGATAAAGGATGCTGAGTAAACAAGTCTGCTCAACCCAAGATTATTCAAAGTGTCTTCGCGTCACTTCCACAGCACCGCCATTGCAACAACCACTAACCAATGATACGAAAAGAGTAAGGTATCCATCAGATATAATACAGTTAGTGATTCTGTTAAACGGTTCAATATGACTTGTAACTGCCAGCAGGGGCTATATCTTGGAATAATCGAGCGCGGCTTTTCTCTATTCCGCTTTGTTTCTCTTTTGATTTCTCTTTGAATTTCGAATTGAAATTCGCTTTGAAAGTAGCATATTATTATAACGAATTTTTGCGGAGAAGACGATGGTTCAATTGGATTTTAGATAGGATGCGTTAATGATGAGGAATCAGTGATTTTTGAAATTTGCGAAATTTGGACATGTAATGAAATAGCCACCCGAACGCAACTTGATTGAAAATCGGAATTCATCAAATAGCACTCATTCAAACTCATGCTATTTGGATCTATTAATGAAAGCGCTCAAATGTACATCAACAACCATTTAAACATACTAAAGTAAAGATACACGCTTATATCGCACATCGTGTGAATGAATCATTCCTGATCACAGTGTATTCAATCACACCCATGGTGGTCGTAATAAAAGATGTTATCTTTATCCAAATAAAACCAAATCAATAACAAGTATATTCAAATATGACAACTATGCCCTGCTGCCATAGTTGCACAATATCCCAGATAAAGGGTTCCATACTTCAATAACAAACATCACACTTTAAATCATCAAGGCTACATTAAATCATGCTATGACTATAGCTCACCCAAGCCCATCAAGGTTACTTAAATCGACCCTTATGGCCAGTGCTCTTGCATTGATTACCACTTTAAATCAAACATCAACAACATTTGCCAGATATCGCAATAGCAGCACCTATTGCTCTCTATCATCACTAATCCTACAAGCTAGATGCAAATGTATAAATACTCTTCTTTTTTTACTCAATTCCAGGATCTTCAGTCCATTTTATACACAAATAAAATACAGTTGATTTTTATTGTATATTACTATTGCTTTATTTTTTTTTGTGAAATCTATTTAAACCTGATTTCACTGCAATTAGGATAGTTTTAACAGCTGTTGCTCCAACGACACTAAGATAAGACAGTCTACTAGACCTCCAAAACCTTGACCTATACTATACACGATGGACTGTAGCTAAGTTAACTATACCTCCAGAGGTTCTATATTTTATATAATTTTTTTTGAAAATTCATGTTTATGAATATAGTCTATTTTTGAGACTCAAAAACCATCAAATAGCTCGTTTAGCTCAGTTGGTTAGAGCGTGGTGCTAATAACGCCAAGGTCAACAGTTCGACCCTGTTAATGAGCATTTTTTACTCCAAATTTCGAAATGCAGTGCATGTAGCATGTTTGTTTTCTATTTTGATTGTTTTAAGTGCTCAAATGTCATTTTAGTCTTGGTTGTTCTACTTGCCGGGACATTGCTTTTTGTGTTTTAAGCTAGCTGGAAACGACTGATGAGCCAGTTCAAGCGAGATTTAGGTCGTTATCGGGAGGTTGTGCCTACTTTCACAAAGAGGGCAATAAAACGGTTGATTTATCGTTTTAAAGCGTCTCTTTTAACGTGATTTACAGCAAGAGACTTTGATATAATTGCATTGTAAGCGTATCGTGTACATTGTAAGTTATCTATAGTGTATTAGTTAGCATAGATAAGGCTTTAATTTGACATTATATGTTGTAATCGCATAAAAAAAAAAACCGTATATGAATCCGTATACGAATCAATTGCCAACATGCATGAACAACACTTTCTGTTCAGCTATATTAAATCTTGCGACACTTCTATGGTATATTTTGCTCCAGCATTTGTGCTTTTATTGATCGCATCATCAGCAACTGCTAACCTTTAATTGCACAATGATAACCATACCATCAAATTGACTAGCCATATATTGTTTATTTGCTTGAAAAATGGCTGTGCTCGTTCGACACACTTATCATTACTCATTCTCTTTATACAATAGTATACCAACCGTGTGTGAATATACGCTATCATATAAATTATCCAACGCAAGTAGGATCACTTATGACGCCTGCTTCAGTTCAGTGCTATTGTGTACCCCAACAAGGCAAAACATCTTCAGTTAGTTGATGCCAACAGCCATCCGAGCCCCGTGTATTATCAAAGCCATAAAGCATGATATCAGAAATGATCACTATTTACACATCTCGGCCACACATGTACACCATTAGTGATCACTCAAACCTCTCCAGCAAATGTATTGGTATATAAACGTTTATTACAAAAGAAGCTCAACATGTCTATGATTGGGATGTTTCATCCGCCTTTTCCTGTTCTTGTTGCTGTCTATCCAACTTGCGCTTCTTGCGAACTTCAAATTTGCTCTTCTTCAGCTCATCTGTATCACAACGAGGTCTCTGCAGCACTGGCTTATATTTGTTCATTCTCATCTCTTTTCCACCACCCAGGACGATAGTCGCAACACCAGCCGCGCTGACAACGGATCTCGCCTCTGAGAACTCTTCCACAGTCTTTACCGATTGATCAGGCATGATTACAGGGAACTTGGCGACTTTGGAAAGGTAGTTTTGACAGGTCAAGGTACGAATCATCTGTGTTGTCCATTCTTCATTGTAATGCAAATAAGTGCGGTAAGATGACGGCAGGGGATCGTATTCAGAATCACGGAACGAGTATGTCCATTCGAGACCCTTGAATTCGCAATCGTACAATACCAGAGGCAAATCACTGGCCATGGGGAAATCAGGCTTTGAAGGCACCTTTTCAATATCAAGCAAATCACGCACAATTTCAGGAACCTCCAAACCTTGACCAACCAAAAAGAGCACCGACATCATGAATCGAACTTGATGCCATAAAAATGCCGTGCCCTTCAATTCTACCTCGTAAAATTCTGTGCCTTCTCCAACGCCCACTGTTTGCGTATACTGCACTGGGTTGATCTTCATTGACATGATGACTCGCTCGTAGCTCAGCACATTTTTCGATGGATCCATCTTACAGAAATTGCGGAAATCGTGGGGTCCTTCAAAGTAGGTACATGCCTTTCTCATGTTGTCGATATTCATCTTGTTGCGAGGGAAAAAGTATTTGTAGGTACGTCCTGTGCAATGGAAGCGAGCACTAAAGTCGTCTTTGACAGGTGCCCAAGCCAGAACACGGATATCTGGAGGTAGCATGCGATTCAATGTGTCGACGTAGGGGAACTCCTTGTCATTAGGCAGTAGGCCGGGCGATGGGTCAGATTGTAGCTTTTTGGATCGAACATTAAGTGCAATGACTTGGCCTAATCCACTCACACCCTTGTCTGTGCGTCCACAACGGCTGTAATCACTCTCCTCCATGTCCTCGACTAATTTACAGTTGATCAGCGCTTTGAATAGCTTGTCTTCGATGGTAGGAATCTCATCGGGTCGGTTTTGGCTGGCGTATCCACAGTAATCCCATCCAATATAAGCTACTTGCAATGCAATCTTGCGCTTGGTATACTTGTTCATATCGAAGGGTCTATTGTTTCGCTCTCGTTGACGCCTTTTTTTGTGCTTTAGCTCGGATGAATCTGAATCATGTTGTGTGGTTTCTGGATTGTTGATCTGTGCTTCGAGCTTTTCAATGTGCTCCAGTAATTGTTCTCGGGTCAAATCACTGTACTTTGAGCTGGACATGACGAGACGAGTGTGTAGATGTGGTGCAAAGTGAATCGAGGAGAGCACAAATTTATTTCCTCGCAAGTATAAAAAGCCACGCAAAAGCCACTGGAGAGGCTGCCAAAAACCTTGAATTATGCAAATTTCCAAGTTTTTTCCATTGTGTAAACATGGCAACTTTTGAAGAAACAGGCAACGTATTCTGGAAATGGCTTCAGGATAACGGTGCAGCTCTGAGCAAAGATATTGTTATTAAGGATTATCGATCAGAGGGAGCAGGTCGAGGCGTAATTGCGTCAAACGACATTAAGGTATAGATATCCACCTGCCACTTTTATGGACATGTTACGAATTCAAATGCCACTAGGAAGGAGAGTTACTATTCTCGTTGCCAAGATCTATTTTGCTATCACCATTCACTAGCTCATTGAACAAAATTGAAGGACTGAAAGATGATGTGGCAGCACTGAACGGCTGGACGCCACTGATTATCACTTTAATGTACGAAAGTCAAAAGAAAGACTCATTCTGGAAGCCATATTTTGGTAGGCCAATGTCATAAAGTAGCTAAATTCAATATTAACGTCTATTATAGATGTTCTACCTCGCCAATTTTCGACTCCTATGTTCTGGGAAGAGGCTGATTTGAAGGAATTACAAGGAACAGACATTGTTTGTACGTTGCACCTCTTATTGTAAGAAACATCCTTACAAACTAACCACCCACATTAGCCAAGCTTGGCAAGGCTGAAGCTGAAGAAACCTTTGAGAACGAGGTCAAGCCCATCATTGAGGTAAAGAACAACAAATCCAATTCCATACATGTTACTGATCTGAAACAATTAGAAATATCCCAGCCTATTTGACAAGGAGATCCACAATCTCGAGCTATTCCACATTTGTGGTTCTCTCATCATGGCCTACAGTTTCAACGATGAGCTCCAGAAAACAGAAAAGAAGAGCAATGCAGATGAGAAAGAGGACAATGATCAAGAAGAGCAGGAAGAAGAGGAAGAAGAGGAAGAAGAGGAAGAAGAAGAGGAGCAGCAAGTCATCACAATGGTCCCAATGGCAGACATGCTGAATCATAAAACTGGCTTCAATAATGCTCGTTTATTTCACGAGCCAGACAGTTTGCAGATGAAAGCCATCAAAGACATCAAACAAGGTGAGCAAATTTACAATACGTATGGCGATCTTTGCAATGCGGATTTGTTGCGTAAATACGGCTTCACCGATGAAAAAAATGAGTTTGATCTGGTTGAATTGGATGGTCCCTTGATTGTGGAGCACTGCAATGTAGATCAAAAGCAAGATGAAGAGCTCATCGAGAGAAAGGTAGCCCAATACATGATAGATAGGATACACATGCTGATAGACCTGTGAAATGCGTAGATTGATTTTTTGATGGAAGAGGGCGTCTTTGATGAGTAAGTATGATGATAATCCTTTCCACATCATGCCATGCTGATGCCCATCCTATTAGATGCTTTGTCATTGATACAGAACATGAAATCCCATTGGAACTCATTGTTTCTGGTAAGACCTAGTCTATTTGCCTATTATGCCCCATTCTAACACAAACAAGTCCATGTTTTATGCTCAACACCTAGTGAGTTTGAAAAGATGGAAGAGAAGCAGAAGCTGCCCAAGCCTAGACTGACACAAGATGTCAAGCAAATCATATTAAACATCTTAAAAAAGAGACTGTCCAGATATCCAACTACCTTGGAGGTGAGTTTTTAAAGACAAGTCTCCATGTTGAGCAAGCCAAATAACTGACATGTAAATATATAGGAGGATAACCAGGAATTAAAGGACGCCACTGGAAATAAGAGACATGCTTTATTGGTGAGAATGGGTGAGAAAAACATCATTGAATCAACGATCCAGACTCTTTCCGCTGCGCCCGTAGTTGCAGCTGCCTCTACTCCAGACAAGCGATCCTCCAATGCCAAAAATGATCAGGGAAAGAGCAAGAAACAAAAAAGACATTGATAGAATATTCCAACAAAATTAAACATTCCATCTTTTCCCATTTGTTAATAACTTGTCATCAATGCAGAAAAATCTGGACGTCTTGATGTTGAAAGATATCATCCCATTTTCACTTTTTTTTTTTTTTTTTTCTTTTTCTCTTCTCAAGTTTCATCTTGCAGCATTGAAAAGTCCGTCTTTATTGTTGTCCTTGTGGAATGTCAACATTGGCTTTATTCGCCCGCCTCAATGCATCATCATTTTCAATCTATTTGTTTATCTGTTTGTGTGCAATCTTCATTGGAGCAGCAAACAAAAAAGAAATGAACGCATGCCATGTTGATCAAATCAAGTGTATGCTGTGCTTAACGGGTTTCATTTTCCAAAAAAGAAAATTTGTCTATATATGGGTAATTAAAAACCTGCATGGGGTCCTAAAATAGAAATCAACTATTTTTGTATAAAATATAAAATAGAGCAAATTTGCCCATTTCCCCTCTTTTTTTTTCTCTCTCACTTTTTTTTTTACATCTACACAATGATCTCTGTTTCATCTCTCCCAATCTCTGACTTCCAGTACATGCTCTCTAATAATCCTTCTTTATCACCATCGCTTCGAGTGCGCCACAATAGTTATGATAATCTGATCGCTTATACGGCATTTAATGTGAAAACCTTACTGGAATGCTCAAAAGAAAGACTACATTATCAACAGCGCCTTTTACCCACTCTACCTATATTTGTCAGACATATATTTTATCACTGCAAACTTACCCCTACCATATTGGTTGTGGCTCTTATCTATCTTGGTAGATTAAAAAATGGTTTGCCTCACAAATCAAAAGGAGGTAAGTTCAAGTTTTAACAGATTTTAAAAGACTGGTAACCAACGCAAAATGACAGAGTTTGATACACCATACAAAATGTTTATCGCAGCTGTGATCTTGGCCTCTAAATTTGTTGAGGACGCTAATACAATGGCCCATTCGATCTATAAGCTTGTGGCTCCGCTTTATAATGCTAGGGAAATCAATGAGATGGAAAGAAGCTTTTTAGGTAAGAGAGATTGCTATTTCTGTTTTCCATTTTCAACCATTTACTCAACATTCATGTGCATCTATTCATGCAAACAGGGGTGGTAAAGGTAAGAAAATCATGTTTGATGATACATAGAGACAAATGCTAACAACCTCTTATAGTATGATCTCTTTGTGAACCTTGCTGAGGTATACCAATTCGTACAAGACCATAAAGATACACTTGAATTAGAGCTTGGTATCAATTAATTTGCCCATCAAATACCCCTTTTCTCTTGTAAATACGAATCATTCACTATTATACATAAAGCATACCTATTTTCTCTGTTTCACGAACAGCTCTCCTATAAAAGGGCCAAGACCATTCGTTTTTAATTGACAAGGAGATTCTAATCCTTGGCATTTCGTATACATACTTGTATTTCGGGATTGCAATGCGGTTATATACAGACTTATCGCTGTATGCTAATGGTGCTCTGTCTACATGGTTTGCGTGCATTAATCATCATTTAAGCTTTTGTTCAGCCGTCCCATATAGAGTTTACGCAATTTTGCCGTATTTTAGACTATACACCAAGATCTGCAATTTCTTGTGGCAAATGAGTAACGTCATGTATGTATCATGGCGCGGATGAAGATTGTATGTTAATGCTATTGAAAACATGGCGTGCCTCGGCTTAACCAGTGTGCTCGGCGCTAGCTTTTATCCCGGAACTACGTTCTCTCAGGCTGAAGCATTTACTTTTTCTCTGCATGATATTGCCAAGAACATATTTTGATATAATGTTAAAACAGAGATTCTACAAATTCAACCATGAAAATTCTGTGATAAACAATTGTGGAACCATCCAATCTAGCCATGATTTAATAATGAAATGTGATTTCTGCACATCTACATATAGCAACCATGGTATGTGCGTTGTGCCATTTCTTTTCAGATATCAATCAAAATTTAGAATGATCTTTATGGATGCCGCTTGATGGGCATCCTTTACAAGGTCGCTCATGTGCAGCGATGATGAATATCGGCCAAATTTTACACCTACATTGTTGTTTTGATCCAGCGTACACTCTGCATTTGTTGCTAGGGAACAGGAGAGCTGTCAAAGGATGCAATCAAGGAACCATTTTGCATCAGATATCGAGAGGATCTTGCACCTAATTGGTTTAAATTAACCCTCATCATCAAACAGAAGCGAATGGAAAGAAAAAAAAGCGTCACCTAATTGTGCAAATAACAAATTTTAACGCTCTCATCCTTTCTCTGTATTCAACAACACCACGCAAATGTACATTACCAACTGGGACGAATTCCAAAAGGCAGCCGAAGATTTATATATCGCCTCTCCCGAGCAGGTTAGCAATTGAGTGAGAAACGCGTTGAAAATATACCTGGATCCCTGACCTTGCATATGTTAGACTCGTTATGTTCATACCTTTGATCGTTCTGATGGCGATCTCGTCTTGAAAATCACAGATGACAGGACCGTATGTATAACATTACATGCACGCATTAATTCAGGGCTAGTGGAATAACAATCATCTCGAATCAATCGTAGAATATCAAATACAAGACCAACCAAATGACAGATTTAAAGAAATTCATTAGCTTAAATAGCGTATTAATGTTGAGGATGATGAACAAGGAAAAGAGTGGTATGGCGCTAGAATGCTCGAGCAGGATGGAAATATTGATTCGAATCTGATAGATGAAGACACAGTGATACCCGATGCAGCACCATTAGTGGCAGCAAAGAATGCCGTGCCCGAAGTCAAGACAGCTTCTCCCAAACAAACACCAAAGGGAAAGAAAAGCGGCAAGAAAAGAAGATAGTGCATTTCTCAATATTCAATAAAATTGACAATCATGCTCGAAATGTATACATGTATTTGATTTTTTATTTCATAATGAGAGACATTCATGATCAATTATAATATAGACAAAATGATTTATTGTTGGTAAGAGAAGACGTTCTTCAAGTCTATTGCACAATTCACTTTAGTAAAACAATTCTCTCTCACACATAACCGCATGTCATATACTTACAACCATCTTGTTGAGAGAGACGGTTAAGGGCATCGTCAGACTCAGCTTCCTTGCGAAGGAAACCACAGAAAGCATAGGTGGCGAAACTGTTGGTAGCACGACCCTCAGCATCAACATCAGCAACGTTGATTTGAACGGAAGCGTGATCCTTGGCAGTGATAAGACGGTTGGTGGCAGAACTGTTTTATCAAATGTGTCAATCTCTCAGCTCGTATGTATTCGAAGTCAAATCAAGGATAATTTACCACTTGCGAGGAATGTAAAGATCGATAACTTGGCCTTCAGAGTTCTCCATTTTTGTATATGTGATGAAAGAGAAAGAGACTACACACTTGTTGAGTCGCCAACGAATAGATAAAAACAATTTTTTTCCAGCTTCAGCCAAGCCACCTCATGAAAAAAACCTGTAGTCAGGGATATTACACTCCTCATTACAGAGCATTAAAGGCAGCTTCTGTTGTCAATGTATCATTGCGTTCAAATGTGCAATGAATTGGATGCGGTTCTGATATGAATTTACGTTTCAATACCACTTGAACTTTTTTGTTGATAGCTCAATGACATTTCCTCTAGATCTGACTATACTCATCATCTTTCAATCATTGAAGAAACGCCACTAACAGCATTTACTGTGTATCTTGACGTTTGAGAGCGGTAATCTGTGGAGAGCTGTATATTAATAATAGACTTCGTAGCAATAAAATGCATACAATGATATATATGGACGACTTGCCTTTTGGACATATCTTGGAAGCAGCTCATTAAAGAGTTATCTTGCACTAGCCGATCTATCTCGCTACGCTCAATGTCGGCGTCGCCCTGTGGGCTCTTATCGAAGACATTTTAAATCAAATATAATAAAGTTTTGGTATATGAAGTAGATTTTAAACAATTTATTATTAGCAAAAAAAAAAAAAAAAAAAAAAAAGGTTATATTAGAACCACCAGGAGGAGGAGAGGAGGTATCTCCCTCAGCATTCTTTTTGCTTACACTGATATCAAACGAAGCCTATTATTCAGACGATATGAAAGAAAATTCAAGTTTTATGTAGCATTTATACATCACAATCTCCTTTTCCTGATAATAGAATTGTCATATCATTCACTGCTGCTGATGCTCTTAGTAAGATGGCGACATAAAGCTGGCCAAAAGTAAATACAGGGACTTGTGTAAGATCTACAGCGACTTTTCTGAGATATTGTCATTGTAAAAGACACCTTCATGACGCAAAGCTTCCCAAAAAAAAAGTATTTACGCTAAGCAATAGTCCTTTCAATTCCATGATCCCCTTTTAATCAGCATCGCAATCGTCATTGTCATCAACAGAAAGGCATTTAGGTAAGCCAGCAGTAAGCCGCCACCAAAAACAATTCAAACGCAGCTTTTTTTTTTTTGTTCAGGATTGGACAGATTCTGTCTTTTTTCGACTTCTTTAAACTATTCTATGATATTCGACTACATAAATTGTGATGATCACCCTACGCTCCCTAATACATTCTTGAAGTACTTTTCAAGGCGCTTGTAATGGTGCTGATTATAATAAATACTTTGACTGAAATTATTGAGCAATTTAATAGAATTTGAAATGAGGTTTTCAGCGAAAATAGCCATATTTTGCATATGAAAACCTCATAAAAGTGGTTTCAGAGGTTGCTTTGGATCGAGAGAAACATTTTGATTCAAGATATACCATAGTAAAAGTCTTCATTTTTGATGTCAAAAATGCGATCGTTTGTTTTTCGATGAAAAGCATAAGGGGTACCTCATGCTTTTTGATCAATTTTTGGCTATGTTTTTTGGGTCTTCAAAAAGTTGAGCAAAGGTGCCAGTAAGCAAGTGCTAGCCGAGAGCAATTGCTTGGTGCTATTCTGACAGTCTAAAACGGCCTCCAACATGGGAAATTACTGCTCACATACACTAAATTCTGCATTCTTTTGAGTCGTCAGAGGTAATGCAAGCATGTTGCTTACCTGAACTGACTTGTTTCCATTGATACATATGTAAGCCGTCGCAGAAGAGTCAGATCCATGGTTACAGACAGCCCACGGAGAATTCGCACGTGAAAGTGGAAGGTTAAATAGTGAAATTTCATTGATTTTTACTTTTAGCAAGATTCCCATCCAAATTTACCCATTCACACAACTCAAGTCTACTTCAGCTAGACAAGGAAACCATGTGTCATCCTAAATGGCCACTCTGCTAGAATCATCTGGATTTCAAGTTGATACATGTATCTCAAGGTGCGCGCGCTTAACCGAACATGCCAATCGTATTCATAGCTTTTGGTTGTGGGAAATAATTACATACAAATGTCAGCATATAAATATTCGCTTCTCTTTTTTTCTCTTTTTCCCCTTTCTTCACATTATGTCTACTCAAAAGCCATTTCCAACAGCAACTTCAGACAGTGGATTTCGTCAAGTAAATTCAGTTTTGCCTCCATTTTGACTTGAAAATCACCAACAATGACGCTCTGTATCATCATAGGAACCACCTCAATTGAAGAATCAATACCAAGATGATATTGTCTTTAAAAACATTCTAAAGAAACTGCTGCCAGCTTCTATGTTGAGTGATATTGAACCTGACCTCACTCAATTTGGCGAGAGAGTCATCACAGGTATAGTTTGATCATGTGCATTCTTTGAGAATCGCAACTAAAGGCATTTCCACCAGACATTGCTGCCATGGGTGAAGATGTCGAGACACCCAACAATTATCCACAACTCAAGCAGTACGATGCTTGGTGTAGACGAGTCGATGAGATCTCTACAGCCCAAGGATGGAAAGACTTGAACGATGTTGCAGCTAAAGAGGGGTAACATAATGAGTTGTTGCTGAGTTCCTGAATTGCATATGCTAATTCAAAAATGTAGTTTGATTGCCATTGCCTACGAGCGCAAATACAACGAGTATTCGAGAATCTATCAGTTTGCAAAGCAATACCTCTATGCTCCTTCATCTGCCATGTACTCATGTCCTCTTTCCATGACAGGTAGGCTCACAATGGTAATTCATGCATTCTACCGGCTGACATTATTGCTCTATTAGATGGTGCCGCACGTGTGCTTGAGCTGCTGGGCACTCAAGAAATGAAGGATAAATATTATACTCGCCTGATTAGGTAATATCGTATTGTACTTACATTGGTGATCTGATCTAATCTCCAGTATTTTTGCAGCCGTGATCCCGCTCTATTTTGGACTAGTGGCCAATGGATGACAGAACGCCCTGGTGGTAGTGATGTAGGTCAATCCGAGACGCAAGCCGAGCTTGTTGATGAAAAGACAAACACCTGGTCAGTTTCAGGCTTTAAATGGTTCTCTAGTGCTACAACAGCTGACTTGACGATGCTTTTGGCTCGTACAATTGATCCCAAAGAGGGCACTGTGAAGACTGTATGATTGCTACGATACAATAGCTAGACTTAGATCATTGACCTCTTTTGATATAGGGAAGCAAAGGTCTGTCTCTTTACATTGCAGAAATGAGACAACCTGATGGCCAATTGAACGGTGTCAGAGTGCATCGCCTCAAGAACAAATACGGTACAAAAGGCTTACCCACTGCCGAGCTGCAATTGTCTGGCATGAAGGCAACTTTGGCAAGTATTCATTTGAGTATTGCTCGCAAGCAAGACGATAATAACAGTTGAAATAGCTTGGTAGACCTGGCCGTGGTGTTCCCAATATTGCATCTATTCTTAATATCACTCGTATCTATGCCTGTTTGGGCGTTGTTTGCGCTCTTCGTCGTTCTCTTGCCATTGCCAAAGATTTCGCATACAAGCGCCGTGCTTTCAACAACTCGTTAGACAAGACTCCTCTGCACATTACAACACTTGCTCAGCTGGAACTCATATTCCGTGCAGGTGCTCAGATCTCATTCTACGCAATTGAATTACTGGGCCGCACTGAATGTGTTCAAGACAGCAAGGAAGATGCTGCCATTCTTCGTTTCTTGACCCCCATTGCCAAAGCCTATGTCTGCAAGATTGGAGTCAATGCCTGTAGCGAAGCCATGGAAGCATTAGGTGGCCAGGGCTACATGGAGGAGATTGGCATTGGCCGTCAACTTCGCGATGCTCAAGTCAATACTATCTGGGAAGGTACAACCAACGTCTTGGCCATGGATGTGATTCGCGTCATCAAAGAAACCAAAGGCCAATGTCTTGGCACGTTTGAAAAGGTATGTCGCCTAGGCTGCAAGAGTGTAAACTGTTGCTGATTTCACTGTAATAGATGATTAGAGAAAAGGTTGATCGCTCTGTAAAGGCATCATCTTGCTTGGCAGATGCAGCAAAATCAATTGATCTCGCCTTGAATAACATCAAACAATTCTTTGCCCAATCAATGCGCAACAAGCTGGAGACAGAGGCCAATGCCCGTCAATTGACATTTGCCTTGGGAAGAATACTTGCCGGTGCTTTGTTCCTGGAGCAAGCTGCTTTTGATATCACACAAAACAATGAAGGTGCCGAGGAGGATATTATTGTGGCCAACAAGTGGTGTAATGCCCGTGAATTCACCCAACCTTTAATTCCTACCAATGCAGATACCATTTCCGATGAAGCCAAGATTGTGTTTGGTGCCAGCGCAAAGATTTAAGTCAATAAAAGCATAATCTCATTAAGCTGATTGCTTTATTACGAGATCCGGCTACGTACAGAAAATTGATGATTTATATTGTTGTTTTTTTTTTTTTTTTTTTTTTTTTTTTTTTTTTTTTGCATCTTTCGAAGCAAGTGTTCTTTAGTTTTCCATGAACGTAAAAAAGGTATAACAAGACGCTACTGTGAACTACCGTTCTTGAAAAAAGCACAGTTTCTGTCATTCATTTTTGGCAAGCTGTTCAAATAACCACTATTTACCAACTGCAGCATCGTCTTGTTTGTTCTTTGTGGTATTTTTCTTGTATTCGCTAAAGCCAACAACACCAGTTTTGAGATCTTTGGCAATGGCAATGACAGCTGTATTCAAAACATCGTCGTCAGACGCAAAACAGAACACGCTTGATGCGCCTGCTCTGAGCCTTTGCTCTGCGAGCCCTTCGACCCACTGTCCATGGCTTTTGGCGGAAACAATAGTTCCAAGTGGATTGTTTCGGGAAGTAGCCGCTCACAGAATCTCATTGATCTCGGTTGGTAGGAGCAGGGTCTCTGTGGCATCAACTGCTTTGGGATTACAGCCCATGTGAATTGATCTGATAGTCTTGGTAATGTTTTGATTATACTGAAATCGAAGAGGCAGAGCGAGAGGGTTTGATATCTTGGTATTCAACAGATTCATTCCGTGGATTCCACTATTGGCAACGATTCTTGGTGATGAGAGCAAATTATCTTGCTAGTTTTTGATGCTTCTGAGGATGTAAAGCATTAGTACCAAAGTAAAATTGCTTCTTGAAGAACACATATGTTGTAATGACGGAAGAACAAGTAAAAAATTAATGGAATATTGCTGTTTACTGGTATACTTTATGTGGCTGACTCATTTAGTCCGTATAGTATACGTTTTGAAGCACAATGATACCAGATAAATATAGCTGACGGCAGCTGCTACAATCAAAAGATGCTTCATAGACAAAGTTGCGTCTGAAATTGACTTTCCATTACTAACAATTGACAGATTTTAGTATACACCTTCCAGTAGGATGGCTCCTATATCTTCTGTGCCTTGACATTTGGCTCATGCTTGTTAAGAGGTTTCATTTGTTGGGTAGATGGCAAGCCTCTTTGCATTACTGATTGCTCTTTTGACTCGAATCAATCTAGACCGATAATTTGTTTTCTCGAATAAACACTAGAGTGAAAAAAGAAAGACAAGATTGAATCCAATATGGATATTTGACTTGCAAAGGATGTGTTTATTAAATGATAAAATGCTATGTTGTATGTATTTACATATGGTATGTGAGTAAAAGTGTAGATATATGGATACGCTGGAAGTCATCTTGACTAGGACCATTGAGACAAGACGAATACAATAGCAGCAAAGAGTGTCCAGCGATTAAAGAGGATGGGTAAAACAGAGGGTTGTCTGATGGAGGCTGTATAAGGCTCGTAATGCGGTGGAGGCACTTTGGACTTGTTGTTGCTAGGCAAGAGTTCACGCTTATCCAATACATGCTGGACGAGTTCTTCTACAGATGAAAATTCTCCTTCCTCTTCATCTTCAGTAAGTACATCAGTGGCATCTGTCTCGGAGAAGGCGGCATCGTCACCACTAAAATCCTCCTCCTCTTGCACCAGTTGGGGTAAATCAGCTTCCTCTACATTACTAGCAACAGGTTCTTTCTCTTCAATGAATACAGCAGACTCCATAACAAAGCTCCTCGATATAGAAGATTGCACGAATGAAACAGCTTCTTGAATAGGGGTAAATTCAGTGGTATGATTGTCGCCACTCGTAGTCGAAGGGGCCGCAGCTTCGGTGGCAGCTGCATTTTGAAATGCATTTTGAATAGCGTGAGTAATGGCAGACGTGTCACAGTCAATGTCGTGTTGACTCATAGTGTTGTCGCTGTTGTTGTTGTTTGTATGTGAGGAAGAGGAAGAAAAAAGCGCTTTACGAATAATGGAATGAATAGCTGTTGAAATATCAGCAGAGGGCAATTGATCAGTTGATGATGATGCTGATAACATGTCATAGTCGTCATCATCCAGGTTACTATTTGTGTCCAATTGTAGACCATTTGAGATGGCTTCTGTGATTTTCTGTGTAGCCAGTTGAATAGCAGGTGTCAACATGTCTAAATTGGGTGCAGATGGTGTCATTGTCTTTTTGAGATTGCCAGAGGCAGGCTTCTTGGCGGTGGTTGATGAGGTCGATGTGGAGGGTCCACTTACAGGCATCTTGGAAGGTCTCATCGTGGCGCTGGCCTTGGCTTGGGCTAGTTCTTGCTCTAGTTTAGCAATATGAGCATCCCTTTTAACAAGAGCATCTTGTTGTTTGTCACTGGCAGCTTCCATTACTTGGATCATGTCTTGCATTGACTCCAACGTATTGGTCATTTTGGCCATCTGCTTGTTGTGTGCTGTTACTTGTGCTGCAATGCCTTCTTCACAGCGAGCAACTACATCTCTCATAGTGGCATCATTCTTCAAGTCCTCTGAAGTAATATTGGACAGTCGAGCATACTAAAGAAAGTATGTTAGATCAGATACCAGCGAATCAAAGCTTTATATTACCATGTCACTGCCTTCTCGGCCTTCATTACTGCCATGGTCTTTGGAGCTGGTCAGGATCAAACCCAACAAGTTGGTCAATCTTTCCCTAGTTTCAGCTTCCAACTGTTGGATAGACATCAGTACTACTATTTCATCATTGCTCGAAAAGAGTCCTGCTTACATCATTTTTCTCTTGCATCTCTGTTTGTAGTTTGGCAATCTGCAAGAGGCAGTTTTGTAGCTCTGAATTATCCAGAATCTACACTGAAAGTGTCAGTCTTTTCAAACATAATGTTGCCTTGATGCTTTACTTACTCGGGTCATTTTGGCTGCAGTTTTGACCAATTTTGCACGCTGAGCAAATCGTAGTGTGTTGAGTGACTCATCTTTAGAGGCAAACGTTGGATTGATGGTGCAAATGACAGAGATTCTTGCATTGCCAGACAGAGCAGCCTGTAAGATACGAGTCAGTTTCGAGTTTCGAAAGGGAATATGAGAAGCGCTATTTTGTGTATTTCGTTAGCATGTGATGTTGTTTTAGTTGGGCGTATAAATATTTACGGCTCATTGCTTGTGAGTTTGGAGATAACGTTTCCTAGGGTTAGCAAACTCTTGTTGATGTAGGCGCCTTCCTTTCTTCGTTCTACATCGGTAGCTACTTTTTCAGAACCGGCCAAATCAATCAGATTCTATATAGCTCGCTACAGTGTGAATATCCATGTTGTATTTAGAATCCATCAATGAGGTTGTGTACATACCAACTGAGATAACCGGACACCTCTATTAGCACTAGTTGGGATTCCCTTGGAGCGGCTCTCAATGACCAGTTGGAAGATGGTGTGCGATCGACTGCTGCGTACATTGTAATCTGTTGCACTGATATGTCGGTTGCCTTCGCCTTCTCTGATGCAGTTCATCACTTCTTCTGATGTCTTGACAATGACTTCTTTGAGATTACGCACATAAACACCTTTCTATCATGAGGCATACAAGGTGAGATGTTGCTGCAGCGAGTCGTGTCAATACAACCATACCTTGTCTTCAATGATCTCGGGGCTTGTATTCTCGACACATAGCAAATCCTTGATCTTTTCATTGTAGATTTCCATGTAAGACACTCGCAGTAGATACTCTCTTCCATTGGTATCCTGGTCTCTAGTCAGTCAAGCAATCAATTGATCCTATTGCATTGCGAACTCACCTCTTCAATGTAGGAAAAGACGTCTTGCACTGCACGGGGTATGACGCCCGGCTCCTTTTCGGTACCTGAAGAAGAGAGATATTAGCATTCAGCTCAGGTACATGATGTTTAGTAGCAAAATTTCAACATACCCATCTATGTATATACATTTTAATGGTGGCAGATGAAAGGAATAGTTAAACATCGGATATTAATATGATTCATTATGCATAGATAATAGAAATATTATAATAAGTACCATTGTCTAGTTTTAATGAAAAATGATTAATTCAAACTATAATGAATAGAGAAGGAAAAACAAGAGAAATAAGCAACATCCACTTACATAAGTCTTTCCGCTGGCTGTCTGACCATACGCAAATACAGTGCCTATGCAACGCTGATGTTAGCTACTATGAAAGAGACATTTACTGCTGAAATGCATACCATTGTAACCCATCATGGCGGATCTAATATAGCAGTAATAAAATATTTGACATCAGACATATGAGGTGTAAAAATATGATCAATCATTATCAAACATACCTCACAAGATCGAGGATACCAGCCTTGTACATCTGCGCATTGTCAGTACCCATTACAACATTGTCTTCAAGGAGGAGGGGCAAGAAAAGGGGAGGGGGGGGGGAAGAAGTCAGTAACAAAAAAAAAAAGGTTAAAAAGGAAAACAACAACAAATAGATACCATAGTAGAAGGCCCGAATACTGTTTGGAGTCTTCAATCTGGCTTGCTCAATTAATCCCTCTTCAGGACTGATTAACCAGCAAGGCTCTTCATCGTACTCTAGCTCTTTTTCAGATCGAGGTCTGCATCGTACCATGACCTGTACATTCTCTCGAATTGAGGTGGATCTTGTTGAAAATGAAGGTCGAAGCGAGGCTGAAGATGAGGATCTTGAGGAAGATGTGGTAGGGCTGGGATACGATGTGGTGGTGCTGTTCATTGGAATGGGTATGTTGCTTGAAAACTTGGCGGATGATTGATTCCATAATGGCGTGGCTGGCGGTGTAATAGGGCCGTCGCTGTGTGATGCTGTTATCATTTGGGATGAAAACGAGTGGAGAAAGAGAGAAAAGAAGAGAAAAGAAGAGAAAAAAAAAATACAGGAATAAAAAAAAAAAAAAAGGAGAGACTCTGTAGCACACAGCAGACAATACAGGCACATCCGGAACATATGCAAAGGGGCAACAACAAGATAGAGTGTTGCCATATGAACAGTCCCGTGCAACAACAGTGAGGGTCAATTGCAAATTCTAAATTACCAAGTCGACATGTCAATATGCAAAAACTGCACGCCGCTCAACCAAATCGTCCCTTTTACAAACAAGTATCTCGCTTTCTCCTAATATTCATATACACACTTTATTAGTCTTACTTTATACACAGTGATTAGGGTAATGGCTCGATATTAATTTTCTGTACATAGTCTTCAATGTTGGACACAATGCGCTGCGTGACATTACTGCCCTTGTTGGAGACGATTTGCAAAATGTCCAGCTACAGAACATACAGAGCATGAGCGAAAAAAAAAGGGGGCCCTGTATACAGCATGCAAGGAGAAGATGGATACTTACTGTCATTTCCCAATTACCAAGAATATCCACATGATCGCCAGCCTTTGAGCCACCTCGCACATCCAACTTGCTATCGCTTTGCTCGTGCAAATACTCTTTGACGACAACTGGACTATGTCCTGGATTATACAAATCAGCGTGCTTTGTCCAACCGCCAGAGGGCGCACACATGTAGCCCAAAGACAAGACTGGCACTGTGCCATCACTGTACCAATATGTATTTAGCATTGAGTCAGTCCATTCATGCCTCCATTTTATGCTCTCTTACCCATCTGCAAATCGCACACCCATCTCCACTCCTCTAGCAGGTTCATGCATAGCACCATCAATATACTATAGAAGCAATGAATAAGATGACAGAGCGATGCGTTGCTTATATTGACTAAAATACCTACAATGGGAGGTGCCTGGGGCATGTTCTCATCGTTATGTTTGTCGCTTTGACCTGATTGCTTGATGCTCTTCTGGACAACTGCATTCATAAACTCCTCCTCCTTAATATCCGTGCCATTCAGCAGGGCAGACACATCAATGTCGCAATCTACATCGCTGTCCATGTCTGGCTTGTTGATGTCATCTTTGGCTCTGGTATAGTAGTAGCTTCTCTCAGTGGGTAAACCAACACCGTAAAGACAGTAAATCTTCATGCTGGGTGCTACACAGAAAAAGGGAAAAAGTTGTTATACCAAGGCATTGCACCACACATATTTATACTATCATACCTATGGGTAATTGCGATTCTAAAGGGTTCGACCACTTTCTAGAATCTTTGTTGTTCTGCAGCAACTGCTTCTTTGAGGTAGTGATCCCAAACGAGTAATTTGACTTGAGCATACGGCTGAAATCTGGCGTGCCTGTGATATGCAGCAGATCCAGTGATTCATCTGCGCTAAAGTTCTGATCAATGTCCTTGTTGACCATCTTCTCTGTCGTGTAGTTGTGGTCCTTTTCCTGCACAGTGGCTTCTCCCTCGTTTGTCTTGGTGAATGACAAAATATTGCCAAAAGAGTGGTGCTGCGAATTCTCCTCATCGTCAGGCGCAAATGTCTGGTTTCCCCAGATCGTCTCGCCTCCTTTGAGTAACATGGAACTGCCTCCACTCCAGGTTCGCATCAGACTGGCTCTTTCGCGTCTAGAAAAGAACTTCTCCAACAGGTAAGCGCCGAAACTGCCCAGCGACATGGTGTCTCTTGTCTCGCCTGACAACATGGCTGTCAATGCCTTGGGTACGCCTACCATAGGGCCTGCAATGTTGACAAACGACGCAATGTGTTGTTCTGTCCAATCATCACCTCGATTACCTCCTTCTGGACTCTGTGCCCACCTCAAGAAGTAAGGAAACATGGAAGATCCTAAAAGACAGCCTGATGAATACCCTTTCGCTCACGATATCATGACTGTGGCTATAGTTCGTTTTACCCATTGAGTGTGTAACAATTACGGCAGGAACGCCAGATCCCTTTTTCGAAATTTCAATCATGGACAGCAATTTAGAGAAATACTGGTCCCTGGTCTCGAGATTGGAGAAGGACAATCGCCAGTCGTAACTTGCTAGATGCATGTTGTTGTTGTCATAGCCAATGTAGGCCAGATTTTCAATGATTTTGGCCCAGATCCAGTAGCTGCAAATTCACATGTTTATCAGTAAAAATCAGCCTGTGGATCAGTCGTTCATACACACCCAGTTACAAAATAATCAGCAGCGTCCAAGCCTACATGTCTTGTTTAGGCTCTATTGTATATGAAACGCACTTCACCCCCCCCTTTTTTTTTTTTTTTTTTTTTTTTACTACTATACCTTGAGCAGCGCGGATTTTGATACCAGGAGGATCCAAACCTGTGACAGGATCAAGTTTCAAATGTTCTGTCCACAATTCTTTATCTAGCAAAACCGATCTAAACATGGCTTATCCCACATAAAACTGTTTAGCAAGAGCTCTCTTTTTTTGTTTTGTTTCGATAAAACAACATGATACGTTACTGGTAGTCCCCCACATTCGCTTTCGAAAAAAGCGTTTTGACTTTTCCAACGTGCCCCAACTCTCTAGGCCGGATGAAATGATGCCTGGGATCAAGACGACTGGAAAATGCGGCTTCAGATCCAATGCCTCTCTGTACTCCAATGCAGGCATGAATGGCTGATCGCTGGATGGCGTTGGTGTAAAAAAGTTCGTGACATTGCCAAACAGCTCGTCTACCATGTCTGTTACAGGCATGATCCTGTCCCAATCCATTTCAGACAGCTGAAGCGATAAATAGGATTGCAAATCATTGAGATGCGTTTGAGCTACAGGCGTTGTCGATGCGCCATAAGCTGCAATCAGACCTACAGAAAGACCAATGATGAAATGGAATCGCTTTCGTTTCCAAATAGGCAGCTTCTCGACTTGAAAGATGATACTGTCTGCTAGAATGTCTTCAGGCTGCTCTTGCTTATTGTTGTTGGTGTATCGCAGAACTTTGTCCAATGATGTCGTAGATGAGCCTGATACAGACGTCTTTCGATGATTCTCGTCGTTGGTAAACTTGAAGCCTTGTCTCTTTTTGAGCAGCATATTTTGTTTGTAGTGGAACTGAAAGATAAAAGGAGAAAAAGGAAAAAGGTACAACAAAAGGTAGCATTTAAATAGGGAACAATAATGACCTCAATACATCACCCGACATGTGCCTGAGTAACCTATCTACTAGTGATTTTCAAATGTTTCCCCCCAGTACATTTGCATATAGATGGCATTGGCTGGTGCGCACCCCTCTGATGGCTGCAGTATGTAGCCAGATAATGTCTCTGCTATCTTGTTGCTCTCATATACATATATACAGTGTAACATGTCTTGCCATTTCCTACTCATCCTACACGGCCATGACGCGTGATGCATCCCGCAGATCAAAGCGTAAAAGATGGCAGACGTGTCAGATGTCGAACCATTGTCGAATTTGTAGTGATAATCGCTCTCGACGTCATTTTCCTTCCAACCATCAAGCGTATCTGTGCAGCCCTATAGGAAATTCACTTCTTTCAACGTATGTGTGTGTGTGTGTGTGTATGTGTGTATGTGTGTTTATACAGTTTTATTAGTCAATAATCTATTTTTTGTTGGATTTGAAGGGTACAGAGAAAGCAGAGAGTAACAAGCGACCATCGGTGTTTGTGTAAGCAGTTGTATTGAAGATTACATCGAAGCCAGTCATCTTGGGATAGACATCAAAGGAGCCTTCAATTTCAGGGAAAAGAGCAAGAGCAGATGGAGGGAAGCCAAGTGCAATATTGCCATTACCATCACCTGCTGTCATTGAGAGACCAGGCCATTCTTTTAAACGAGGAAGCACGATTTCGACCAACTTGTCCATGAACTGATACATTTCCTCACCACGAAGTGTCACTTTAACACCCACAGGCATACCCTCACTAAAAAGTATCCATGTCAGCATTGTACACACATACACACTCCATTCCTAGCTGCCATCTTACCGCAATTTCCAATTAGCCACAGAGTTTCTTGCATAGACTACATCAGGTCGAATGCCTGTAATGCTTTGAAATGCCATAAAGGCAGATAATAAATGACTCTTGCTGTGAATAGAGTCCTTTACCATGGAATGAAGGGTGATTTTATCGAGAGTAGGAATGACTTTGGCGCTCTTGAGAGGTTGAAGAGGTTTGACAGGTTTACCACCCTTGCGAGTACGAACAGCGTCTGGTGAAAGAGCGGTGGATGCCTTGGTTTCTGTTGCTGCTGCTGAAGCATCCAATGCCTTCTTGATTTGAGCTTCAATGTCAGGATATCTGGAAGTGGGAGGTGCAACACGAGTGTGATCATAACCCAACACCATCAAATCTTCTGACAGGGTACTGTCGTAATATTCTTTGAGTCGAAGCAAGCCATGAGAGCTGCCGGCAGGGGCTGCAGTGGCACTGAAAGCACGAACAGCCGCATGTTGACGACTGAATTGCTGTCTACAGACGTTTCTCAATAAGGATGCCACCATTGTGTCTCTATAGAAATTGTGATAATTTAAAGAAAAAAAAAAAAAAAAAAGAGAGGGCTATTTCTCCACACACAAGAATATGAGGTCCCCTCCCCTTGGATGGAAAATCTTGCACTGAAAATTATTTCGCACTCCATTGCTCTCTCAGCAACCCTGGCTTTATAAATGTTGAGAGTCCATACCACCTGCCACCAAAGAGTCACTCAATAGATACAGATGGCTTAGGTGGGGGTGTCTACTGATTCTGGCTAATAATTACAAAATGGCTTTATTTATATATGTAGAGTTTCTAGAGAGAGGGTCCACCAGCAATGACAATACCAGGTCCACGAGTGGATGAAAGTACCACATTTTGAATCATGGCTATCGAAAACGTAAGTCAACCGATCACGCCCGCCATAAATCATCAAATCTTATTACCTTTCAAATTGTTGGTCTTGCCAAATACTCTCAATTCCTCGAGGATGGCCTTGAGATTGGCTTCAATGTCCTCAGATTCGAAATTGACCTTACCAATGCCTTTGAAAAAAAAAAAAAAAAACACATTTAATGCCCCATATCCACACACATGCCACCACATGTCATTACCTGTGTGCAAAACACCATGCTTATCTGCCTTGAAATCAAATGAACTCTTGGATGTGCGAACGGTATTTGAGATATCATCAGTAACAGTGCCTATACATGTCCAATTTCTTAGCATGTCACATAAGAGGAATCTGCCATTTTCCCATAACCCTTACCCTTCTTGACAGTGGGCATTAAACCCTTTGGACCCAAGATACGAGCAATCTTGGTTACTGAAGGAAACATTTGAGGGGTAGCGATACATTTGTCAAACTTTAATTCGCCTGATTGCACCTTCTCAATCAACTCTTCACCACCGACAAAATGAGCACCAGCTGCCTTGGCCTCATCTGCCTTTTTACCAGTAGCAAATACCAAAATAGTGGCTTCTTGCTTGATACTCTTGGGTAAGACAAGTGAACCACGGATGAGTGGTGTTGATTTCTCGATTTTACATTGAACGTGGGCTTCTATTTGGTGACTGGGGTTACCTACTTCAAATGCTTTGAGGATGTTGACAGCTTGCTTCAGGTCGATAGCATCTGGATTCTCTCTAAGTGCTGCCTTTCTTTTGGTGGCGTAATTTCTCACTTGTTGAATAGCAGCGAGGCAACGTGCTGTGGTGGTAGTTGTACGTGCAAACATGATGGAAGTGGTAAATGTAGAAAAGAAAAAATAGAGAATGAGCACCGACCGACAGGGCTTATTGAGTATCCATCAAGAAATGGAAAAGCGGGGTTGTTTGGGTTGACTGCCTTCCATAAGGTAGTGATGCCTTTGTATATCAGCATTTCCACATCTGCTGGAAGGAAGACGTATACTATAAGTATCTACAGTAATAAGATGAATAGGAAATACTGTTTTTTTCGTTGTATGAAGACTAGACAATTAGTTTTGGGTTGTGAAAATGCTCTATCATGTTCATTTTGACACCTTTTAAAGTTGAAATGCCTTATTCTGCAGATCTACCATAAAAAATGGAGCCGAATTGTAGCTTATAATGATACTCTTCTTTTTAAATCTTCTTAAAAGCCTATTTTTTTTAACTGTGCCCAATGCAGGTATGCACCTCATAATTCACATACCCAAGACATGTTTCTATTGATACGAGTGTTTATGCTTTGGATAGCTCTTTACCTTCGCTTTGCTTCTGTGAGAACCAACCTGCGCAGCGGCAGCTCGTGCTACCAATTGCCCTAGTCCGTCTTATTTTAACCCTCTATTTGCATGAGAACCCTTCATGTTATATGTGGATCTAACTTTAATACAATGTTACGCATCCGTACACACGTAGATAATTCATATACGGGCAAGCAGCATACTGGTATTATCCCCTTTTCAGTCCTTAGTGTGCCTAATACAGCAAAATTTGAGTGCATTTGAGCTGCGTTTTCTCGCGTTCAAGGCCGTTTTAGATGGTCAGAATAGTACCAAACAGGTGCTCTCATCTGGCAGTTACTTTCTGACACCTTTGCTCAACTTTTTGGCGATCAAAAAAACATGGCCAAAAATCGACCAAAAAGCATGAGGTACCTCTCATGGTTTTCATTGAAAATCAAACAATCACGTTTTTGACCTTGATAATGAAGACTTTCATTATGGTATGTATGGAATCAAAATGCTGCTATCAATCTAACGTAACCCCTAAAATCATCTTTGTGGAACCTTGATATGTAAAATCTCGACTTTTTGGGCAGAAACCTCTTTTCATATTTTCATAAATTGCTCAATAAGTCTATTCAAAACATTCATCTTACTTTGTACCATTGGATGCGCCTTGAAAAGTACTTCACGAGTGTATTAGGAAGCATTGGATGATCATCACAGCTTATATAGTCGGATAGCTCAAAATAGTTTTTTTTTTTTTTTAAATTGTGTTTATTGATTGAGCCGCGTACACTAAGAGTAATAGGTCAGAGTGAAGAGGCGGGTGCAATTGAGAAATGAAAAAAATATAAATATAAATGGAAACTAAACTAAACTAACAAAAGGAACTATCTAACTATCTAAATTACAAGAGGGAATGGATTTGATCTTCATCCACTGTCTGTCGGACAGTGGAGTGGATATGTACCAGAATCGCCTCAGGGACAAAGATAGTGCCGTCAAAAACAAAGCGCATATGGGCTAGCCATATTTGAGACAGGGTGATGAGTAGGATTCTGTATGGATGGATGCCTTTGACTTGGGAGTACCAGATATCTGAAAAGTCCAGGGACAGAAGAGCCTCTTTGATGTCAGTGATGGACGTGGTGGGCCATAGGAACTCAAAAATGACGCCTTGCCATACCTTTTCTTTGGATGGACAGTCAAAGAGCAGGTGGCTGGCAGTTTCATTGGGAGACAAGCAGACAGGACAATTGTGGGACTCGAAAAATGCAGGCATCATGTAGTGTAATCTGCTTCTAGAAGGGATACAGCCTGCGATGAATCGGTATATCACATTACGTTGAATGTAGGTAAGAGACAGGGACCAAAAGAATTTCCAATTAGCAGCAGAGACATTTTGCAAGACCAAGGGCTGTTCCACCGACGACAGTACAGACAGACGAAATGTTTTGGCGGAAGCCTGAGCGTTTCTAAGAGATTGGCCATCGTGCAGACAAAATTGATCCACCAGCGGCGCAAAAGAGACTCCAGGATCTACTACAGGGGCTGGATTACACACTGGGAGGAAGTAGGGCTGGAATTTAAGAGTGCCAGATGCGAGGCCTCTGAACACTGTTGAAGGAGCTCTCTTCCACCTGAGGAGGGAAGGGTCACGAGTGTCTCTCCAATGTACAAAGTTAAGCCGGGCATCGTACTGAAATACATCAGAAACCATCATCTCTTTGACTTTAAGAGGAACAACCAGTGAGGAGGATGGAGGAACATAGAAAGCCGCCTGTAATGGAAGAGCCATGGCAGTTGCAGAATTGATCGGTGCCGCATCAAACAACTTAGGAAGATAGTCAACTGTACGATATAACATATCGACAGTTCCCGTGCGTTGCTTTTTCAACCCCTTAGTACGACGAGCAGAGGGAAATAGCAGCGGGATTTGATGGTGGGGGTAACCATTAACATTGCGAATGTGGTAGCTTAAGAGGTACGACACAGGATGGGAATCTATGACATCTTGATCTTGAACCAGTAATGGGTGGAGCCAACGAAAATACAAAGCTGAAGCTTGTATTTGGATGTCTACAACACCGAGACCACCTTTGTCCTTTGGTAGAGTCCACACCTTCCAAGGGATGACGGGGAAGATGTTTCTTCTCAAGAACTGAATAGCCAGAGAACGCAGCTGCTTGAAGTCAGCTTGAGTCAAAGGCGTAACACGCAGGATGTACCATAGCTTGGAGAGCAAAAGAGAGTTCAGCACTGTAGCCTTTCCAACGACCGACAGGGAGCGACCAGAATGAATCTGGATGGCAGTTTTGATCTTTGTTACCAAAGCACCCATAAAGTGAACTCGCTGAATCCTACTTTGGACGAGAGGAAATCCCAGATAGGTCAACGGTTCATCGTCCTCAACAGAATGGAGATGTGTGATACCCATTTGTGATAATGGACCATCCCACATATCCCATGTATCCCGACCAGACACTGAAAAGGCTTCCACCTTGGCATTATTGAACTTGGCGTTGGAGGCAGCACAGTAACGAGCCATATGGAGCTGTAACCGAGTCAAATCATTGGAGTCATGGATAAACACCAAAGCGTCATCAGCATAGCACAGGAGTTTTGTTCGTGCAGTACCCATCAAGTAGCCTTGAAATTGGCGATCATGCAGGATTGCAAGCAGAAAAGGTTCAAATGCCAAGTTGTACAGTACAGGAGAGAGAGGATCCCCCTGCTTCAAGCCTCGAAGTTTCGCCACTTCAGTTGACAGATGGCCATTGATGTTGATACGTATGAGGTTGTCACCCATCAACTTGGAGATACACTTGATAATAGGGCGAGGAAACCCAAATTTCCCCAATACCTTCCTCAAATATTCCAAGTTCACCCGATCGTATGCCTTTTCTTGATCCAGAAGAAGACCGATGTCATAATCCAAAGTGTTAAAGGAAGGATCATTTTCCTGTTGTTCAGCGATGGACCATTTCCGTTGAGCATCTTCCATTAGGAGCTGGCAGATCATTCCATTTTCAGCAATGAATCGACCAGGAATAAACCCAAGCTGATGTCGGCTGATCAAGTTGGAAGAGACTTCCATGATTCGACGGTTGATATTGCGAGTGAAGAGCTTGTAGTCTGAATTAGCCAGAGACAGAGGACGGTAGTTCTTCATTTCAGCTGGATCGCCTTTCTTGTAAAGCAGACACATGACGGATTCGTTCCAAGATGGCGGGAACTTACCCTTCTTTAAAGCTTCATTGTAGACTAATTGGATGAGATCATGGAACGGTGGAAATTTCATTACCAAGTACAGGATTTCATAAGGTAATCCATCAGGTCCAGGACTACTCAAACGACGAGTCTGCTTGCTATCGGTCAAGAGTTCCTCCACATCAATCGGCATCATCAATGATTCCTGCTGCTCGCTGTTGAGCTTCAAATGACCTGGGATGTTGCGAATTATAACACTGAGGGAGGTTGAATCCAGAGCCTCCGGTGTGAACAGTGAGGTGTAAAAGTTGGTAGCAATGTTGGAGATGCTAGGTTGATCTTGACATAGATCGCCAGTTGTAGGGTTCCTGAGTTCCACAATTGAACGACGATTTTCTCGAGACACCACAGAGCGCTTCAGGAAGCCTGGAGATTTCTCACCATGTTCCCGCCAAAATTTTCCTGCCTTCAAGATCTCTATTTCTGCAAGAGAGTGCTGGAGAGATTGAATCTGTTGATTAACCGTGTCCAAGCCTTGAAACACCAAGCCTCTTGTCTTCTTATGCCGCATCATCTTGTTTCTCTTTGATAGCAGTCGGTGTAGCTGTTGTTTCCGCCAGTTCAAATCCTCCATTTGATACTGTTTGATAAACATCTTTACTTCGGCTTTGATCCAATCCCATTGTTGTTGGGGAGTGGAGAAACGCTTGATTTCTGCCAGACGCGCCTCACTATCAATGAGGAATTCTGCCAATGCCTTCCTAAATGTTTTGTTGCAAGCCAAGAACGGATTTGCCTTCCAGTTACCAGGGCCACGGCCATTCGCATCTTGATATCGAAAAGAGAATCCCAAGAGTTCATGGTCGGTCCAGGCAGGAGACAGATACTGCTGGTTGGTGCTAGTGACTAGATGATGGGCGTTTGAACTACAAAAGATGTAATCCAGAATCCCTGAATTGCTTCCACTATGCCATGTGTTGTGTTTGTCTTCCCCAAAAACGTCAATAAAGTAATCATCGAGTAGATCGGTCCATTCTACTGGTGCACTGGTGAGGGTGCCATCGACTCGACGATCCTTGTACTGGTAGTTGAAGTCTCCCATGATAAAGACGGTGTTTGTTGTAGTAGTAATAGTTTCTTTGACAATTTGTGTGCCAATGAGTTCTGAATAGAACGCTGATCGGTCGGTGTGAGCGGACGCACGACCGTAAATATTAAGTATTGTTGCTATTGGTGGTGAATTGGGTGAATTTTCCAGGTCTCGAGTAAGATGAAGGGAAGCCAAGATAAATCGACCCCCATCAATGCCTTCTGAGATGTGTTTGAGTGAGTAATGAGTGTTGAGGGAAATGATGCCGCAATGTTGAGTCCAAAGACTCGACTTGCAAGTAAATTGAGTGTTGAGTATGTCTATAAATGTGTTGTCTGTTGCATGTGTTTCTTGAAGCACTAAGATGTCATATCCTAATGTTCGAAGATATCTAATAAATTGTTGTCTTTTTTTGGTGTTATCTGTTTTTTTTAGGCCACGGCAATTGAGGGTGGCTATTTTCACTGTATTTTGCTGATTAATCATATTAATGTTGGGGAGGTGAAGGAGGGCCTGTCAAGCCGAGTTGATGTCCAGTCTCTACTTCATTAGATGCAGCTTGTTGTTTGGCAGAACTAACATCATCCGCGCCATTAAATTTACCGATCTTCTTCGCAGGGCGTTCAGGGCGCTCCTCTCGTTCATTAGCAGAATGGGTAGAAGAGTCGTACATGATAATATCATTGGAAGCCCCTTTCCCATCGACTTCTTTAACTTGGAGTTTTGGAAGATCATCCATTTGAACATCTCTATCAACTACCTGCTTTCTAGCACCTGTTTGACTATCAGCGTCACCTTGAGTGCTACCTTGCTGGGTAGCAGTAGTTCGATTATCGGAATCACCTTGGGAACCACCAGATGCAACATCCTGGCCTTTTCCTTGGGCATTACCTTTGTTTCCAACTGGAGCACCACCAGGAGTTACTTTGGAGCCACCCTGAGTACCCTTTTTACCCTCTTTGGCCACCTGAGAGCCCTTTCGGGGTTTGGCAGGAGTGTTTTCCACCGCACGGACCTTGTTTGGGCTGTCATTGCGACTGCAGTTCTTCACCACATGTCCAGTTTCATTGCAATGATGGCAGCGGACCCACTTCTTGTAGTCAGGACAATCAGCCCGACAGTGTTCAGAGCTCTGACAATTACGACAGAAAGCCGGCATTTGATCCCATTGGAGTAAAACTTTTCTTTGATCCGAAGCTGTCAAATCCCAGACAATGACACGACTGAGTTTCTCCAAATGGCGATGACCAGGGCAAGATTTCCCAACGGGATGTAACTCTTGACATTCATAACCAGGGCTGGAAGGAACCGTTAGATTAAGTGTAGCATAACCTTCTCCTTGATAGATCCCATCAGTTCTCGAGATGCCGTGATCCAAGACATCCCCGAACGCAGAAAGTCGGGCAGCCATTTCCTCCTTCAACTGAAGGGCCGGCAAGAAAGGAAGATTCTCCAGGGTCAGTTTCACAATCGTAGCATCAGCATGGTACGAGGCAAACCCTTTCACAAAGGTGCCATCCTCTAGAGTGATACCTTCTTCAATGAGAGTCTTACGACCTTCGCTGTTGGGCAGCCACATGGTTTCCAAGAAGGCATGGTTGAGGTAGTGTCGAGGTTGTTTCCGGTATCCAAGAAATTCTTCATACATGTCTTCAGCATTAGAGGCTTCGTTGAATTGAAGAAGAGCCTTGTTCAAGAGATTGCGATCCTTGATAGGTGTCAGATCGATGAAGACGGAATCCTGTTCCACGCCTTTGAGGAATGGACGGATAACCGCCTGAGGAGGTGGCGAAGTATCCCCATTGATGGCCTGTTGCGAGGCCTCTGCTTCCGTTACAGGTCGTTTGACGATAGTGGGATTGAAAGAGACGATGGATTGTTGTTGTCTGTTGTTCCCTTTGCGGCGTGAGTTAACCACATGAGTCCACAACAGTGGAGCCGCAGTGTCAGCTTGCGAGGAACGTTGATGTACTTGACTAGTGTCTGACATGCGAAAAGGGATGACAAAGTAAAATAGATTGACAAAATAGTTTTGTCAAGTCGAAATAAAACAAAATCTGTCCAATCTTGAACAGAAAAAAAAAACAGACGGAGTTTGAATCAACTTTGGCGGCCTCACTGCTGCTGGCTGACCTAAATGTCATTCTGATGATGACAATGATGGTTGCGGTACTGATTAAATGGGGACAATCAAAATGCATTTCTGATGAAAACAATCAGCAATTAGGATATAGATGTCAAGTTGAAAAATCAAAGTACTGCAATTGTCCGACAATTCAAAACTGACAAATGCAAGCAGAGATTCAACATGGAATACAGAAAGCTTCTCCGCGATTATCAACTTGGAAAGTTTGAAGAAAAAGCAGCAGGCGTACAGGCAAGCCAGCCTGTTGTAGGTTGTTGTATTCATTAGAGTATGCTAAATGCAACCGTATGGCCTTCTTGCTACTTTTTCTGGTGGTTGCTTGCCCTATGGTGCTCTATTTCTAGTGTAGCTGCTTTCTTTGGTTGCCTCTGGTGTGTGTTTGCTCTCTGGCGTTGTTAGTGCTTCATTATCTACTGGCATTTGCTTGTACTCTAGAGTGTGATACATGCATATGTTAATACTAAATTTTGACGTTAGCCATTTGCATCTACGCGATTATTAACTGATGAGTCTGATGCTGGTAACGCCACTAATGCTGCCAACGTCCATATTGACGACCGATTCACAGAAGGTATGTTCAAGCATTTTACATTATGAATATGGGGTCTAACGATTAAAATTAGTTGCCTACTCCGAAGGTCGTTAAAGAGAAAAGTATATACAAGTACCAAGCACCAGCGCAGAATATCATTTCATCTCTCACACCCAACATTCAAACAAGCGGCTTTGGTGTTCTGAAGGACTGTTTTGAAATCTGCATTGGGAAGAAGAATCAAGATAAAGCTACTGAAGAAATCAAGCAAGAGTTTATGGTTTGCATGAATGAACACAATTTGTACAAGTCTCTTAAAGAAGTACGCGATGATACCCATGACAAACACCTGATAATTTTCAGCACTCAGATCGCCTGCAGTTGAGGAAGGCAATCATGAAGCTATCTGAATCTAACGCGTTTGTACGCACAATCTATTCAATCCGCTTTGTTTGATTTCCCATTGAACTTGAACAAACCTAGTGACTTGAACAAGAGCAGCGACAAACGCAGCATTTTCTGTATAAAGTTTATTCTGAATTCTTGTAGTAATTTTATTCACCAAACGAAGCGTCTTTTTTTTTAAAATCTACAAAATGTGGTAATTATGCAATCCAGCACTGAATAAGAAGGGGAGGGGGGTATATAACTACAAGAAATATTCACTTGCATCATTGCTGGCCTTGTGCACACGGCAAGCAAAACACTTGATCTGTAGATTGGGAGTAGCTGTATATAAGAAAGCGTCAATAAGCCTGAAATCATTCATAAGCATCGCGGGAAAGTAGTCTTACTCGATATTTGAACAGGTGGAACAATATACATGTTGACATAGATTGCATTGTTGTAAGCAGTTTTGGCATAAATGATGTTCGCAATGATGACAACTATCATATGCCACTGCAGTAGAGCATTTATAGCATGCCACAGCTGTTGATAGTACTGGATTGCTGTTATTAAAGTATTGGTATGAAGGTCCTGGATCTGTTGTGGAGGGTGTCATTGGCGATTGCTGCGCTCGCATCAGCATGGCAAAGGTATGTCGAGCTACATTGATGCCACATTGAGCCGACATGGTTCACTGCCTGCTTGTTACTACACGTACCTGCTTGCTGCTTTTGTTCAGGATCTTCCTTGTGTTTCTGGCGTAGTAAATTGACCAAATCATCATCATCAAGACGTCGCTTGGTCATTTCTGAATGTGCAATGGTAAAGCAAATTGAAAGCGTGATGTTCAACAAGGTTTTTTCTCTCATTTTTGGCAGTCCTTTTTATTATTGTTCAATTTCAGTTACGCTACCATTCATAGTCAAATCTATCTAAACGCTCAGCTGCTTCATCCATGTCCTTTTGCGCCTTTTTACGCATATAAAAGATGGGACAATCATTGTTGGAACAAATGACATCTTGATGCAACGACTCTTGACAGCGCTGGCATTGGGTCCAGAGACGAGAAAACTTGACTTCCAGCTTATTCACCGTGTCCAACTGATGTTGATACAATTCAGGTAGTCGATCCTTACATTGTTTGCATGCAGCTGATGTCACTCCCTTAGGTAATGCTGCCTTACATCCCAGACAAGTAGCAGTTTTGACGGCAAAACGCATCAAACCACCAATGGTGGGTGTGGAAATGTTGACCGTTCTTGTATGAGCACCAGATACTAACAGATGGCATGTTACATGTGCAATTCAGCTTATTCAAGTGCCCAAACTTACATAGTGATTCAGCCTTGTCGCCCAAAATGGGTTCAAAGATACGCATCAAGGGCTTGGAGAGTTGGTTTTCGAGATAATATTTGGTGTCGATGGGAATATTATTATCAAGAACGTACAAGGGATCTTCTGAGCGCTCATAAGCAGGTGTATTGTTACTGGCTTTGATAATGACATAGGCTACACGATCACCCAATGCTGGTGCTGAACCTGCATCACGCTTCTTCATGCGTTCTGCCAGCTCAACGTGGGCTTGCTTGTTGGCATAGTCAGATTTACTGAGGGCTTTTGTAATGACCAGTTGAGAGAGATCCACCTTATTTTGTAGCAGATCCGAGATGGTTTGTTTTACAAATGCTTGGGCACCAGCGACATCTCTTTCAATCAACAGCTTATCGAGACATTTGGAAATGATGTTTTGAACAAGCCGGCAGTTATCACGACGTACAGTCTACATGATTATATACATCTTGAGCCTCATATACACATATACACACACACACACACACACACACACACAACGACACTTACCTCAATACCCTTGGCATCTAGTTTGTCGTACTTGTCTTCTCTTGTCCAGTAAAGACCAGCGTATCTCTTCTTGTTGATCAACAAATACGGGAAATACACCTTTTCGAAATCAAGATTGATGGGTCGAATGAACTTTGTGGTTACCAATGTTGCGCCTTCTTTACCCAATGCCATGGCCTCCTTGAGATTATCCACACCAAACTTGATCATAACAGAATCAGTATCACCATAAATGACCTTGGCATCATGCTTGTAGCCATTCTTGATGGTAAAGTGCTCTTCCACCGTTTCCTTTGTCTTGAGAATCATAGCACGACCATAGGCAGTGACACTCGATGAGATTTGCAAACAGGGCAGTTTACCTACAGTGGCACCCGTAAAACCATACACGGAATTGGCACTGATCTTTAACGCTAATTGACGACCATCCAGGACAGCACGCTTAAAGGGATCTGTTTCCTTTTTGAGATCATTCTTGGCTCTCTTACGAGCAGCCAAAAGGTCACTCAGAATAGCGGGCAATAGACCTTTGCGTCGAGAAGCCTTGACAAACATATCACTGTTAGGCGTCACTTCATAATCAACATCCTTGACCAAGTTGAGCTTCTTGGCGATATCAGGCTTCAGCAGCGTTGTATAGCACAGGTTGTGGGCTTGCATGATGGAGGGATAAAGCGAGGTGAAATCCAACGTGGTAATGGGAACGTCATAGTAACCTCTCTCGGGCTCAATGACAGTGGCACCTTCATAAGCTTCATCCGACACCTCAGACCTGATGACAGGAATCACAAGGTCCTCTTCCAGCGCACGACGATACAGCTGCGAGATAACCTTGATTTGTTGACCACGCACCAAAATGTAGTTGAAGGGAACACCCGTGACTCTGGCCATTTCGGTGTAGTTGAAGAGCAGCATGAGCTTGTCCATCAGTCTTAGGGGTAAAAAGGCATCCTTCAAACAGTAGACGGCCAAACGACGGCGCGTTTCCTCGTTGCCATTCTGCAGTTCTGTAATAATGGAGTGGTGCACATCTTCCTTTTGCTCGCCCAGAAATTCCGCAGAGACAGAGTTCAATGTGTAGGAACGAAGCTTGTAATCACGCTGAATGGCTTGCAACATGTCCAACTGTAAACGCCCTTCCAGGTTGATGGATTTGTTTTCACGTGTACCGTAGGCTTTGGATGAGAATTTGGTGTCCTTTGCATCCGTGTGTACGCCTTTGATTCTTCCAAGAAAAGGGAACTTGGTGACGCCCAGATGTTTGGCACGATCCAGCAGATAAGGGAAATCAAAGTTGGTGGTATTGTAGCCGATCACGACATCAGGATCCACGAGTCGAATAAAGTCGCTCCATTTCTGCAGCAGGTCTCTTTCGTCGTCAAAGGAGAGCACCTGAGATCCCACAATGTGTGCACAGCTTTTGAGGGTAAACACATTGCGGATGAATGGCTTCTTTTGACCTTGGATTTGGACAACGGAGGCAATCTGAATCACAGGGTCCACATTGGCCTCTGGGAAGATGCCCTTTCTACCAGCACATTCAATATCGAAACTAAGCACTCGCAGTGGAGCCATGTCTGACCACTCGCCTTCAGGCGCATGACTGATAAGCTTGTCGTATCTTGTCTGCACTTCGTACTGAGCGAATGATGTGGGCTGATCGATCAATGTCCATGTTGAAGCGGGCAATTCAATCCAATTGGAGCCAGGCACCTTGCAATCAATCATGAAGCGAAGAACGTAAGCCAGATTGCTCTCGAATGTGGTATCTGACTGACAAGGACGATCCAGTCCACTGACATAGATGCCTTGCTCGATTTTGTTCTTGCACTTGGAGATATCTCTTGGATCCTTGACTGTCACTCGAATGTAGGGTGATTTGGAGTCGCCGTGGTAGCCGTAAATACTCTGCTTCATCATGATTTTGACATCAAACACTGCTCCTGGTTGTCCAACGGCGCTCTTTAAGGGTGTGTTAGTCATCCATAGATACACTTTGCATAAACATCTATTCTTACAGAAAGCGATTGTTTCAAGGCGGGCAAATGGCTATGTTGAAATCCAAAAGGCGCAGGAAAGTAAAAGTAGGGCAAAAAATCCCTCACATGACAGACCACACTGTTACCGCCCTATATTGACATGTTAGCTATGCCATTCGACGTATATCTGTCTATTACTACGCACCGTAGTAACACCATATAATCTAATAACTGGCTGCTGCACCTTCCAATCCATGTATTCATCAACCTCAATCTGCTGGAACACTAATCAATGCACATGCACACACTTGTTAATTGCTGCATGCCTCAAACGACAACTGTACCATCCTTACCAATCTTATCCTTGGCTGGATCAAGCAAAGGAGCAGGATTGCGGCCCCAAGTAACCTCTGTATTCTCCACTAATCTAGCTGTTTAGCTTCCAACAGGTCAACTAGTCATAGTGCTACTCACGCTTGATATCCAGATCCATGTCATCATTCAACATTTGCAACTCTTGCTCGAAATCAGTAGGTGGTGCTTGTTTGTCGTTGGAATGAGAAGCATTGCTGGGAGCATGCGTTGTCTTTCGCTTCTTCATGGTGGATCCAGGCTCGAACGGCTGAGATGAGATGGTAATGTCTTTATCAGAGTGTGAACTAGTCATGCTCGGGTGTGTGTGTATTGCAAGTGAGAAGAGGATTAAAAAAAAAAAAAAAAAAAATGAAAAAAAAAGCATCGCGTTACAACGCGAGAATCTGAATTTAGAGTGCCCGAAAATCGCTTTGACAGTCGTTCCATAAGGTAAGGAATAAGGCTTGCCTGTGACACGCAATGTAGATGGTACACATGTTATGCTTTTGGATGTCTTGCTCTCTCATTGTGTTGGTCTAATGCCTGCCTGCTTAGAGGGCTGACTTTTGCGATGAGATGAGATATGGGACGAGGTGTGAAATTGACGCGAGGTTAAAATCAACTCCCATGCTGCCAATGTTATTGATTTATCGCGATGGGAAACACTGCTAGACTGTAGCCATTCAGGCACACATTGCTCTGGTCATTCCTCTTGTTGCTGCATTAGACTCGATATGAGATCTGTTTGCGAGGATGCAGAGATTGCCATAAAACTAAATCGCAGTGCAACTTCAAGTGATTTTACATATATGCCTCTTGCCCATGAGAGATTTACCAATACCCTCCATTACACAAATATGGGGGGGACACCGATGTTTAGCCGATGACTCATGAAGAGCTGTAATGCGATAAGGTATATGGGGTTTTTTTAAAGGACAGCACCCACTTCAAATGTGGACAGATCTGTTTTCTCTTTCTTCTCCCTCTCTCTCGCTCTCAACCATCATCATGTTTCGCTTAAACACTACCGCTATCTACAGCCAAGGCAAGCACATTCAACGTCGCTTGTACTCATCAGGCTATGAACATTTGACTGCTCGCAAACAATCGTTCATTGCTCAATCTGGTATCTACCCTACTGGTTTCCGCGCCAGTGGTGTTGCTGCTCTCATCAAAAAGAACAAGAACAAGGATGTAGCACTTGTGGTCTCTGATTTGCCCTGTGCTGGTGCTGCTGTATTCACTACCAACAAATTCCAAGCCGCTCCTGTGCTTGTCAGTAAGGAAACATTGGCCCAGAACAACGACAAGCTGTATGCCGTGGTCACCAATTCAGGCTGTGCCAATGCGGTGACAGGTGCTCAAGGTATTGTCGATGCTAAAAAGATGCGCTCTGTCATGGATGAATTGGTAAAGCATCCTCTCAGTGCACTCACCATGTCTACTGGTGTGATTGGTCAAAACCTACCCATGGACAAGATTGAATCAGGAATCCGTGATGCGTATGCTCACTTGTCTGCAGAGCATGAGGGTGGCTGGATGAGCGCTGCTGAGGCTTTCATGACAACCGATACATTTCCCAAGTTGCGTAGTGGTGAATTCGATTTGCAAGGCTCCAAGTTTAGAATGGCAGGTATTGCAAAGGGTGCTGGCATGATTCATCCCAATATGGCTACCTTGCTGGGTTTCATGGTGACGGATGCCTACGTTAAGCCTGAACTGTTGCAAAAGGCCTTGACCTATGCTGTTGACCGTAGTTTCAACTCGATTAGTGTCGATGGTGATATGAGCACAAATGACACCATCTCTGTGCTGGCAAATGGAGGATCCAATGTCAGAATTGAGTCTGAGGGGGCTGATTATGAAGCTTTCAGAGATCGCTTGACTGCATTCGCTGCTGAGCTTGCTCAATTAGTGGTCAGAGATGGCGAAGGTGCTACTAAGTTTGTTACTCTGCATATCAAGGTAAGCACAAGCCATTGAATTTGGCAAGAAATTCCATCTAATAAGCTGATTTGAATAGGGAGCCGAGACATTTGAAAGTGCTAAAAAAGCCGCTTCTCACATCTCTACTTCCATGCTGGTCAAGTCCGCCTTGTACGGTCAGGATGCCAACTGGGGCAGAATCTGTGCCAGTCTTGGTCACAGTGGCATTGATGTGGATCCCACCTTGGTCAGTGTGACATTTGTACCTTCTGATGGCAGCGACAACCTCAAATTGATGGTCAAGGGTGAGCCAGAGCAAGTGGACGAAGCCAGAGCATCTGAAATCTTGAAAATGGAAGACTTGAACATTGAAGTGGATCTCGGCTTGGGTGATAGCGAAACCAAATTCTGGACCTGTGATTTGAGTCATGAATATGTCAGCATCAATGCCGATTATCGTTCTTGATTTTTCTGTTCTCTTGTAAAATAATAAAAAAAATGATATATATGCGTGTATTTTATTGATGCGACATGTAACGGACTCTACGAGCCTTGCTTAATCAGCGGATGAATGCTTCTCATCTGGTGTTGGCAAGTTGCCTCGACGCATCAGCAGATATTCTTGAAGACTCAGCTTCTTCTTGGCTTGTTTCACTTGTTCCATTTTGTTGTCAATAGGATACACACTAGAAGAGGAGGAAGAGGGTTCAGGTTGGCCACTGTCAGCGATGTTGTTATTACCAGTAGGGCCAGTGGGATGGTTGGAAGTGTCTTGATCTTGTCCTTGTGGTAAGGCAGTGGCAGTTGGATGTGTGGTTGTGTCTGGCACAGTGTTGATTTTGTCTTGTTGCTGATCAACATGGCCTTGCTGTATTTTGGGGGTATCTTCCAAGGGCAGTGTTGAGTCAGAACTAGCACCATCACTTGAATCATCTTGCTCTATCCCATGGTAAGTGTTTCTCGATGTATCTTCTGTAGACGCTGGATCAGGTGCTGGTGAAGATATGGATGGATTCGCTACTTCGCTTTGAGGCTGTTGCTCCACTGACGCCTGTGCACGCTGTCGTTCGAGTTCAAGCTGTTCATGTTCCTTTTGCTGCATTTCCTGCTGTTCATTGAGGTATCGCAGAAGCCATCTCTTCTTGATGGGTAATCTGATATCACCAGGCACAAGGGGTCGTGGCCGCTTGTAATTAGGCAGTTGCGTTTCTGATTCGGTTTCGCTTGTAGGCTGTGATGGCACTGGACTCATTGATATAATATCGATATCCACACTATCCGCCTGAGACACTGTAGGTGATGTAGGTGCATTCACTGGATTTCTTCTGGATGTGCTCTTTTTGATGAGTTTCACTTGCTTGTGCTCTTCCTTGTTGCTGCCAACGCTGCTACGACGACTTTTGGGCTTGCTTTCCTCATCCGATGAAAAGATATCACTCGCGCGAGGAACTCCCTTCTTGCCTGGTTTGTAATGCTCGTTGTTGTCGGAGCGCGGCATTTTGCTACCACTGCTGCTATGGGAGAGTCTTTTTCTTTTAGATGAAGAGGTGGTATTGTCATTCTCTGCTGCTGCTGCTGCTGCTGCTGCTGCTGCATACTGATCGTCGTCTTGCTTTTCCAGCTCATCTTTCAAGCATTCTATCAGACATTCCTCCTTGTCTTCACAGGCGCACTCACCAAATTCGGACGCTAACAGATTCAAGCTTTGCTTCAACGAATCAACTTCTGATGGATTTATCTCAACTCTGTGATCCTGACGTAAGAATTCCTTGTTTTTGTTCCACATCAGATATCCTCGCTGCCAGTTCCAAGAAATGGTGATTTCCTCGCCACGGTCTACTTCTTCCGTTGTATAGATGCCCATATGTATGGTGTGGTCGTCACTGTCGTTGGGGAGAATGATGCCTCTGATCTCTGAGTTGGGTGAGCACGATCTTCGAATGTAGCGAGTGTCATTTCCAGCAAATCGAGCGTCAATGCAAATGTCAATGTTGCGAAAAAAGAACACATGGGCGGGTGGTGTTCCCAGCAGCGTAAAGTTGTTGTCTGGATCATTCTTGTACTCTGATTTGCGCGCGTATTCCCCTGTCACCTCCATCAAGTATCGATGCTCTGGGATATGTATGTCAGCAAAGACGCCCTTCTCCACAGACGGATCTCTTTGGTTTTGCAGAAAACTGCCTCGTAACGACCTTCTCAACGGCTTAACAGATGCTTTCGGGATAGCAGGAAGCAATAGGTTACTCTCCATGACAACAATTGATTCAAGGCCCTTTGCTGCAGCACTCGATGATGTGGATGGTGATTCGACTTTGGATTTGCCACTGAACGATTTGGGCTTGTTGGATTCCATCCATTGACGATGCACTTCTATCAGCAAATGTTCCACTAATTTTTCCTTGAACACATTTTTTGATAATGGCGTAAACTTGGTCTTGGAGATGGTGGGCGGTGTGTGGTGAGCTGTGCTGTCACCATCGTCGCTATCTGGAGAGTAAACACGCTTTTTAGGAATCGCTCGTTTCAAGGGCTTCTTTGATTTTGGCTTTTTATCTATCATTGAAAAGCGTGAGCTGATGGGAATTCCCTCTCCTGTTATGCTTGCATCAACACCATTACCTGTTTCTGATGAAGAATTGCGTCGACGGGTTGCATTGTCTCTTTTGCTGAGCTTCCTGCTGCATCTATCGCACATGTAGTGCTCTGGTATATTGTTCTTTTTGATGTTTACGCATGAAGCATGTTGCCAATTTTCACAGTGCTCACATTGAATCGTAAAGCCATCGTCATCAGAGTCGTCGCATACACACCGTATGATATCACCATCCGTTTGGTCGTCCATGTCCATGCTGTCGCCGTCTCTAGATGCTTGTTGAGCCTTCTTTTTGATAGGATATTTTTGCTTGAGCTTTGACATTTGCAAAACAGTATATTATATAGAAAATGGGGTCTTATTTACAAAGAAGAAAAAGTGGATTAAAAGAGATGTTATAACTGATTATTAGACGAATTTAAGAATGATAGTTGAAGGATTTCATAGCCCAATTCGCTTGTATAATAGTCAATTGTGGTGATTAGAAATGAGAGAGAGTGTGTGTGTGAGTGTGTGTGAGTGTGAGAAAGAGTGAGAGAGAGAAAAAGTGAGAAAGAGAAAAGAAAAGAGAGGAGATCTGAAAAAGCAAAAAGTTATTCTTATTAAATGACGCAAGGCTGTTTAAAGTTCCGGTAGTTGTTGATCTGTTGTTTTGAATTGTCTGTAAATGTAAAGCAGGTTTTAAAGAGAACAGCTACATATTTGTATAGCGTTGGTGGGATGGCATTGACTTCAAGCGCATATATGAGCCAAATTCAATCAGTTCTCGAGTATGCATTTTTGTACAGACATCAAGAGGCCGCATGTTGTTCATCCAGCGTTGTGGGTGATCTTGAACCATGACTCATCATCACTTTTAATGTTTCTGAGGTTCGGCAGTGATGGAGGAGCATGCTTTTATGTTGTGTGAGAAATATACAAGAATGAAAAAGAGATATAAAAACTAGATTCATTCTTATAAACAATTGCTCCAAGATAATACTGCGTCATCTACCTTTTTTCAATTAGAGTTTGTATCCGTTTACCAAAATAGTATACAAAAATGAGGTGAAGTGGATGCACCGTTACTACATACATTGCAATTGCTGTATTTTCAGTCTATTGCTTACATTCGCAGGGTATGAATAGAATCAATGTTGTAAATAAAGCTTGCGTACTTGGAAAATTTATCACCATAATAATACTGCGCTACAATCACTGCTGAAATAGCTTCCCAAAGATGTAATTGAAACTTCTGTTTATCTTGTTGAATGGCTATCATATACTCAAAATTAATTAATGCATGCCGCAATGTTTTTGTCTTTTTTTTTTTTTTTTTTTTTTTCAGCATAACCATTTTTACTGTAATAGGTACTTTCATATAACTGATCGTGCAGCAGCTTTATATGAAATCCATAATTCCAAATCATGCAATAACAACACTGGACGGTAAAAGCACTACACCAGCAGCAAGTTCCTGCAAGCGTGCCCATTGGCCAGGGAGTTTTTGGAAACATTCCTCTTTAGAAACAGAGATAGTAGACTGTAGCTTGATCCTCAAATCGCAAAACTGCAATAATATCACCCGTATTCTACAATATTTTGAGCTATTTGGATCTTGCCAAGTCAAATAAAATCACCAATGTGGTAACCGAGAAAAAAAGGAGACTATTGCTTTTGCTGTCATTGTTGACTACTATCATACAAGGCATTATGAAGGTTTCCATTCTATCAATTCTTGATTTCTTCGTATCCTGATTATAAAAGAAAAAACAAATTTTAAGCTAACTCATCAAATGACATTTTTTAGTCTTTATAGCTCAAAAAAAATCAATATTTGAGTGAGTTACACAAATTCTTGGTTTGATCTACTTTTTGGAACCTCAACCCTCAGGATACATTTCTAGTTTTTGGCATTTTTCTGGAAATGAGAGTAATGAGCTATTTAATACGTAGTACCATTTGGTGCACGAAGATGCTGGCTACTTTAAAAACATCTTATGTAGGGGCTGTTCTTTGGTGCTTTTTAAGATATTGGTTGAAAAGTAGATTGATTTGAGCCTCAAAATGTCACTTGAAGCTCAAGACCAGAGCCTATTTTAATGTCCGACTAAAAGAGGTCTAGCTGGGTGATCGTTTTTTCAATGCTAAATTTTCCCGTAAATTTACTAGAAAGAGTCAGGTTAAGAATTGGATGTTGAATTAAAGCACTAAAATATATCTTCTGATGCCAAAAACTGCTATGAAAATCTAGTTTTTCCTGTGAAAAAAGGCCTTTCATGTTTATCACGAAAAAAACGCAGTTTCAAATCCTCAGAAAAAGCCTCTCATTGTACAGCAAAAATATATATTTAGAGCAAAAGATGATAGCCCATCGCAATGAACTCAATAATGCACAAAGCATGCTCGACCAAGCAAAACAGTAGAAACGCTCAGTACGTTAGTAAAACGATATTCTGGGATGATTTAGTATTTCCTACCTACAAATTTGACATTGTGGTGCAATACTAAAACTGTGTGCTTGACACGATAGGGGAAACTTTGATAGCGACTGGAAATCTGTTTATGTGTTTAGCAACTTCTCAAAGTGGGCATATATTGGCCCTGATATAATACAGGCTTTGACATCAATATAGGGCTTCGAAAAGATATTCTCCCTATTTCGTAGATTGCGCAGCAAACCTCTGACTCTTTGCCAAACAACAACAAAGTAATCCAAGTGGTTTTAAATACAACATTTTGCAACGTCCAATTCATCAATCTATCACGCGTAACTACTCGTAATTATTAACAGGCTCTAATATGAGCCTAAATACTCAAAGTTGGATAATTTCTCAAATCTCGGAATTCTCGTCATCACCGCATCCAATCTAAAATCCAATTGCACCATCATTTTTTACGCAGAAAACTGCTATAGGAACATGCTACTTTCAAAGCTCTAGTATCACCTTTTCAAAAATCGATGTTCGATCGTCCAAAAGTTGAATCCTCAAAATCAAAAAACATTTTGTACATCCAGGTCCTCATAGGTAAAAAAATAGAATATCATCAAACTTAAATATGTTGTAGAATAATAATATTGGAGTAACTTCTAATAAGCGGGAACATTATATTGGAAACACCTACTTCATGAGTTAATCGACATCGGGGATGCTGTTTTTAAGCGAGGGATTGTACATAGAGTAGTCGCTCTATATAAGGCCGTCCTATATAAGGCTATGCGGGGAATAAGGCTGAAATCTTTCAATTTTTTTTACCAGCTATTTAGCCTTAATAGCCTAATTTTATATAAGGCTACAGATTCTAAAAAATTTAGCCATATTTCATAGTGGTGATTGCTGCGATTGAATTTAGGGCCAATCAGATATTAAAAAATAAAAAGCTTTTATTGAAAAGTAGTACATTTAAACAAAATAATCACGTAAATTTGTTTGATTTTTCTCTGCTACTTCCTCCAATCTGATATTGTTCAGATTCCTACGGATAGTTTTCAACATGGACTTTTCTTTTTCATCTATTGGGATGGTATGGTACAAGATAGTTTCATACGCATGCTTCAACTTCTCCTTTATTTCCTTCGTGTCAACGTCGTAAATCTCTTCTGGTTCCTCCTCTACCTCAAGCTCTTGTGATCCCTCGGTAACATCATCGCCATCCTCAAATTCAACATTCACGGGATTAAAAACGATTGCATCAGACTCCTCTGCATTTAAATCCAAGTCGTTTACTTCAGTTACCAATTGAGCCCCATCATTACTTCTATTTCCTGGAAGTTCAGGGATGATTTCGTTCAATTGGCTTACTAGATCATCGTCTAAAGGTAGCTCGAAAGATGGGAGTACATCACATCCTGCAATTTTGTATTGTTTGAGACTTAACTTTGATCCAAGAATCAGCAAGAAAATACAGAAGAGCATCCACCTCATTCATTCTGTATTCCTCGGTAAGATCAAAGCTTACCCCGGCAAAATACTTGTTCACTGCCCTGTAGTATTGGTGCCAACAACGAAATTGAGCCTTGAAGTTCGCAATGATTCCTATCGAGTGTGTGATTAGAAATGAGTACAGATATCAATGAAATATGTTGATTTACCGGCATCCAAAGGCTGCAACTTGCTTGTTGCATTTGCTGGAAGGAAAATCAACTTAATGTTGCTGAATTCTTTTTTCAATTTATGCACTGATGCATTGTCCACCAAGAGAGCAAATCTTTTTCCGGCGTAAACGAAGGATGCATTCAAACGTTTGATATACTTCCTAAAAATGTCGGTGTTCATCCATGCATTGTGAGACGAATGGTACTCCACATAATAGTGGGATTGCCCGATGTTGGTGGTTCTTCTGTACAAAGCAGGTTTTTTGTTTGCTGCCTTTGGTGTCTTTCGTTTCTCAATTACGATGGGGTGCCCTTTATAGGATCCATCATAATAGTTGGTGATTAGTCCAACTGTGAATCTGTTCTTGCTTTTCTTTGATCCACCTAAAGGTTCCTGACAAATGGCGCGAGTTAGTTGTTGCTCGTAGTATAAGCCAGTTTCATCAAAGTTGAGAATATCCTTGGAATCATATGGCTCCAACAATTCTTCAATCTTTCTGAGTTCTTCGACAACAATAGATGATGTTAAGTTGACTGAGCTTTTTTCATTATATAAATGTCTTGGCTTGACGCCAATTCTCTTGAAAACATCGGTTAGTCATCCATCTGAGAAATGGATTTGCTTATTCTTTGGCAATTCATGCATGCGGTACTTTCTGCGTGCGACTACTTTTGCAAAAGCTGCAATAGTTCCACGATTGACAGGAAGTGATTTTGCATTCATAGCTTGAATGTACTCCAAAATGTCATTGTCCAATTGCGGCATTGTCAAGGCTCTGCTGCTTTTTCCCTTCAAATTTCCTCCCTCGTAAGCTTTGGTCATCTTGTCCTGTGAATTCAAGAGGTTCGATACAGTTTTTTTCTTGATTGAGTGATGAAGGTTGAATTCCTTTTGAGCCCATTGACCGAGTTGCATTTGCGTCAGATTAGGAAAGCACATGTTGTGCCTAATAGTGCGATACTTTTGCTCGATTGTGAGGCGATCTCTTGATCTTTGATTAAGGCACATGATAGGATATTACGTTCAATGGAAATGAAATAAACAGATAAATAAATGCTACTGGGGAGGTATCTGTAATGAAATAGCCACCCAAACGCAACTTAATTGAAAACCAAAGTTCATCAAATAGCACTCATTCAAATTCATGCTATTTGGATCTATTAATGAAAGCGCTCAAATGTACATCAAAAACCCATTTAAAAATACTAAAGTAAAGATGCACGCTTATATCGCACATCGTGTGAATGAATCACTCCTGATCACAGTGTATTCAATCACACCCATGATGGTCGTAATAGGTGATGGTATCTTTATCCAAATAGAATTAAATCAATAACAAGCATATTCAAATATGACAACTATGCCCTGCTGCCATAGTTGCACAATATCCCAGATAAAGGATTCCATGCTTCAATAACAAACATCATACTTTAAACCATCAAGGTTACATTAAATCATGCTATGACGATAGCTCACCCAAGCCCAGCAAGGTTACTCAAATCGACCCTTATGGCCAGTGCTCCTGCATTGACTACCACTTTAAATCAAACATCAACAACATTTGCCAGATATCGCAATAGCAGCACCTATTGCTCTCTATCATCACTAATCCTACAAGCCAGATGCAAATGTATAAATACTCTTCTTTTTTTTACTCAATTCCAGGATCTTCAGTTCATTTTATACACAAAATAAAATACAGTTGATTTCTATTGTATTTTACCTTTGCTTTATTTTTTTTGTGAAATCCATTAAACCTGATTTCACTGCAGTATCAAATTGATTTATTCGATCAACTATTATAGTAATAGATTCTACGCGTACGACTTGTTTTGACAGAAGTGACGCGCGTCAGTTAAGGCTATGCGGGCAATAAAGTTAAAAAAAAAAACCTCGTCAAAAAAGTAACTTTATATAGAGCGACTACTGTACTTTAAATTAGAAAAGTTATTACTCCTGAATAAAGCAAGCTACAGCTGTCTAGTCTTGACAGCAAGATTTTTCAACATGTCAAGTATCTATTGATAACTTGAAACCAGCAAGTTAATATGGCCCTTTTCGTACGCTCCGATTTTTAAAATGCTCGGTCAAATTCATTCTTGTGTGGTGTGCACGTGCAGAAGGTCAACGGAGCTTCAATTTCTATTGTTCTGAATGATGATCCATGGGATTCCGAAATCTATTGACCTTAAAATTATGCGTTTCTTGATAGTAACCATCCCTTCAAACTTATACGAAACTTGTGAAGAATTCAAAGGAGAATACAATGGTATACATATCAAGTGTCTGGTGTACATTGCTCAACTGATTTTTGATGAGATAACTTTTGCGACTTTTTCGCTGTTTTTAAAAGATTAATCAGTATCTGTCATCAAAACATTTTGTTAAGCATTACTAAACATTGTAGACCAAAAAATTTCCTGTCAAATGAGCTATTGCTTGAAGCTCTGGCATAACTCTATTATAGAATATTGAAAACCTTGTCCTGACCAAAAAATCGTCACCAGATTTTTCCCTTGCTATCACAGGTAGATTTAAAAAAAGCGGTGGCAGCACCGGTGAAGTCACCGCTGACGATAAAGCCTAAGCGTATAATTGTTTTGGTTGTTCTTGTTTCCTTTCTGTTGCTTCTAAAAGCACAATGTCGATACATTGTAAGCCAACTAGTTTAACTTTGTGCTTACCTAGAACATTAATCACTTGTTAAATTAGCTCAAGATACAGAGGATTTCATTTTACCCGATAAATGGAGATCTGGCACGGACGTTTTATGCAAAAACTTGCTTTGTGATGCCAAAGTTATAGATCTTATTGCTCGCTCTTTAGTAGGTAATGTATTCCATTGTTCATAAAAAGATGTTGTATCTAATGCACAAGTCGCTTTTAGATTCAAACATTTCTACAAATAGTTACAGTTTGGCTTCAACAGAGTGAGCAGATGATAGCCGCTCTGGCATGGTTTACGCACCTAAAGATCAAAGCAAACATTTTCCACCAATTCTCATTGAAATCCAGGATAACGTCGACCAGATGTTCATGTTACGCGCCATCAAATACTCATCGAATGTATCTTACCGGTACAATATGCTACCTATTGTTCTTGTTATTGCCAGCAAATCCATGCCGAATGCAGAATTCAGAGCAGAATTTACGTCTTCTGAGTGTGGGCTGTATCTTACAACTGTCTCAAAATTCTGGGCCAAGCAATTATTGGTAGTGACTCCGGAAACCGTCTTCAACCACCTTCAATCACCAGCATTGAACCCAATGGCAGCCCTTGGATGTTTCCTTGTACGCACTGATAGGAAAATACCATCCCATTTAAAGTCAAACATAACAATCTTCAATTGCAGAAAATATTTTGTCAACACAAAACACCCAGAAGACTAGTTCTAGTGTTATTCACTGTCTAAATCAAGTAAAGAGAAACTTGGAAGAAATACTTGAAGAAAACAAAGGACAACGAAATTGCAGCAAAAAGACAAAGAGCTACGCACAAGAAAGCCTCTTATCAATCAAGCAATTAGAACGAGAACTGCAAGATGAAAGTGAGGAAGAAAACAAACAGTCAACCAAGTACACCAAAGAGGATGCCAAGTTTATTGAAGAAATATGCAAAGCTGGGAAAAGTAAGAACTGGAAAGAAATCTTCAAGGGAAAAGAAAAGGGATTATTCAAGTCCTATAAGTCACCTAATACTTTAAAATCATCCTACTACCATATCCAAAGAAGAAAGAAACAATGATTAGTACTTTTTATTATATCCTGCAATAAAACAAATGTCTGTGTCCTCATTGATATAGATGAGTGGTGAGTGAGAAAGATAGTAAAAGAAAAGATATGCTTGTTGAAAGAGACTATAGTTTCTTTTGCATACAAGTCATCATCATCATCTTCTTGACCAAAACCGCTTTCACCACTGACACCGTTCATGGCTTGAGCCCCACCAGAAGTGGCAAATCCTTTAGGGAATTTAGTTAAGCTAATCTCTACATCAAATCTATGGATTCTCCTCAAGTGTAACTTGTAATTGCTCTTTCCTGATAGCCGCTCCGCACATTTTGCACAACAAAGGTTAGAATCACGAATGTCAGTAGTGACATCCGGGTTTGCCATTACTCTTCTCGGTGGCGTGTCTGCTCCATGAGCCAGTTTTAAATGTCCCGCAAACCTGTTTCTATTCTACGAATTTCGATAACATTTGGCACAGTAGTAGTTTGGACTATTGATATCTCTATTTGCGTTGAGATTCACATTTGCATTGGATAAAGGAGCAAGCTTCATATGGCGAGTTTTTTGACAGTGGCGTCAATACGCTGGTGGTCTGTCCCCGAAGCGCCAACGGCAAACACAGCAATGCCAGTTGATAATGCTCCATGTCCGTATCTATAAAAACGTTACAGGTACAGGCAGGCATCATTTTTGGATTGTTTCTTACTGCTTAAATACATGCAAATTATAACGAAATTTGGAGGCATTTCAGTCGTTATTTCTTGCTTCGGAAGGCGTTTTAGACTACCAGAAAGGCACTAAACAATTTCTCTCATCTAATAGTAACTTCCTTGCACGTTTGCTCAACTTTTTGGAGTCCCAAAAAACATGACCGAAAATTGACTCCAAACCATAAGGGGGTACCTCATGGTTTTCATCAAAAATTAAACGATCGCATTTTTCGCCTTGAAAATGAAGACTTTTACTATGGTACATATTAATTCAACCTGTTTCTCTCAACCCAAAGTAACCTCTGAAACCACTTTTGAGCAGCCCTCATATGCAAAATTTCGAGTTTTTGGCCAAAAACCTGATTTGATATTTTCTGAAATTTCTCAGTAGTTTCATTCAAAACACCTATTACAATTAGCACCATTGGAAGCGCCTTGAAAAGCCCTCCAAGAATGTATTAGAAACCACTAGCTGATTATCGCAGTTTATATAGTCGAATCTCATAAAACATTTTAATCAAGTCGAAAAACAACAGAATTTGGCCAATCTTGAACAGAAAAAAAAACTGAGTTTGAATCAATTTTGGCGGGCGTCGCTGTTGATGCTGATAATAATGATGATGCCAGTGAATATTGCGATGCCAGTTAAATGAGGATCATAAATTTGCAATGGCAACCTCTCAAAAAAGTCGCTGTAGATCTTACACAAGCCCTGTATTTACGCATGACCAGCTCTATATCATTATCTTAAGGGCAACATAAGCGAATGTGTACCTCCCCATATGACTCTGATCTTATAGCCTTTCTTTCACTATCAGTTGATTGTTTAAAATCTACTTGATATTTCTGATTTGAAATGTCTTCGGCGAGAGTCCGCAGGGCGAAGCCATCACCTAGCGAAGCGAAATGGATAGGCTAGCTGTCTTACACAAGAGATTAAATACATTGTTAAATTTAATTGACATGTCAGGATCGAAAAAGGAAAAGGGTGTGGCGAGTAAAGAGGATATTTTGTTGGCACTTTAACCAAAAAAAAAAAAAAATAGAGAATGGCAGGCAAAACAAGCGCTGCCGGATCAAAGTGTGTCGATACATGTTGTTGGTACGTTAGCCACTCCCCTTTCAAGTGTCTAGGGACCATAATAAATACATAGTGAAGTAAATTGTTCGTATCATTCTTCTATACGGTGCCTCCGAATATACAGTACTGCAGGTTTGCAGTGAGTACTTACATACTATAAGATAGGATTAGATATTCCACTGAAAGCAAAATACTCATTACTTGCAATGTACTATAATTTAAGATCTTGAAATTGGCAAGATATCTGTGCCATTTGATCAGTCCATTTGATTATGGTACATGAGGCTGTGCAGGCATTGACTGATAGCCGAACAAAATGTAACCGAGTGCTTTAAGTACAAGCACATTATAGCAGTGGCTTTGCTACATACTTTGAGTTGGAACAATAAAGGAGAACGGCACGTTTGTTAACGGCTCCGGTAAAGTTTAGCGTTTGTCGATTGCCCGAAGAGCTTTGGTTTATGGTTACAAAGTCTTCATCTGTGTATGATCTGCAACAACTATCTCAAGCCTGCAAACGGTTCAAATAAATCAAAATAAAATATTTTCCAGGGCCCACTATACTATCCCTAGTGCAATTGTACAAGTCATCCTCAAGAGTTGAGGCTTTCAATCAAGAGAACCGATCTTTCCTTGAAAACGAAATGAAGATAGCAAAGATTGTAATTGTGGACAATGAAGACATATTGTCGAGCTCAGCTAAAGAGATGTTTTCACGATTGCCAAATCCTGCCACAGTTGGAGTCGTCAACATGAATCTATATCTTGGAGTTGCCAAGCCCTTGTGTTTCGCTCTTTGCAACTGCCCGTCTCGATCCCACTTTGTTTAATCCACCATTGCGCCTGGGCCTCACCCATCAAACATATGTGTGTGCTACACATCGCACTTTGAAGCGCCAATGCAGTAGATTGCTTCGTGCTACAGCTGCCATCTCTATACTGTGTAATGGTCTTGTCATTTATCCAATTTAGGGCGCGATACAAGAAGATGAGGTTTTATCCGTCTGGAGGCAACTTTGAATACTGCAGCTGTAGCGGGTTACTGGGCAGACAACTAACGTAGACTTTTGTCTACTTCTGGTTCATTGTGGCAATCTATTTAGTCTGTACAACCATGCGTATTTGAAAATGTCAATATGAAATGTATACAATAAACATAAAAGTGATGATGATGCATTTATTTTTTTATAGTGCACTTTGTAACCAGAGTCCATTCAAATGTGTGCACACGGTCAAAAATAGATCATCACACATCAAAGATGTAAATGTATGAAATATCAAGGTGTAACACTTGAATACTAAAAGATGAATAGCGATTTAAACCTTTTTTTTTCTTGCTTTCTCTCTTTCTCTCTTTCTTTTTTTTTCTCTCTCTCTCTTTGTCATCAGCAACATGAACTATTTACCATCTACATTAGAACCCAAAGGCGATCTTTATTACCAAGAGAGCAATGAGTTTTATAGCAGTAATACCAACTCTGCGACAGAGGAAGATGAAGAAGGGCCCTTAAAAAGTAGGTATATCCCTGTTTCTTTAATGCCCTGAATCCATGTCTTACTGTCTATCTGTATGTCCAGATTTCATGTCGGCACGAAGACTTCCTTCATTGAATGTACTCTCTAGCAATGCACAGTTACAACAACAACAACAACAACAGCAGCAGCAGCAGCAAGATGACTACATTCGCCTTAAACTCTCGGGGATGTCCGTATGTGTTTCACCAAATTTCCCTCGTGGCCAAGCTACTTTAGAACGTGGTGCTGCTGCAAACGAATATTTCCCTCCTCCACCTCATACAACCACCACGATAAAGCCATTTGATCCCTTGAGATCCAGCACTTCACTGCGAAGGATTCTCCACGACAATCATGGGCGTCGGCATTCCATAGCCAACATGGATCTCAATCGATCCCCTCAAGGTAAACATGCCTCAGTACATGTTGATTAAACACATCTAATCCATCGCATACACGCATAGCACATCCCTCTTCTATAGCATATCATTTACCACAGCAACCACCACAAGCACAGCAACCATCATACCATCACCTTGCATCATTTCCTGGACACTATTCAGCTCCATCAAGCCCACCACTTGAACCTACATCAGGATCGATGACATACCATCCACAACCATCTATGCGACGAAACTCCTCGACTCTCATCTACCGCGAAAAAAGCATCACAGAAACAAGACGCATGTCGTTGGCAAGTATAGCTTAATTTAGCCCTTTTTTTTTCAACTGTCTAATGAATGTTTGTTTATGTACTTAATAGAATCAATACTCTCGGAACAGCCGTATAGGGAAAGCCGTTCAAGAGGAAGACCATGTAAAAGATGATATAGATGGTCTCTACTCCAGAAGTCCAGAGCTTCGTTTCAGCCATAAATTAGCAGAGCGCAAAAGACGAAAGGAAATGAAAGATTTGTTTGAGGAACTAAAGAACGCATTACCAGTAGACAAAACGCTCAAAACTAGTAAATGGGCAATATTGACAAAAGGTGAGTGTAGAAATTGATCTGCCAATGGATGCAGAGACACATACTAATTTGCTCATACACTCTCAAACTAGCGGTGGAATACATATCTTTATTACAAGACAGAGATCAAAGTATGGAGCAAGAGCTTATTTCACTCAAGCAGCAATTGGAGCATTTAAAGAAATAAATAAAAACTCAACTACACAGAGGTTGTAGTAGCAAAGTATTTTGGCATGGACTCCCAAACAGTTTCGGGCTTGACCCAGTAAACAAATTGCGAGGCAATTCTCTGCTTATCCGAAGGCACCAGAGAAAAATGACGATCCAAGCCTTTCTCCTGACGCATGAAAAAGGCATCCGTCTTTCTCAGGCGAGTGGCAGGGCAGAAATCGTTCTTTCCATCACCTGTATAGGCAATCTTCTTGAGCGAATCGGCGCCTCCGTAGCGCTCAATGATTTGATCCAGTTCCATTCCTTTGCAGATGTTGAGTGAGCATGGGTTCTGGCAGTGGTGCTGTGGTGCAGAAGCTGATATATGGCGCTGAACTCTCAATCTCCCTTGCTCGTCGTTGTAGCTTGGATTGGTAATGATTTCTGTCACGCAGTCCTTGACGCCATATGCCTATAAGATACAACACCATTGATATTCACACGCTATCAAGAGATACAAACATATGCACTTACATTGAGAATGGTGTCGATGTAGAATGTATTGGCATCTGACAGCAAAATGACAGGCACATTTCTTGATTTCAGATCAAGCAGCACATTGCGCATTTCTTTTGTCTGCCACCAAACTATGAGTCCTTCTGTACTGAATCATACGCTATACAAACCACTTACGAAAGGTATCTCCTTTAATGCATTGGCCATGTCATCCACCGTAAATCCAATCTCTTGCAATCTACACAGAGCATGATCCCTGCATGCAAGCAAACAGCTGAGCATGACGTATACCGCTCTAGTGCATCTGCCCTTCTACTTACATCAAGTCTGTCCATTGGTAATCATGTCTCTTGTCACACACTTCTTGCCATATCTCGGGCGAAAGACTGTAAATGGTCCAATAATCACTGTCCTGTTCAATAAGTGACCTACTCAATGCTATCAACAATGGACATTCCTGACTGAAAATCTCCATGATCCGCCGTTACCAGTCGAAATCAAATATAGCTATACTATCGGCATGTGTGTTAGTCATCTTGAAGTAATGTACAAGGAGAGGAGAAAGAAAGAGAAGTAGAATGATGTGAAATCAACTCTTTTTATAGCGGTCGAACCATGCCAGACATGCGAATGTGTCATCTTGCATATTTAAAAGTCCGTTTTTATCACTCTACTTTCTTTTACCATAACTTTTTTTACTCCATCTTTGGTGCACATTGTCCAACCAGAAAGCCATTCGATTTATCGTGCAAAATCCACTCGGTACAATGTCCGTACGTCGTAGCCCAAGGAATAGCCACGTTGTTGCTACTGTTGCAAAGCAAGAAGCATCCCCAATCACAACACAAGCCAAGCGCTCCTTCAAGCACGATCCAGACAGCAAACCACTCGCAGCCATCAAAAAGACAAAGTTGGAAGTGGTCAAAAAGGAGGAAGCGCTGGAGCCAGATAGATCCCTCTTACACAGATCAGATACTAAACAACCGCCTGCCAATTGGAACATCGTATACGATTTGCTAGAGGCATTGCGAGAGAAGGAAAAGGCGCCTGTGGATACCATGGGCTGCGAGAGATTGGCTGATGCAGCTGCCACACCCATCATACAGAGATTTCAAACACTGGTGGCACTTATGCTATCATCACAAACCAAGGATACCGTGACAAGTGTAGTTGTGCGAAAGATGCAACAGAAGCTACCAGGAGGGCTCTGTCTACAAGACATTTTGGACATTGATGAGGCGGCTCTCGACAAAATGATTGCAGCTATCGGATTCCACACAAAGAAAGCCGCCTATCTGAAACGCACTGCAGAGATTTTGAGAGATCAGTACAATGGCGATATTCCAGACACTATCGAAGGATTGACCTCGTTGCCCGGTGTGGGGCCCAAGATGGGTTATTTGACATTGCAGGTAGCTTGGAACAAGAATCTAGGTATCGGCGTAGACGTGCATGTCCATAGAATCTGTAATCGACTGGGTTGGGTCAAGACAAAGACGCCTGAAGAGACCAGACTGGATCTTCAATCTTGGCTACCCAAGGACAAGTGGAGAAAGATCAATCCCATCATGGTGGGCTATGGGCAGATTGTGTGCTTACCGAGAGGCCCTAGATGTGATGTGTGTCCTGTGAATCAGTATTGTCCATCATCCGAGCTAAAAAAGATTGTCAAAAAGGTCAAAAAGGTCGAATCAGTCTACTTTAAAAAGGAGAAGGAAGAGGGGGAGGATTTCTAAATCTGTTTTTGTTGATACCAACATTAAATCTACTATACAAAAGTGCATCAGATCAATGTGATCCATTTGATTTAGGCATAAGCTGAAATAATTTTTTATCCGTATATTCGGTTACATTTTGTCTACATCGTTCGAGAAGCAGTTTAGTATTGACACAAATATTGTGGAGCTTCTCAGAATTGACTCCATCAAGCGCCATCTGCACTCATTGCAAGAGGGGCCACAATTTATCAGCATCGCAGGATAATAACCAGGAATCCGGCCTATAAAACTGATATGGCACCTTCCTGAGATCTGAAAACAGATCCTCATCCAAGACGAATGTGTCCATACACAATATCATATCAAGGAGGCTTTGCTGCTTTAAAGTCCAATGGATGAAAAATGGCGAGTTGATGGCTGTTGCATAGCAGAAGACAAGACATCAAGAAATGGGCACTTGGCAGATATAGCAATATCATAACCACTCATCTTAAAGAAATATTCCCAATTGCAGTCGCGCATCGACTGATGTTGGCGGACAGTTTGTAGGACAAAAAATGGGCTATCTGTTTACAGGCAAGCTGAATATGGTGGCATCAAGACAGCAAAGAAATTGTGCAATGGATCTTTCGAAATGCTTAAAGTATTGAAAGATAAGACAAACAGCACTCTCTCAACTCACTTTGAGTTGTCACACGAACTGTCTATTGTTGGCTATTACACTGGGGGTAGTCAAATTTGCACGTTAGCCAAGACACCATTTAACAATGCTTTGAATTTAGAGAATGGCAGTGGTTTTAGAATTACTGCCAAAAAGGGGTGTAATCTCTGGTCAGGTTGTCCCCACATTTATGTCAACTGCTGCTCGTAGGAAGAAGCGAAAGATAAATAGTGATTTATCACAAGAGCAGTATGTTCCTGATGTATCACATTCAACAAGGTATTTGATAGCGACCCTTCTTGGGTCGACGCAGAGAATATTGCTACACACCTCGCCACATCACCACCATCAACAGCACGCACACGTCGATTTCTGGATAGGCACCATTCATCCGATAGAAGAAAAAAAAATGTATCAGACCAAAATCAATATGCCTGGTATTCGAATTAGAAATTGCGCAGGCTGCAGAACTGCCCTTCTAGTAAATGACAGCTACCAAAGATGTGCTTCATGCCGTGTCAATAAAAGTTATAATAATAAAGCAAAAACAAAACCAAATTTGACAGCTTTCAAGCCTCCGTATCTTGACATGTAGGCATTTCTGAGCCACCGGAATGACACCAAGCAATTGTATTCGAGTAGTACTAACTTCCTGACACCTTTGCTCAACTTTTTGGAGTCCCAAAAAAACATGACCAAAAATTGACCAAAAACCATGAGGTACCCGTCATGGTTTTCATCGAAAATCAAACGATCGCGTTTTTCACCTTGAAAATGAAGACTTTTACTATGGTACATATTAATTCAACATGTTTCTCTCAACCCAAAGCAACCCCTGAAACCATTTTTGGGCAGTCTTCATATGCAAAATTTCGACGTTTTGGCCAAAAACCTGATTTGATATTTTCTAAAATTGCTCAGTAGGTTCATTCAAAACATCCTTTATAATTAGCACCATTGGAAGCGCCTTGAAAAGTACTCCAAGAATGTACTAGGAAGCATCGGATGATTATCACAATTTACATGGTCAAATCCGGCAAAATAGATCGATTAAGTCGAAAAAAAGTCGAATTCTGGCTAATCATGATAAAAAAAAAAAAGTAGTCTGGGTTTGAACTAATTTTGGCGGCGGCGGCGGCTGCGCTGCTGCTGGCTGGTCCAAATGCCTTCTGATGCTGATAATAATGATGATGCCAATGAATATTGCGATGCTAATTAAATGAGGATCATAAATTTGAAAAGACAATCGCTTAGCTTGAATAACCTTTTTTTTTTTTTTGCTTTTGTTGAGAGTTTTTTTTCTATAAAAACGTCTTTTGCAATGTCAATATCTTAAAAAAAAAAAGTTGCAGTAGATCTTATAGACATTCTGTATTTACGTATGGCCAGCTTTATGTCGCCATATCAAGAGCAACATCAGCGAATGATATTGCAATTCTATTACCAGAAAAGAGTATGGTATACAAATGCTTCATAAAACTTGCACACTCTTTCAAATTGTCTCAATACATAGTTTTCGTTTGATATCATTGTATAAGCAAAGGGGGTTGCGGGTGGAATACCTCTCCGCCACTCCTGACTCTGATATACTCTTCGTAGATATCCCTGATTTGAAATGTCTTCAGTGAGAGTCCGCATCGGTTAGTACAATTTATATCTCGATTCATGAGTGATTGCAAACATTACCAGCGCAATCTACACGCATTCCCGACTGATACAACTTGGTTAATTAAAGACAAAAATGCATGCGAGCAACGCCCATTCAGCCTCACGTTCCTCCTTGCTCCATGGCTTTTGGCAACAGCCGATCACAGTGTTCATCTATGGAAGATCTACAACTTCAAGTGATTCGAAGGGCTTTGGCGTCAAGATTTTTATCAACAATGGGTATTTCTGTGATTAGGGATGGCGAAAATGACGCCACCATAATTCCAGGCACCAACAACACTGGTTTGAATTCGTTTACGGAGACTTTGGCTAATGTGCTGGCATCTTATATGCCTGTCGGTGTAATGATAAAATGTACATTCATCAGCATGACTAAACATAATTCATCAACATCACTACATATAATAAATCAAGGAAGAAATCATTAGCAGTTTGTTTAGTATCTCTTGTTGCGAAATAGACGGGAATCTCAATGGAATGAGTCAGTGCTTACCATCAGTTTCTTTTGTAATCGCATTTATATGACAACAGAAGCATACCGTTTCTCATTTTTGCTTTTCCTAAACAAATTACATGCTATGACAACCGCCCGAGATGATTTATTAGAGCTTTTAGCTTTGAAAAAGCAGGAATTCAAAGATAACAAGACTAAAAACACACATGCTCCTTCAAATGATAAAAGAACCGTGCAAGATGTATCTGAGCAGTTTGATGAAAGTAAGCCTTGTAGTACGTTTGGCTGTTCTTTTGTAAATTTACTCAAATTCCAATATAGAGCCTGACAAGAAAGATGCACAGAAAGTTTCAGATACACACAAGGAGGATGAGCCTAAGAAAGATGATGCAAAGCCAGCAGATTCAGGATCAACTAACAAGAAAGAACCTACCAAAGAGCAACAGGAAAAGTCAAAAAAAGAAAGCAAAGAAAGTACACAGACACTAACGGATCAAGATGCTCAAATATCTGGTCAGGAGCACAAGCAAAAGCCTGAGAGTAGCAACGCAGCCTCTCAGAACAAGAAAAAAGAAGAGAACATGCGTCAACAAAGCCACGACAAACAAGATAAACCCGAACATTCCTCCATTGAGAAGGCTCAAGGTAGATATCAAGATGCAAACAAGTTAGATCAGCAGCCTGAACAGGAAGAAGCTCATCAACAAAAGGAGCACGAAAAAGCTCAAGCTGCACACAGCCCTAAAGAGGAGGAGCAACGTGAACATCAGCAGCTTAAACATGAAAAAGCTCATCAACAAAAGGAGCACGAAAAAGCTCAAGCTGCACACAACCCTAAAGAGGAGGAGCAACATGAACATCAGCAGCTTAAACATGAAGAAGCTCATCAGCACAAGGAGCACGAAAAAGCTCAAGCTGCACACAGCCCTAAAGAGGAGGAGCAACGTGAGCATCAGCAGCTTAAACATGAAGAAGCTCATCAGCACAAGGAGCACGAAAAAGCTCAAGCTGCACACAGCCCTAAAGAGGAGGAGCAACGTGAGCATCAGCAGCTTAAACATAAAGAAGCTCATCAGCAAAAGGAGCACGAAAAAGCTCAAGCTGCATACGACCCTAAAGAGGAGGAGCAACGTGAGCATCAGCAACATAAACAAAAGCAAAGGGCTCAAGAGCATCGTGAAGAACAAAATTTCAAAGAGCAAAAACATAAAGATTCGGGATTGAAGGGACAAGCGCATGATGGCCAGGAATACCAAGAGCAAAAGAAGAAAAAAGAACTTCCTAAAGAGGTGGATACAGATGCTCATCCTTCAGCAAACGAGGCACCCGCTGTCAAGCAGCAACAAGATACTAGTACGGAACCCTCTCAGCCAGTCCCAGCTCAGCAGCAGCAACAGCAACAAGATACTAGTACGGAACCCTCTCAACCAGATCCAGCTCAACAGCAGCAACTTTCTGATCAGGTGCCTTCAGTAACAGATCAAACAGAGACACTTCAAGCCACGGAAGACGATGATGTCTCAGTAACAGAACAAGAGGATATGGGTCAAGAAAAGACAGTTGCTGCCGAATCATTTTTTGAAGGATACGGAATCGCAGCAGGGCACGGCGAAGATGAGTTTGGAGGTCTAGGATTGATTGGCGTGTTTGAAGAGAGCAATGCAAGCTCCATTGGCGCTGCATTAGACAACTCTTATAGATTAAATATGCTCGCCATCTTGTCTCTTTTCCTCATGTATTACATTTTAGCCAAACAGAAATAAAGCTCTCTTTCTTTTTTATTATTTTTTTTTTCAATCTTTTGTATGTGGTGGTTCAATGGTAGTTGTAACATCGTCTTTCAAATGCGGCACATGTCTTTCCCCCGTCATTGCTGGTGCAGGATAGTCTACTTCGTTTGGCACCTGTCTAAACCCTGCAGAACCCACTGAATACGGCTCCACTGTGGTTGATGGTAATGAATCTGAGGCTGCCACACTATTATTTCCAGAATAAAACGCTTGATGTGGGTAAGGTGTTGTTGCAACAATATCATCATAGTATCCTCCTCCATCTGGGTAGTATTTGGATTCTCTGCCATCACCTTCCCTCTCTCCTAAATGGTTTAACGGTGCAACCAAATGTCTAGGTGCTGGCGATAATGATGTCATGTTAGTTGCTCCAGCACCATCCATGGCAGTGGAAGGATGACGCTGATGGCCTCTGTAATAAGAATCATCATCATCATCGATAAGATCATTCTTTTGCCTTTCTCTTTTCCTCTTTTGTGATCGACGCATCAAGAAGTAGCCCAAACCTATACTCTATTAGATAAATGCTGATATCTGTACAAGTCAATTTTTTTTTTTTTTTTTTTTTTTTTTACCTATTAAAGCAATGAAAGCCACTCCACCTACGACTCCACCAATGATGGCACCTGTGTTGACTCCTGCTTCAGTGTGTCCAGTCTGTGGTCCCCCTCCTGCCCCTGATGGATTGCTACTACTATTATTGTCGTTGTTGGTATCATTATTGGTTGGATAGGCTGCTGGATCACTTCCCGTGACAGGTGAATAACTGGCTACATAAGAGTACGATGTGGCTGTTTGGGTATAAACTACGGTACCAGCCGCAGTGATGGTGATATGAACGACACTTGTTGCTTGAACTTGTCTTTTAATATGCTGTGATGGTATGATACTGGATACAGTCTTTGTCGGCGCTATAGCGAGATTCTGTCAAGTAGATGTATCAGCACATTATGAAACAAGATAAGGAGACAGTGTTCCTAATTACCATGAGCGAGGACGGTATTACTATGGAGGACATTAAGATAACCAGTGATGATAAAGTGAAAGAAGAACAAGATGCAGAAAAACTTTTTTAACTCTCTTTTTAAAACCTGTTTGTTGTCTACAATGTATCTCCCCAATGATTTCCTTCATTTTGGAAATTCGGATTTGTGATCAAGGTATAGAAATGAATCGGAGCCACTCCGATGTTGCCTGGATGAAATGTGCAAACCGAGGCACCTGGTTGCTTTCATGTCTTTCTTGGCACGACTCTCTAGCCATCCTTCCGTTACTGACTACAGGGTCTGACGCTGCTGAATTGGCTCTATACAGTGCCTCTAAGCCTTGTCTATAGAAAGCAAAGAGCTGATTGCTTTGCTGCTAAAAATAGTGGCGTAGAAGGGTCATCTGTGCTACAAGATGCCCACAAAGCAAGTGAAACAAAGCGCATTCACTTGGCAATAGATTAAGATGTCCATACATTGATACATTACAAGGAGAGATCAGCCATGCATATATCAGTCAAAAATAGAACCATATCGTAGAGTCATTGAAGCACTAATAAAGTTAATTGAAAGACCTCATCTAAATATAAATATTCAGTTATAAAAATAACTCGATTCACCATTGCTTGAGTCAAGAATTAAATTGAAAGTGGCTAATTTCTTTCTAATGCAAAAGAATACATTGTGCCATATGGTCTTTTTTTTGCATGAACTTGCTAAAAACAGTATGGAAGATGTCGTCTGTTGCTGGCAAGCTACTTCCAATGTGGCAAATGTGATCTTTGGGGAATCCCTGGATTGCGCTCATTAGGCTCTTTTGCAAAGAAAATGGGTCTAAACTCATTGCAAACAAAAACTTAATTAGCGAGATAGAGTTTGATCATGGATACAAAACTTTGCGTGCAAACAATACATGGCTAGCCTCAATGGTATGGTGTACTCTATTGAAAATAATCGGTAGTAAATGGGATCAAAAGAGAGTTGTATCCTCATATATGCACACGCATGCCAAGCTAAATCTATCAGAGCCTCAATATGTAAAGACATCATATATCTCTTTACCTGTAATCTATGATCTGCATGCCATGGTACCTTTCAGGGTTTTGATTTCAATAGACAGCATATTCTCAATGACTCGGCACTAGGTAGATCAGCAACCTCAGCAACAGTGGTTATACGCATATGACATTGTTTCACAAGCATTCGCTTCAAATGGCGCATTTAACCAGGTTTGACGTTTGCTTTAGGCCACGCTGAGCATAAAGCATCGCTGAAAACAACATTAAACAGTGCCCTGACGAACGACCAGCTGCTAAGCATTGATGCCAACCCCTAATCCCATTTCTCATAGTTTCCAAGGTATTTGCAAGAAGGATTTGTGATGCTGATACGTTCCAACACTCAACATGACGTTTACATTTATGTGTGTGTGTGTGGGGGGGGGGAAGGGTTGTAGTTCAAAAGTACTAGGATACAATGAGTTGCAATAGACACACTTTTTATTAGTAAGTATTCGAAATTGGACAAAGATGAAGGCCAAATGCAGCAAGGTAATAGACTATGTTTTTATGGAAATGCTCTTGGTTACTAGGTGTTCTCACTGCACATGGAAAATGTGGGTGCTGAATATTGATGCATAAGTATCTACAGGGGAAAAACATATTAGTAAATCTGTTGTGCTTTGTAATGCTCCCATCAGTCTTGAAATGATTGGTATCCACTGTGCTTTAATTGAAAGAATTGTAACAGTGATACGAGCAAGACAAAAGAGGGGGGGGGGGGAGCGCACAAGAGATCAGTGGAGATCACTGGTTTGATGAAGATGGTAGATTCAAACTTATCAAAGGATAGTATTTGCACACGTGTCCTCACGCTCGGTGAAAGCTGCAACACATACACACACGCAAGTGGTAATAAAACGTTCTTTATATTATAATATAAATGTACGGCGGCTACAGCATCTCGCTTTCCTCAAACAATTGTCTTTCCATCGTCTCATGACGTAGATTATAGGCTTCAGCAATTATCTAAATAAAGAAATTAAGTGATAACCCTAAAAGACAATCAAGCATTGATGCTTACTGGTTGCATATCCATAAAAGGGAGACGAAGAAGCATGGTGCGAATCTCGGATTGTTCAAGATCTTCTAGGTTCTCTCGAGCGTTTCTCAAGATGGCTGTGCAATAATATGAACACATTGATCTCCTTGCTTTTTGTTTATAGATTTCTTACCAAGACAAACAAATGGATGAAATTCTAATGGATCTGGCATGGAGAAATATGAATCTAAGAATCCGAAATGAGTCATGTCGATTTAGCAACACATATTCTCAAGTAAATTTACCCCACAGTCGAACAAGATTATCAAATTTCATCTCTTTTGATAGCAGATATTGTAGCCAAGATGTTGTGAATTCATTTAAATCAACTTCCTCCTCTTCAAAGTAGTTTCGTCTACGCAAGTTGCACAAAAACGAGATGGTTAGAGACACAAAACATCACGCGGTTTTAGAGTAAAGCAATTATTTATATGCAAACACTTACAAGTCTGGTAAAACATATCGGAAAAGCGTCATGAAGTTGGCAACATGTTCTTTCACGGTGTTATGGGTATCGTATTCGTCCACTATGCAACAAAGATTTAGCCATGCCAGTGTACATCTCTCCCCAAGCAGCATTCATCCATACCAATGGCTTGCATTAATCGCTCAAAGCAAAAATAAGCATCGCATTCCTTCTCGAGTGCATGTATAAATGGTGCGCTCAAAGTAACCAGTGCTGGGTGATATTCAACATCTCGATTTGTATTCAGAAATGCTGTAATTATATTTGCGAATCGCTCAGTATAGTGTTTTCCGGCCAATTCAGGTGTTCGTAATTGATACCGAGAAACCTCTCCTCGAACTTTTCTAGCTATTTCTGGGTCAGTTTTGTCCATTTGATCATACTCTTCACTTCTGGCCTTGGAGCTGGACAATTCTTTGGCTTTGGATGTATATGTAAATAAGTGGGTGTGCTCATTAAATGTCATGCGTTTTCATAGAATATTTACATCGATCTGCTTGCTCTACACCCAAAAGAAATTTCCAGACCTCCTGCAAAATCGAGTCAGCACAAAAAGAGAAGAGCATCCACTCACTGTAGCGACTCACCCCACGCAATTCAGCAGGAATGCCATGTCGAGCTAGTATCCGCAGTCTTTCGAGATCTACGTAGACCTCAGATTGTAAAATTTCATTGAAATCATTCAGTATAGACAGAGCTTCATCTTGCTGCATATTCTGGTATAATTGTTGTCTTTGTCGGGCAACGTTGGATTGAAGTTGGAGCATACAAATAAGAGCTTTTTGTCGTTAAGAAGAGGGGAGAAAAGGAAAAGAAGGAAGAGAAAAAGAAAGGAAAATTTTGAAAAGGCTGTCCTGATTCAAAAAGAAGGAAAGAAGCGGCAGGCATCAAACAGCAGCAGCAGCAGCAGCAGCAGCAGCAGCAGCAGCAGGACTTTTAAACCATTGAATCAGTGGATAAAATTTCGGACGGGATGAGCAAGGAAATTTAGACTTTTTCATATTGTGCAACTCGGGATTACATTGGTCTTTATGAATCCCTGTCAAGTGTTGTGGATGTGTGTCTCGGTTACAGGGAAAAATTGAAGCCCTTTTTAGCATCAACAGAGGAAAAACCATTTACTGCTGCAAAAGCTGTAAACATCAATGATAAGATCTCCAGACATTATCTTTCTACGATGCGAAACAAGGACGGGATGATAGCTATATCTACTAGCGATGATTGGTTAGCCTAGATCTAGGCACTTTTTATCTATTTCAAATGCATGGTTTGTTGCCTTTCTCTTTCTTTTTTTTTTTTTTTTTCTCTATCGGTATCTATCTGAGGACTTGATGTTTGATGTCTTCTCCTAGTAGGCTCTGGTGACGGTATGTAGGAGTTGCATTAAGCCAAAGAGGAAAATGGCTGGTTACATAAGCAGCATCGCTTTGATATGGCGGATTGTGAACAATGCCAATTGTATCACTAAAAAAATTGAGGCAAGCTACTACAGTGGAGTTCAGCCAAGTCCTATTTAGCTGCTGAGTGGTAGAGTTGCCATAAGTACAAAGCAGTTGATGAGCTATTGATGTGTTTGTGAATGATTTGGTAGCGCTATGTTTGATATTGTACATGAATACACCTGAAAAATTACAATGCATGTGCGGCTTTCAAGGAGTGTAGACAGGACACTTTCATATTCACGCTTGAATCAATATTGGAAGCAAAAGAGATCAAAGATAGATCCTGTTGTTACTTATCTTTGGAATCCACTATTTTGTTGGGTATCGTTAATGGCTTGATATTAAGTAAAGTATTTTGGAATACTATGCTAATTTAGTCTTGATTATTGAATAATTGTGTTCAGGTCTCTGTCATTGATTTCTATCTACAAGTTGCAGACAGACAAGCTTTATCGTATCTGTGTGAATCCTGCTGCAAAATAAAGCAGGCAGTGCACTTACAACATGTCATCAGCATACAGTTGAAGTTGACAAAGCAAAACTCCTAATTAAAGTGTCCAATGATGTGGATCTTGTGTGTGTGAAATTGATAGTCTTCGATACGACGAACAGAAACCATTATCATTGCCACTGCTCTCAGCATGATTTACTACGACATATTAGATATTAGATATAGAGGCGTCTGGTTAGTTCAGTATCAATGAAAGAGTTTTTGGAATGAGTATTTGTCGAGATACGGCCAAAAAAAGGGCATCGTGCAAAATCGTGCCTTCATAGTGTTGAATGGAAAACAGGAAGCGTTGGTTAGACAGAACTTCTAACGTCTACATCTATGAATGTCAGGGTTGCTAAAAGTGCATTTTCAAATGCGCGAGCTAATTTCTACAATCCTGAATTGGCACCACAGGCAATACATTTATTGAAAATAGCGAACAGCTTATTAAATCATAATATGTACAACTGTTTTTGATCTTGTTGATCACTAGAGAATATATACAAGGGATTAAGGTAACTTTAAACAAAATCATTATGTTTTTTTTTGTAACAAATCATCGAGATTTTAGCCAAGGCTCGCGCATACGCCATAGTAGAGCTACGCTGCTGTGTTTCCTGAGAGTAAGTAGCAATTAGGTGTCTCGAGTAGTGTGCACCCTCGATTTCACAGATGCCATTGCAATACTGGGCTTTTTGCTTTTTCTGCTATAATGATCAGTGTCCAACTTTCGTTTGTTAATTTGTGTATTTGCTGGGTTTATGCTCTGTTTTGTAAGGGATGGTCTCACTGCTCTTGTATTGAAGGAGGAATGCCGCGTTGTGCTGGATGTGTCTGCTGCACCAGGGGATATACTGGAGGACGATGATGTGCGATTTGCTGCTATTGTTTTAACGGAATTGAGACCCTTGCGAACAGATGGTGTGCCATTGGTATGCAATGTATCTGATATAGATCGAGTTGATGTGGGCTTGTACGCATTTTCAATCTTTCGGCTTGAGGCAGCTGTATCTGTGGCACCCATATAGGAGGATGCAATGGAAGATGGTCTAGCTGCCTTTGTTTTGAATGAATTTATAATTTTCCTAGTAAGAATGGGTAGGCCAGCGTTGGGGAGAGATGAATTTGAAGATGAAGGCATCGTCGCTGTTGAAGTTTGATTTGAATTTGATGTAGTTGCTGTGGACGATGATAATGCTATATTGGTATTAGACAAGGAAACAGGAGCTGCATTGGGAGTTGTTGCTGTAGTGATTGTCGCATTGGAAGGCACTACAGCTGCTGTGGATGAATTAGATGTCACAGATTTCGTTGCGTTTGCGAGTGCTTTTGCAGTTTGTTGTTGAGCTTCCATCAAGAAATGTTTCCAATGCGTTTCAGCAGCGGCCATATGCTCGTCTCGGTACTTGACAAGCAAGTCGAGGTATTCGTTGCGCTGTGATTCAGCTTCCTGCTTTCTCTGCCGTCTTTCCTCATCCACATCTTCCTTTCGTCGTTGTTTCTCCTCTTCCACTTCTTTTTTACGTCTTTCTCGTTCTTCTTCGACCTCGTCCTTTCGCTTTCGCTTCTCTTCTTCCAATAACTATACGACAGAACTTAGCCTCGTAATACAATAAGCTTGGCCATGCTATAAACCTCACCTTGTCTTTGCTCTCCATCATTGCTATCAATGCCTTGTTGGTATTCTCGGCTGCTTCCAGCTTACTCTTCAATTCCAAGTAGTCTGCATTCTTTTGGTCATAATTTCTCTTTGTCATGTAAACACCGTTCTTTTCATAATTGGTGCGTAACTCATCCTGGAGTTGTTCAATGGTGTGCACCAGCGACTTGAGATGGAGTTCGCGGTTTATGACATTGTTGGTGCGAGGTTGATTGCAGATACCCTTGGCATGGCTTGCATAATCTAGTGTGCTTCTGATCTCCTCTTGGTTTTGAGTAGCCGGTGCCACAGTAGCAATAATGCATGTTTTGGTGTTTCCTCCAAGCGAGTCTTTCAGGATACGTGTAAGTTTGCTTTCTCTATAGGGGATGTGAGGCGTTTTATCGACCAGTGAATTGATGACTCTACCCAGTGTGAGTAGACTGCGATTGATACTGGCTGCTTCACGAGCACGCATGTTCTCTGAGCCTGCATTTCGGTTGTTCTCTGATCCAGCGAGATCTACCAAATTCAATTTTCCAGTGCTCATCACAGCCTCACCTTTGTCCGTTTGTTTGGTGGTATGCACATTGAGCGTAAAAATACAATGGGAGCGGCTAGTACCAATTGTGTTACTAGATCAGCCTATGAATCTATAATATCTGCTCTAAAGACTTACCTTGATTGCTCATTGCAATTGGTGGAAGCTGTCATTCTCTTGCGAACACCTATCTTCATGATATCGATACCACGGGCTACCGATGAAATATGATACTCTTGACAATTAACTTTGGCACTTCCGTTTTCCTCGAATATCCTCAGTGATTTTTGATTATCTGAAGCAGACAAGAGGTCTCTTAACTCCTCATTGTAGAGTTCCAGCATGGATACGGTGACATGACTTTCGCTGGGTAATTTCTCAAAGAGATCGTGAATGGTACGAGGGATGATGCCAGCGTTTTTACCATAGCTTCCTTCTACTTCAGTCAAATCACCTTCCATAGTGTACGTCTTACCAGTGCCCGTTTGGCCATAAGCAAATATAGTGCAGCTGTAGCTACATGCGATTGTAATGAGTGCCTGGAAGGGGTTGTCGTGGAAACCTTAATTACTTACCCAGCCAAGACATCATTGAGAATGGGTTCAGCTACATCCTTGTATACTGCTGCCTGTGTTTCCTCAGGTCTGAATACACGATCAAAGCTATAGATGGTATTGTTTGTGTTGAGCAATACATCAGTTACTGGTTTTGTAGTGTTGTCGTTGTGGCTGTTGGGCCGACTTGATTCTTGTTGCTCAGGGCTCGTGCTGTATTGACTGATGGCCTCCATAAATTCCAAGATGGATTGGGATGAATTAGCGGATTGTTGTTGTAAGTTGTGAGAATGAATGCCTCTGTGTGTGTACACATAACAATTGAGTAACTGAAATTGCAAAAATATCTATTACAACTTACTTGCAACGAAGCACTACTTGGATATTGGTTCCCTTGGTATTGATGCCGCTTTTATCCATGGTGACACGTCGATCCTTAGGTCCCTTGAGAGGTGGATTAGCAGGAATGATTGTATTCATTGCGCTTTTGGAAGTGATAAGGGCGAAAGGAAAGAGTATAAAGATTTTTTTCTTCGTAAATTGCAGGAGAAATATTTAAATCCAAAATGAGGTCTAGTCACGGTGTTGGATCAGCATAGCGTAGATCACTGGAGGATGATGAATATCACACCAAATAACAGAATGGGAAGCATGTGTGTACTATAAATACATGTTGCTATGTTTGATGTGATGATTTATTTGAGCGTTACAAGGGCAGGCATCACTTGCATGCTCAATTGCGGCGTGAATTGCTTATGTCTCCCTTCCATCCCTAGGTAATCTTCTATCAATACAGGCATGTAAAGCTCTGTTGACGTTGTGGGAGAGAGAGTAGACTGCTGCATGGCAAACTGAGGTATATCATATGTTACAGCGCTCATTCTATTAATCTTACTTTGCAATGATTCAGGCAATTGCTGGACAGCAGAAGGTGGCGGTGTGGTTTCTTCATGTTAAATGAAAGGCATTGGCTGATGAGAGATCAACACACTGTTCCTTGCTGAAATACGACCCGACATGGCTGTGGATGGTCTACATCTGTATTTTAGTAGCTGCCTTGGTTGTAATACAGTATCCAGAGGTTTCGTAGCGATATCAATTTTAATTTACAGCACACCGCCATTTCAGCAAAACTGGATGTGCGAAATTTTAGCTGGCTTCCAGTGTTAAATGGACATTGTGATAACAGAAGAAAATAGGAGTGAAACTGATTCAAGCAAATAATTATACGCCATTGCTCTACCTTTTAATTCCATGATCCTGATGTAATCAGTATCGCAATCATCCTTGTTATCATCATTGTCAGCATCAGGAAGGCATTCGGGCTAGCCAGCAACAGCGCAGCCGCCGCCGCCGCCGCCACCAAAGCTCATTCAAACTCAGTTTATTCTTTTCTGTTCAACATTGGACAAATTTCGTTTTTTTTCGACTTCTTTAATCTTCTTTGTGGGATTCGACTATATGAACTGTGGTTATCATCCGATGCTTCCTAGTACATTCTTGGAGTACTTTTCAAGGCGCTTCCAATGATGCTAATTATAAAAGATATTTTGAATGAACCTATTGAGCAATTTCAGAAAATGTGATATTAGGTTTTTGGCCAAAACGTCGAAATTTTGCATATGAAGACTGCCCAAAAATGGTTTCAGGGGTTGCTTTGGGTTGAGAGAAACATGTTGAATTAATATGTACCATAGTAAAAGTCTTCATTTTCAAGGTGAAAAACGCGATTGTTTGATTTTTGATGAAAACCACGAGGGGTATCTCATGCTTTTTGGTCGATTTTTGACCATGTTTTTTTTTAGGTCTCCAAAAAGTTGAGCAAAAGTGCCAGGAAGTTAGTACTACTCGAATACAATTGCTTGGTGTCATTCCGGTGGCTCAGAAATGCCTACATGTCAAGATATGAAGGCTTGAAAGCTGTCAAATTTGGTTGTGTTTTTGCTTTATTATTATAGCTTTTATTTACACGGCATGAAGCACATCTTTGGTAGCTGTCATTTACTAGAAGGGCAATTCTGTAGCCTGTGCAATTTCTAATTCGAATAGGAGGCATATTGATTCTGGTAAAGCTACTTCATGCAAGTTTTAATGCGTTATGTTGTTGGTAAGCTTATTAATAATGGAAATAAAAAATCGAATTTACTGCTTAAATACTATGGCTTTGCACCATCGTTTTGCTACGGTAAAACCCTCATTAAGATTGATATTACCAAATGTTGGGTTAGATGCTTAGTTGCCATGGTTGTGCTCCTTCGTCTTGCTATGGTAAAACCCTCTTATAGGTCAATGTTACCGAACGCGGAATTAGATGCGTTATGTTCTTGGTGGATGGGCTTAACATCTCCTCCAAACCCCTCTCCCCAATGCCGACTTCGCCGGTGGTTTATTCACCTTGTACAGTACTCAATTCTTTGTATTTCTGAAAGGATATGATTCGTTTATCTACTTTTTTTTTTCGAGTGTTATGATGATGAAAACCATTGAACTGAGGGCATGGAATGCTTTTGAAAGCTGATAAAAAGAGGCTTGCGCATTGAAGAGCACTGTAGTTTAGCTCCACTAACGTCTCTTACACCTGACAAGGTCAACCTTTTAGGAATAACGTTGCAATACATATAAGCCCAATTTCCTTTGTAAGGTTTCAAAAGTGTCCAGCGAGCATGCTAGTATTTATTGTAATTTGATATGGTACAGGTGTCTATCACTTTGCCTCACTAAGCATCTTCGTTCTCCACTGATCCAATTGATCCAACTCTGACGCATCAAACGCCTTCTTTCTAGCAAAGCTCAAGAGTGTATTTAAAGTTTTCTCATCCAAAACAGGTTTGCCATGCTGAGGTTTGCCTGGTACCGACATGTCTTGCTCGACGATAGCCATGGCAGCATCCCAGCCCTGTCTTCCTCTGGATCGACAGAGACATTCAATGTACGAGTTGTAATTGTTGGTGTTTAATTTGAATTGTGTGCGTTTCAAAAAGGTCCAAATCGATTGCGCTTGTTGTATGTAGCCATTGTGTCCGCAACTGTCAAAGACGATGGACACGGTGGTCTGATCTGGAGCGACTTGAGCGTAGTCTGACGCTGCTGTAGACAGGGTTTGCCAAATGTCCAGTACCTTTTCACCGTTTCCTGTTCTGTTGTAAGCATCCATCATGGCATTGTAGATGGCGATATCCGGGTCGAGGTAAAGATCTACCTTGATGAGTTTGTGCACTTGATCCAACGCGTACTGATCTCGATATTGTCCACAGGCATGCAGCATTGCCGTATAAGTATGCATAGTAGGCTGTATTTGCAGTGGTCTCATGTCGTTGAAGATGCTGATAGCAGCCAGCAATCTGGGCGATGATTCGTTTGCATCGTCACTAAAGCTGATGGTGTGATTGAAATCGTCTTTGGATAAGGCTGCAATAATGGTAGAATAAAAGGTGGTATCAAGCTGAATTGGTATCTTGACCTTGTGCTTTGTGGTGGCGGCATCTTGCTTGCACTTTTTATGGTGTTCTCTCAAAGTGTAGTATATTTCTAGCGCACCGTCCAGTTGATTGTCGTTGATATAGGCCAAGATGAGATGCGTAAAAGTAGCAATATCTGGTTTGCATGTGGCATGTCGAAACACAGTGTCGTATAAATGCTGTGCTTGGCTTGATCGCCCGTTTTGAGCCAGCCCATACATGAGTGCATTGTACGCCTTGGTGTCCAACTTGAGTTTGTGTTGGTACTGGTCAACGAGGTCCATTAGATCGTTCAAATCAGAGGGTCGGGCAGACTTTGACGATGCAATATTGGCCAAGCTGTTGAAGATCCTGTCGTTTGGTTCGATAGATGCATTGCACATGTCCTGGAATAGCTGAATCGATGCCTTCAAATGGCCCATCTTGGCTTCAGCATCAATTAGTGTACCGTACGTCACTACATCTGGCTCAAGCTTGGCTGCTGTCATGTCGCCGAATATCTGGTACGCTTTTGCGGGATTCTGGTTTTTGAAGCACACATCGAGCAGTATGTTGAATGTCACTTTGTCTGGCCGAATATGCGGATATCGATCTGGCAGGTCGTAATAGAGGTCCAGTGTCTTGTTCAGCCCACTACTGTCTGCCATGAACCGAATCATATTGTTAACCATGGTTAAATCCACTTCTTTTGGCTTGCATTTCCGTGTGATTTGACTGTATATTTCGCTTCCAAAATGCAGATCCTTTGATTTTACAGCAGCATCCAGTAATGTCGAAAAAGTGTAAATATCGGGTTGGGTCTTATCCGCTTTCATGGCACTGTACATGTCAAGCACTCGCTGATACTGATGTGTGCGTAGCAAAAGGTGGAGCATCGTGTTGTATGTTACAGTGTCTGGTTTGATGTTGCGCTGCTTCATTTCTGCTAGAATCTCCTCTGCTCTATCGACGTTATTCACTCGTTTGTAGCATCCCAGCAAAGTGTTGTACGAGTGCAGTGTGGGTCTGATATTGTCTTCTCGCTTCATGCGCTCCAGTATGTCATACGCTTTCTCTGGCAATTGCTGTATTCCAAAGGCATACATCAAGGCGTGGTATTCAAAGGGCGTGCGTGCCATTTGAAGTCTCTGCTTCATGTCTGAAATGACTCTGTTGATGAAATCAATGTCTTCTCTGCGCTTTCCATGACGAGCCAGCATCAATAATTTGCGAATGAGCTCTCGGTTAATTGATTGCTCGCCTGCCTTGCTAGTGGACATCATGGATTTGTATGCTTGGGCTGCCTGCTGAATGTTACCTTGGCCTATGGCTTGTTGCAACCTTGACAAGTCTTTGGACGGTGTTAGTGTATTTGACGTGGTGGCATAATTGGCATAAAACGTGGTAAAGAGATGTCTTGGGTTTGTGCAATGTTGCTGTGTATGACTTGCTAATCTACGTAATGCTGGGCAAACAACATGCTGGCCTTGTCTCCTTAGCATCACTTGTCTATAGATAAAAGGCTAAAAAGAAAAAAATGCATTTAGTGCGGATTGATGGCCAGGGGGAGAAAGGGATGTGCATTTAAAAGACAGCGTTAAAAGGACATACATGGCGCGCTCAATGTCTATTACACCTCTTTTTCCTTCTCTTCCACTTTATAGCAAACTAGCATGAGCAACAAGAAACAACAAGGTGGTATCAAACCTTCGCAATTTAAAGCCAAGGCTATCAAAGAGCCTCTCATCAGCAAAATCCCTACACAACCCTCTGACGGCATCCCAGATGACGAGAAACTTCGACTCATTGATCAAACTGGCCTAATGAAGAAAGTAAAGCAAAGGGAATCCGAACTTATGGTGAAAAAACAAGCAACTACAGCAGAGTATATATGGCAAGCCATCTTTTTGAGTATTCCATTTGGGTTTCTGATGGCTACATTTGATGTTACTGTCAAGGTGCAATACAGTGAGCCTTGGAACTATGCTGGCATAGTGACTAAATGTGCTAAATCAGCGCCAGGTAAGCTCTTTATAAACTGCTTGTAGGAACAGGTTGATTGATTGTGTATTTTATTGTAGCCCTCGCTCCTTTCATCTACCTCACTAATCGTTATAAATCCACTCGGCTTACGCAAGTGTTGATGGCATTTGGATCTGCCATTGTGGGTTCTTTTCTCATGTACACACTGCGCCATTCACCATCGCTTGGACAAATGATGCGTGCTCCTGGTCTTGCTACTGTGTGGATCTATTTCATTGTGCAGCTTGATCTGATACCCGCCACCGTCACCTTGACACTGGTAGCATTGTACTGGTACTTTGGTCTTCGAGTTTAAATAGTAGAGAGGGGAGGGGGATGGTTACATGCTTTTATTTTGTATGCAACAATAAATAAATAAATAAGTTGGTAGTAAGAACCATGTCAAGTTGTCTATTTCTTGTGGCTATAGTAACGTTGATAAACGGTGGCACCAATGGCAATGACAGCAATACCGACAGTGGCAGCAGCAATCCAGGTGGAAGCAGAAGATGTCTTGCGCGATTGCTTGACAGGAACGGCGTCTTGATTGACCTGGACCTCAATCACTTCCTCCTTGAGAGCGACAATGACCTCTTCTTCCTCTTGCTCTTGAATAATGGAGGGGACCAACTTACCAGCTTCAGATAATTCTTGGATCTCATCAAACAGTTGGATATTCAATTCAAAAGAGTAGACAGCCTCAGAGACAATCAAATCTCTGGTATGTTGATCCACCTTGGCAGCGTTCAGACGCTCACGGTAAAAGTTCTTGAAATCGGCTTGATTGCCCAAGTTGTTAAAGTGGTAAAAGTTCAAACCTTCAGTGGTATCCCAGGAGCTATCGTTTTCATCGAGATGGAGGACATGCTTCTTAAGACGCTTGGACAAAATTTGGCCACCACTCAAATCACCAAGGTAGCGAGAGTAGCTGTGAGCGATCAAGAGAGCGGGGCTCTTGTCACAGGCATCCTTCAAAGCTTGCACGTACTTTTTGACAGCAGGCGTCATGGTATCAGGGTGGATCAACTCGGCAACACGCTCTTGACCGTAAAAGAATTCGAGGTCCTTCTCTAATGACTCTCTTCTGTTGAGTTCGTGGGGAAAGTGGATGATACTGACAACCATGTGATCCTTGTACTGTTCCAAGAGCTCTTCCATGTATCTATTTGAGACTCCTTTGGTCAGTAACTACGTATCGAGGGAATCACCTCAATAGTTTGCTTACTTGTAGACAAAGTAGAGAGAATTGATATAACGACCATATTCATCTGCATTGATATCGCCCTTCAGGAAACGTCTACAGATCAAACAAGACCTGGTTAGCATAATAGACACATTTTGAACTGAGTAGTTTACTTTGTAAAGACACTGGTTTCGGCAGCTCTGTGGACCACCTTGGTACCTTCTCTCATGGCAGACGCTAACTGAGGGTCTTCCAGATATTCGGGTTCGGCAGGCTCTTCGACCTTGAGGTCTTCCACGGTATCCTTGGGCTTGATATCAAACAAGGTTTCCAATTGCGACTTGTCAAGGAACTTGTTGAGCTGCTTGACGAGGATGATGCCTTCTTCGCAGGAGGGAAGCTCTAACCTACCATGTTACTACATGATCTATGCATGACTGAACCCAACATTACCTGGCATATTCAAAGTGGGATGATCTTTGGGGATTTGCTTCATTAAATCGACAATTTCTTGCTCGGATTTGGTAGAGAAAGGACATCCATCCTTGAATGCAGGACTAATAAACAGGGTGAGCACAACAAAATAGTAGCAAAATCAAACATCCAGCTTATTCTTTACCAGCGAGAGAGTTCGCCATGGCTGACTGCGATGGAATCCACTTCTTCAAGGGCAGCGTAAGGACAACCCTTTGAGAAGGCAGGGCAGAGATGTTTAAGTTCGTCAATGTTGGTCAATCCCTCGAGACCGGGGTGAGGTGGCATAATGGTTTCTGACATGATATTTATTAGAAAAGAAAATGAGAAAGAGAAAAAGTGTAGAGAGGGGTTACAGGGCTGCTTTTATATACAAGTCATGTGTGATTTGATAATCCGCATGGTCCACATTTAAGGAATACACAGCTATTGTTTCTTGATAATCAACCCCTTGAGCATATCGAAACTGTTACCATCAGGTTGAAGTGTAAATTTGACCTTGGGATTGTGGACACTAACAGCCTCCAACATGCCATAATCGCTGGTAATGCCAACAATCTTGGCCTTCTCGTCATTGTGGGTTGTCAATGTTACCAATTTGTTGCTACAGGGAATATTAGTTTCAGCATTGAATTGCAGCACAGATACAACTTACCTGTGAAGCCAACGCTGGTAATATTTGTCCAGGAACCAGGCACCAATGCCCTTTTCGCAAAATTCCATATAGTACTTTTCAAATGTCACCAACACATGAGCCAGCACTTCTTCTCGGTCCAGTCTTTTGAGTGCTGGATTGTGCTTTTGAATCACATCATTAATGGAAACAGTCGGGTGAGCATTATCCAAATTGATGCCACAACCAATGACCAGCAAAAACTCATCCCGAGCAAAGCTAGAGTTGACCAAGAGACCACCCACCTTCTTGAGGCCTTCATCCTCTAAATCAGCGTAGATATCATTGGGCCATTTCAAGCGTAGTGGCACATCTTCATATCCCTTGCGAGTGCGAATGCTTTCTACAATAGAGAGTGCAATCAGATATTGAACAAAGACAACAGGCGATTGTGATAAATGTAATCCATGTCGGACCACAAAGCTAAACTGTAATGCACCCGCTTGTGAGACCCACGAATTGCGTCCTCTGCCTGGAAATACAAATGAAGTTCTTATCAGATCTTTCTTATTGTTCCAAATAAAGCACGTTCTTCATTACCTCTTCCTGCTATTTGGTTAGTTGCCAGACAAACAAGACCAGTAGGCAAACACTGAGCGAAATTATAGTTCCTGCCATCGAATATATATGTGAGCGAGATGGCCGGATCCATACAAAAAATGCGCAACACTTACTTGTCCAAGATAGTCTGTGTACTGGTGATAACCTCACTGTAGAGCACGGCATTACCAAACCGATACCACGATCCACCTCCCCATTCTTGCTTTCTACGCTCACCCAATGCTTCGAAATAGGCCTTCAAATCAAACAGGGGGGTCAACTCCTTTTCGGGCACTTGAGGAGCCTTGTCTTTTTCTTGGTTGTCCAACATCAATGCCGGGTATAAGATCTCGAGCACAGGCGATTTATCCTCAGATTCACGTTTAAGCGATAGTTGCTGCAGTGCCTCGGTGAGTTGATGGCTCTCTTCTTTCTTCTCGTCATAGATTTGTGTAATATAAAAACTGTCATTGGTATCGTTGAACACGGAGCTGTCGTCTGTTTGACCCAGCAGGTGTTCAGTGACGCTCTTGAGCAATGCGCCTGAAGCCGTGGCCAGATATATGGGTGTCAAATTAGGCACGCTGCTTTCTTCTATTTTATTTTTTACTTTGAGTCCAATGTCGGATAGCAGTTGACCAAGGAATGCTCGACAGGTGGGTAAAGATGCTGCCAATTCTTGAGTGATTTGCTGCTTGTTGTCATTATCGCTCAAATCCACCATGCTGACATCATACTCGGGATGAAATCCAAATAACAGTGCTGTTCCGTTGCCTACTCGACATTGAACACCTGCTGCTGCTTGAGCTTCATCTTGACATAGTCCTGGATCCTGGTATGTACAAAGGACTTTGACTTGGTCGTGTTTCTCAGGGCGCACAAAGTAGCCACCCCCATTGTAATACGCCTTGAAGCTATGCTGTTGATGTAAAATGGACACAGCTCTGGCTCCCTTTTCGCTGTTGTAGACAAACCCTGGAAACATGGTACCACGGCTGGTGCCAGGGTAGAAGCCCAATTCGCGTGAACCTACTACTTCTAATGCCTTGCCCTTTTCAAATTCAATGTCTTTGGATGCAAAATAAGCACCTGCGCAAAATCCAACGTAATTTCCACCACCATGCACATAGTTCTTGATCTTGGCCGTGCCTTGTCCATTCAAATCTTGGCAGTAGGGACTATCTCTGCCACCAGGCACTACCAGTAGAGAGCACGTCTCTTCCCAGGGCTCCGATGTGAGCGTGGTAGCATCCACTTTCATGATATCGTACGCATGACCGAGAATGGCTTTCAGGGTGGTGTAGGTTTGATTGACAGCGTTGGGAGAAGTGCCATTTCCATTGTATATCAAGACATTCATTGCTGATAAATTTCTAAGCACGGGCAATGTATTGAACTGTCGAATAGAGATGTGTCGAAAGGCAGATAACAATGTGAGTATTGGTTCGAAATGAAAAGAAATGAGATAACTCTCGTTTGACAAGGGAATTTTTGTTTTCTGTCTGATTGACTGACAATCGACTGAAGCCAATGAAAAGCCAATGATGCTTGTCTTGCAAAAATGGGATCCATCTGCAGTCATCTAGACTTGAAGGACGTACACGATGATAATCACGTCAGTACATTACTACCACTGTTGCTACATACATTATTGTAGCTGTTAGACATGCTCTTGTCCTATGCTCAATATCAGGCATGCTTGATACCTGTATCAATCCTCTCCAAAAGATCTACATGTCTGGAATTCTAACGCCCATGTGGAACGGTTACCGAGCCATCAAAAGCAAAGAGAGTCAGGGCAGATCCACTGGATGCAGATCTTCTCTTTTTTTATGGCATGCATCGAAGACAAAGAAAGACTATCAATGAGCCTTTCTAGCAAAAAAAAAAAAAAAAAACGTTCAGGCACCATCCATATGAGCATGTCGCCGCTCAAATGAATGAGATGGTAAATGTTCCTGAACTCCCAAACAACTGGAAAATACCACTTGAATAATGTGTGAGAGTGTCATTTGCGCATGTTAATCTAATTGATCCATGAGTTGCCTTGGTGTATACAAGCAAAATAAGCCCTAAACTGCCCAAAGCGATATCAATTCACTGAATGCTGAGCTTCAATAGACCGAGCCTCCTATTCATTTCGTTTTCTATATTTCACCCTTTCCCCTTTCACACTAGATAAAAAAAAAAAAACCAATTTTCTTGTATAACTATTTCTTTCTCTCCTTCTTTCTTTTTCCTAATTTAATTACTGCCTCCCATACAGTCAAATGTCAAGAAATTTGGTCATCAACACTCAGAGGAAATGGACTCCATCGCCAGAACTAGCCATACGAGAGGAAGAGGGAGACGAGGATGCACATCCTATACACAAACAGCGGCTCATTGAAGAAGTGGAGGAAGACGACGAGGAAGATCAAGATGAGAATGAGGATGAGGAAGACGAGGACGAAGACCAAGACGAAGACCAAGACGAAGACGATGGATCTGATTTTACATCGTCGCCTAGCATCCCAGATGAAAACATCAATTTTGATCTTGTGTACACTCTTCACACATTCGAAGCTACTGTGGATGGGCAAGCTTCTGTCAAAAAGGGAGACGCGCTTACATTGCTGGATGACTCAAACTCGTATTGGTGGCTCATTCGAGACCTAAAGACGTCTGAAGTGGGCTACATACCAGCAGAGAACATTGAAACACCATTTGAGAGACTGGCTAGATTGAACAAGCATCGCAATGTAGAGGTAAACCGTGAACAATTGAATCAAACAGGCTGCTGTGTGCTGAATTCAGTAATGTTAGTTGACTTCGATGGATCAAGCGACTCATTACATCAACAACAAAACAGCATCCAATGCACCATTGAAAAAGAAAAAAAAGGTGATACTCTCAACTTCATTGAATGTGCAGTTGCATGTATTGCTCACGGGAGAAGATGACGATGAGATTGAGGATGAAACGTACGAGGAATGGAACGAAGAAATGCTTGACGACGATGATATGGACGAGGATATCGAGCCACATATGGACAAGCAGCAACAGCCACAACAAGCTGAGCCTGAGGAAAAAGACGACGAGGAGGATGACAATAAACCTTTGCAACAGTCAGTGCATAAAAGTAACCAAATTCTGGATTCTAAAAATAATCTCCATCATGATGAAACGAAGCAAGTATTGCAACGCCAGCATAGAATCAAGGAGCCTACTGCTGTCAACAATCATGCAGACCCGGTTCGACATCCATCACGTGAACAGGTCCCAGTCAATTCAAAGGTGTTGCGGGTCTTTGCTGGCAACGTAGACGTGGGAGCATCCTACCATTCAGTACGGGTCACTGAGTCCACCAGTGTCGATGAGCTACTGATGAGCGCCATGGAGAAATTCCACATTTCGCAGATCGAGACAAAAAATGGCCGTTCCCATGGCAAAAACAGCGGTGTTGAGTATTACCTTACTGTCAAGAGTCGGGATGGCGATGAAATCACATTGGATCCAGAGGACAAGCCCTACGCTATTCATGAATCACTCACAGCACACCTTACCACACCCATGCCCTCACTCACACAATTCAGACAGTTGGTGCCTACCTCTGATTACGTCAACAAGAAGAAAAAGAAGCGATCTTCGTCCATCTCATCGCTCAGCGACTCTTCGCTCCAATTCTTTATGCACAAGCGCATCAAGCGGGTCAATGATAAGAGTGGCCAGGTTCATATCAAGGTATCTTTAATGACAGCTGTCACCTCGGCAACAACAACAACTGCAGCGGTAGCAGCTCTTCCAGTATCTGACAAGATGGCAGCCATCAAAAAGATGACCACATTGCGAAGATTTGGCAAGAAGAAGAAGACGATAAAGGACAAGGCAGAGATGGAGAGGATTGATAAAATGATTGCGATACCAGCAAATATCTCTATTGCTGATTTGACATCAACGGCGTTGGTGAAATTCCACATTATATCAGACATAGAACAGCCTCACCAGTATAGATTGATTTTGAGCACAAATGGCAGAGGTATATATGTACAAGAGACGGACTGATGAGGTACAGATGAGATGCTGACATGCTTGACAGACACCTTGCTGAACCTGGATCAAAAACTATCAGACGTATTGAAAGACCTGGAAGCCACAGCCAGAGAAAAGCACTTTGTACTGCACAACTTCGTCAGCAACCTTAACGATCAGCGACCCGTCTCACTGTCATCTTCAACATCCTCCTCCTCTTCCTCATCGGCTAGGCCAACATCAAGTAAGGTCTTTCCAGAGAAGTATTCGCACCATCGCATGTACTCACACCGTAGTCTTCCAGTCATGACACGTCTCGATAGTAATACGGAAGCCATTTTGAAGCGAGTCGATGCTGCATTAGAAGCATATGAGCCCACTATCAGCACAATACCTCGAAAGGACATTGCTAACCCAAACTTTCCATCACCCATGTCGGTCTCTCGCAATGAAGGAGGTGTCGATATTCACTTACCTCATGGCGTATTACGAAGCACACCACTCTCTGAGAAACAAACACAGTACTCACTCATGAAGAATCCAAATACATTGGTGCTGCAACGCGTGCTGCCAGCAGACAAGAACACAGGCAGAAAAGTGCCAGCAGAGAAAAATGCGATATCAGGAGAGGAAATGGCAACTCTGGTCAAGTATGGGTCTCAGTATCTGGATGCGTATGATACAGCAAAAAATGCCACTTCGCTTACTACTCCTGCTGCAGCAAGTCGATTGTTTGTAGAAAGAGATGGTGGAAAAAGCTTGTCCAGTCTTGAGGATTTGGAAAAGGTAAAGAAAACAAATGATGCGCTTTTCTGATATCTAACAGCGTGGTCAAATATCGCTTTATCTGGTTGAATAGGAGCTGCACCGTATCATTACATCTCATTCATCTTGATCAAAATGCACATCAAGGCAATACGCATACCACTCGACGACATCTCTATCCATGTCCAACCCATACACACACACACAGATCTTATATAATACTCATACATTTACAATTTATCTACATGTAAAATATTTATACTATTTGAAAACTTTCGAGTGAAACGCAAGGTAGTTCGTTATAACTTCTTTTTTTTTATATATAAAAAACGCCTGCTTGTTGTTGTAGCTATTAAAATAAAAGGTTATGAGTAATTTCATGATGGGAGCGTACATTTGGTACCCAAAAATCTTACAGCATGGTGGATCTAACGTAGAGCTATTGAATGGTCTTTGTTTTATTTAAATAGGATGCATCTTTCGCAAGATATGACCAAAAAATTCCCTCGTGCGAATTCATCGATTTTTGGTTAAAATTTGCCTGTAGTAGCAAGACAAAAATCTGAATGACTATTACTTTAAGGTACAAAATTGCTGATATCTCATGATAGAATTATGCTATAGCTTTGAATCAGGGCTTATTTGGTAGGATCTTGTTTGCTCTACAATTTGATAAGTACTACAAGTAGAGTTTTGACAACAGGAACTTGGTAACCTGTCAGAAACAATCAAAAAGCCCCAAAAAATATCCTATCAAAAATCAGTCTAATAGCCTAGATTTATACACTTAAAACTGGTATCATTAGATTCTCCTTTAAAATCTACCCTAGGTTTGATTAGCCTGGAAAGCAGTGCTATTATCAGAATCATATCGCTCGATTTTGAGATCAAACGATATCAGGAATCCATAAATCCTCATTCAGAGCAATATGAAGGCTATGCTATTCGTATTTTAGAATACCGTCGTTTTGGTAGGTGGCTCAATTGGAACGCATGATTGGCTACCTTTGCTAAATATAACCTCTTAATTACAAGTGACAGATCGATAGATAAGGTGTTGGCAAACCTAGTAGAAAAAATTGCTAGCTCCTATTTTGCTTTGTTACTCTGTTATAGCATGCGGCCAAATTTCTGGTGTTTCGTTCTCACTATACTTGTACCAGTGTCGGCTTTCAGCCTCCGCTTTTATTAGCCTTTTTTTTTTCTTTTATTAGCATCCCCCCTTTCTATATTATACTTTGCAAGCTTATTATTTATGAAGCAACGTTACCTTTGTTGATGGAACTGAAGTAATTATAATTGACAACTGCGCGATAGACGTAGAATACAATGTTAACGCGTTCTATACTGTAGTAGCTTACTCGTAAAGGCTCTGGTTTGGGTTCCATAACTGGCCTATTGCTGTGCGCTTTGTAGTGGTCGCTTCGATGGTCTTATCGTGATGCTTGCGTATCCCTTGGTCTGCTGTCTTTGGTGCATGCTGGTTTTCTAGACTATCTCTGGTTATGGTAAGCGGTAAGTAGCTTTTTTTTTCCTTTGGTTACAATGATATAAACTTCTTTGAACGTTGTTTGTGTTATTACTATTGCTTCCTTTCTCTTGATAATGCATTTTATCATGATGTTTACTTTCTTGCTTTTTCTTTCTCTTTTGTTGGCTGTGATATGATCAGCTCAACAAGTACTTGTTGCATACATATTACTATAGCCCTGTAGTAGTATGTTCTGTTCTTCCTTTTCTTTTCTCTTTTATTATGTTTCTCTGAAGCATACCTTTTTTACGTTGTGTGGATGTGCCTATCCCTGAAGCTCAACAAGACTTTATCCGAGGCTAGGAGGTAGATAGGCCGCCTCCACTTGGTTATCGCTACTTACTTTAGTGATGATTGAGAGTCTCAACGCCAGAATCTAAAGCTAGGTGGTGTAAGTAAGGCATGCTCTAGCACCTGAAGGAAATTTGATGATAGCATCTGCTATATTGCTCTATATAGCGGCGCTTAAAATTTTGCCTCACATCAAAACAGGGAGAAACCCTCGCAAATTTTTTTAGATCAGCGGAGTTTTTGGGCATTCTGATTGGCTCGGGGGTCGAAAGAACGATGGGTTATAACTAGTTGATCTGCTATTGATCTGGCATTTATCATGATATAATGTTTGTAATAAAATGATATCCATACAATTCTGATTAAAGTTCTTTTTTATTAAAAAGTAAAATACGAAGCAATCAGTTGATCTGATATCAATTAAATAGTTTCATATGAAAGATGTCCTTTAAATTTATTATGTGCCGAAAAGAATATAGGTACAGCAGTACACTAGGTACTAGGTCTTCTCAGTAACAAATGCACTGCCAAACATGCTTCGCTTATCCTTAATTTTGAACATTTTTTAATTTCATCGTTTATCTCATATCAAATTTTGAATGGACGAAAGTGTTTCCAGTTTCGAGGCTTGGGTCATCTAAAATCAAGTTTTGAAATATTGATGCCAGAGCTTTAAAAGTAGTGTGTTTCTATAGCAAGGTTTTGCGAGAAAAACGATGGTGTGGTTGGATTTTAGCTTATAGGGTTTGCTGATGAGAAATGGATGATTTTCGAAATAAGCCAACTTTGAGTAATGAGGTTTATACAAGTGTTAGCTACAAGCAAATACGAGTAATAGATCGATAGATGAGATGTTCGAAAACGTCGTAGCAAAAACCGCTTGGTGCTATCTTACTTTGTTGTGGTGTGGCAAAGGTTTAAAGCTGTGTTGCGCATTTTACGAAAAAAAAAAAAAAAAAGGAGAAATGCAGGTCTTGATTATATGTACAAATCCAATAATACATACTTTAGACAGCCAGTCTTTGGCAATCAGCAATTAGGTTTGTTTTCTGTTTAGATGCAATGAATCACGGACATTGCCTCTTGAAATTTTGTAGTTCATTCGAGCATTTGGTTCTTGTGAAACAATCGCAATGTCGAGTTTAGTTAAATTTAAGCTTTAGCTTTAATGTGTAAGATAGAGTGAATAAGGAAGAGGTAATTACGCTTTCGGCTTTTCATTAGAAGACGTGGTTGCTGGGTTGGTTGATTGAGACGAACCATGATCAGCAACGGTGGGATTGGCATTAGACGAATGTGCTTCACTGGCAGCTGTTTGTCCCTTGGTAGATTCCCCTTCTGCTTCACCGGCAATTTAGAAATCACATCTCATTGATTGCCATTCTCCTACTTACCAGATGTACTATTTTTCTTTTTCTCTTGCTCATCATCCTCATCCTTGAAAGCATCGTCATCAATATCCACAAGATCATCTGAATCTGAATCATCGTCATCCCCAATAACGTATGGAACTGAAGCATTATCCTCCAGGTTGGTGATTTTGGGATTAGTATTGCGCTGAGTTGTGTTTGCTGCTGTCAATCCAATATCTATCAAATACATAACAAGTCAGATATCTTTACTAAACATTTGAAGAATCGAGATTAATACCTTCATAGTCTGAATCGCCTTCAAACTCAAGTGGCGATCTAGGTGCAATAACTACAGTGGGATTGACGGGCTTTCTTGTTGGCATTTGAGGCGCATGTAGCGTAGTATCCTCCACAGCTACTGACGAGTGTCGTGATCTTCTAGCTTCTACACATATATTACTTGCATTTAGTCCCAAGCAATGCGCCAATATACTCGTTCACTTTACCAATTTGCTCCTCCTGCGCCAACTGTCTAGCAAAATCCTCATCAGCCTTCAGTTGTGCATCAGATGTCGATGTGACTTTAAGGTTGTGCGAGGGTGATCCAACAGGAGGATTGACATAGATGGTATCGTCGCCTTATTTGATGAGGTGTTAATATACCATTGACTGCAAGACACACATATTTGAATGTTGTTTTTATACCTCTCTGATAATCGCTGGATTTTCTAGCAGTGGCAGGTCGATTGCTCGTTTTTGCATATACGTCGTAGTCTGACAAGTGTAGCGCAGATATATCGCCCGTCAAAAGATCGTCCCCATCGTCGCTCGGTAATCCTCTACACATACCAGTGAATATCACACGCCCTGTTCCTATTGCGGGCCCTGTCATTACCTGTATTGTGCGTTTGTAGTAGGCATAGATGATGTTGCAGCTGTTTCATGCTGATTTTGAGGGTTGCTCTTTTGTGTATTTGCTTTGAATTGGTTGTATAAATCCATCATCTTTTTCTTGGCAGCTATGTATCAACATAGTGTTCGTTATCAGGTGGATGTGAATGGGGTACTTTCTTATCTCCCTTACCATTGCCAGCTTCCTTCATCTTTTCCTTGATAATAGGTAATTCCTCTGCCTAATGTCAATCTCCAGAAAACTCGCTTTTAGCTGTTTCAGCCTTACCTTGTAGATTGAACAAAGAGTCATCGTCATCATCTCTCTGTCTCTGCGGTTGCTGCTGGTATTGGCCTTGTTGGGATGACCGACGACCTATGCATAATATCGTGTGGATTATAAGTGCAATGTTGACATTCATAGCACACTGCATGCTTACGTTGGTGCTGCTGAGATCTTCTCTCATCCTCCATAGCGAGCCTCTTGGCGAGTTCTTCATCCATGCGAAGTTGCTCTTCCACAGATGTTGGCTCTGGTTGTGCTTGACGTTCCCAATACGCATAGGGCGCATCACTGCTATTTTGTCTTGACTGAGGGCGAGGAGGCATTGGAGGCGCTTGCTCGGCAGCTGCTGGAGCTGGAGCTGGAGCTGGAGGTGGTGCACTGTAGCTAGGATCCGACATGCCAAGCAAAATCTCAAAGGTGCTTTCAACATGATCATTCTGTGATTGAAGAACCGCTTCTATAACTTCTACATCTGTATCTGGGAAAGCTTCCTTCAAAATGCGAATGTTTTCAGGTAGATTTGGTTGCTCAACTGGTTCTGGAGGAACTGCTGCTGTTGTTGTGTGTGGTGGTGGCAATGATGTTGGGGACTCTTGTTGTGCGAATTCCTCTACGGCAGCCATGGTAACAGGTGCTTGCTCCTCTTGAGTAGCTTCCTTGGTATTCGTAGCGTCATCAGCAATTGCTGCTTGTAAAGGTGTGTCCAGTTGGTTTGGCTTTGATTTTCTCTCTATTTCAGCAGCAGTGTCTGACATGTGGGTTACTTGTGGATGAAGAAAAGAAAAAGGAAAAAGGAAATATCTTTTTTTATGCTTCTCATAGAGCCATGGATACGTCGACCAAACGGATGTTGAATTGTTTCACACCACCAGCATTGGTCAGTATACCACACTTCAAACAAACTTTCCATCATGTGAGAAGCAAACAGACAGCCAACATTCAGTAAAAAGAAAATAATGTACAGTGGTTTATTTGATAGCAGTAGCAAAGAACAAAAGGGAATGATATTTATACAGATGAATCTATTTAGCAATGCCAATGATGGCTTTTTCACGTTCAGGCACACGTCTGACAGCGTCTAACTTCTTGGAATGCTTGCGTCTCAGCTCTTCCTTTCTTCTCTCTGCCTTGATCATCTCCTTCTTGGTTGCATCAGCCAGCTTAATGTCCTTGGGTGTTCTTCTGTGCTTATCGATTCTGCGGATATCCTTCATGTGGCCGTATCTTTCCTTCAATTTAGCAGAGTATTCAAGCTTGTTCTTCTCACGCCAGTCCTTGACACCCATCTTTTCGTTGGCATGTGCCTTCCAGATACGAATATTACCGTCGTCTGAGCCAGACAGCACATACTTGCTGTCCATCGAGTACTGCACGGCAAAGATACGTTGCATTCTCTTGGTGTGATAGCAGTCTCTACTGTGCCCTGTGCCCACATCATACAAACGAATTGTGCGATCATAGGAGCCTGTAACAATCTCTTGGCCGGTAGGTGAGTAGTCGACGTCCATGATGGCAGACACATGGTCCTTGAGTACGTTCTTTGCTGAGGTCATGTTTCTCATATCGAATGTATAGGCGTTGTGATCTTCGCTACCTGTTGTGAAAATGTAGGCTTCCATAGGGTTCCAGGCAATGGCGTTTGTCTTGAGTGACATGACGAGCTTGGACAGAGGTTTGCTTGTTCTCAAGTCATACAGTACAATGGTGCGATCCGTACCGCAAGAAGCAAAGATATTTTGTTGCACTTGGTTGAATTTAACTGTCTGGTAAGAATCGGCTCCCCATGCAAAATCGTGAATGGGTTCTGATCTGCTTTCGTCCCATACTTCTACAGTGCCACCCGATGTTGCAAAGATGGGATCAGAGCGATGATGCGATAAGCCGGTGAAAGCATGCTTGCCCATGTATGTTTCGATAGGTTCACTGTCGTCTCCCCATACCTTGACTGTCTTGTCAGTAGAACAAGACAAGAATCGGCCTTCCTCTTTGCCAGGACACACACCACTGACAAGGCCACGATGACCTTGCACTCGCCATGTGGTTCTTTGTTCAGATACTTCCCAGATACAAATCTCACCATCACCACTGCCGGAAATCATCGAATTCAGCTTGGAGGGATGCTTAGTTAAACAGTATACACCGTCAATGTGTCCATTCAGTGACCCAACAAAGGGCTTTGCAAACATACGATCCAATTTGACAGAATTCAAAGCTCTGGTATATTCTCTACCTTGTTCAAAGGGATGAGCATTAGGGTCCAAGTTGCGTTGTACTTTGTGAATGTCTTCTACACGTTCTCTGACATAGTCATTGGAGGAACGAGAGAGTGCTTTGACCTTGACCATAGCGATTGTTGAATTGTTGAAATAAAAAAGAAAAAGGAGGAACTCTACTTTTTTTTTTCCCTTGATGAAGCTTTTAGTAATAGCAGTCAGTGTGGCTTCTCCGACGTAAATGTTGGTTATCCTTCCAATCAACATGAAAGGATGATCCATTTGAATCGATCTCTATGCGTTTCCAGATAGCCAACTAGTCTAGATATTGTTAGAGACGTTACTCGATTAACTTTTGATTCTGGCTTTATCTTTGAATGTCCAAATCAAAGATTACAACTTGATATTTGGCAATTCGCTCTATAGATTTGGGGCCAACAGCTTTAGCTATGCATTGCATTCCATTGGTGTAGAATGCTATGCTTGATATGGGTCCAGTAGGTGGTGGCACCGTGTTTGGAAAGTGCGAGCATCAGCGTAGGGCCGTATATTTAGAGCCATCCCTTATTATGAGCTCGCACATGTGGCTAAATGATCAGATTGACAAGGCGCATCTGCTGGGCATTGAGAATGGCAATCCACCTGGTTCTGTTATGCTGACACCTGAATTTTTATAGCTGGTAAACACAGAACTTATGGCTTATTTGGGCACAGACATCAACGGCATTGCCATGCTGTGTCCAAGAAGTGTTGCTCATGCGTTGGAAAGTGTACCAGTCCATCATATTATAATAAATGTTCAGTCCCTAGACACTTTTACAACCCTGATATAGAAACTCGGTTTCTAGGCATCTATCAGGCATAGCTCATATATGATTAATGATTTTACAATCAATCAACAAAAATCACGTTTATTTTTACTGTCTTTCCCTCTGTTCAATGCTGTCAACGTTTTCTTTAAATGACGACCCGAAGCCTCAAAGACTTCCCTACTTACTGCAGACATGTTATGCAGCCCATGAATCGTCAATGTCCAGACTAACTTTGTTAAATATAGAATGCAAGATAATAGCATGATGAGCGATAGTGCTATGACTTTCCACCTACTTTCCATACGCTTCAAGGGCATCTATTACTGTATTGCCTTACGAAAAGGACATTGAGTTTGCCAGCCTGCCTCACCAGCCAAATTAATTCTAATTCAGACTCATAACCTGTTCCAGATTGGCCAAATCTTAATGATTTTCGACTCGATTTAACTATTTTTACAGAATCGACTAAGTAAAATATGATAACCGTCCTATGCATCCTTAAGCTGTCCCTGGTGGTAGGGCGAAGTGGTAGAACTCCCGTATGCCAACGGGAGGATCCCGGTTCAAATCCTGGTGAACGCAAGTTGTTTGATTTTTTGACGTAGTACTGATGTCCTCGTTTGGTGTTTTTGTACTCTTATCCATGATCTATATTTTGACGATTTCCGCAAGACTGTACTGGCTCTAGGAGTCGCACCTTATTAGTAGTAGATTTCTTTCCCAACTTAGTTCAAAAATATCTTATTCCCCTTCATTGCAGACATTGGGTCCACCAACAGTCTTTTCTATCCCTCAGCATGACATTTAAAGGACTTTAAATAAAACCTGGAGCTTGACTCCCCTACAAAAAAAAAAAAATGCATCCTTAAGCTGTCCCTGGTGGTAGGGCGAAGTGGTAAAACTCCCGTATGCCAACGGGAGGATCCCGGTTCAAATCCTGGTGAACGCAAGTTGTTTTGATTTTTTGACGTAGTACTGATGTCCTCGTTTGGTGTTTTTTGTACTCTATCCATTATCTATATTTTGACGATTTCCGCAAGACTGTATTGGCTCTAGGTGTCGCACCTTATTAGTAGTAGATTTCTTTCCCAACTTAATTCAAAAAATATCTTATTCCCCTTCTTTGCAGACATTGGGTCCACCAACAGTCTTTTCTATCCCTCAGTATGACATTTAAAGGACTTTAAATAAAACCTGGAGCTCGACTCCCCTACAAAAAAAAAAAAAATGCATCCTTAAGCTTTTCTGGAGTACTTTTCAAGGCGCATCCAATGGTACCAAGTAAGATAGATGTTTTGAATAAACTTATTGAATAATTTACGCAAATATGAAAAGAGGTTTCTGGCCAAAAAGTCGAAATTTTGCATATAAAAACCTCATTTAAGTGGTTTCAGAAATTGCTTTGAATCGAGAGAAGCATTTTGATTCAAGATCATAACATAATAAATGTTCAGTACTTTTGCACTTTACAATCCTAATATGGAACCTGAGTTTCAAGGCATCTATCTGTCCTGGCTCATATCATAACATAATAAATGTTCAGTACTTTTGCACTTTACAATCCTAATATGGAACCTGAGTTTCAAGGCATCTATCTGTCCTGGCTCATATCATAACATAATAAATGTTCAGTACTTTTGCACTTTACAATCCTAATATGGAACCTGAGTTTCAAGGCATCTATCTGTCCTGGCTCATATCATAACATAATAAATGTTCAGTACTTTTGCACTTTACAATCCTAATATGGAACCTGAGTTTCAAGGCATCTATCTGTCCTGGCTCATATGAGAATAATGATTTTACAATCAATCAACAAAAACCACTGTTGTTTCTACCCTCTTTCCTCTGCTCAATGCTGTCAATGTTTTATTTGAGCGACGTCTCAGAGCCTCAGAGATTTCATTACTTACTGCAGACATTTTATGCAACCCATGCATTGTCAATGTCCAGACTAACGTTATTAAATATAGAATGCAATAAAATATCATTATGAACGATATAGAAGGCAATAAAATATCATTATAAACGATAGTGCTATGACCTTCCACCTACTTTCTATACGCTTCAAGGGCATTTACTACTGTATTGCCTTATGAAAAGGGCATGAGTTTTCCAGCTGGCCCTACCAGCCAAAATTAATTCAAACCCAGAATCATAGTCTGTTCCAGATTGGACATATTTTGATAATTTTGGACTCGATCGAGCTATTTTTTCAGATTCGACTAAGTGAAGTATGATAATCACCCCATGCTTCCTTAAGCTTTCCTGGAGTACTTTTCAAGGCGCTTCCAATGGTACTAAGTAAAATAGATGTTTTGAATTCACTTATTAAATGATTTGTAAAAATATGAAAAGAGATTTATGGCCAAAATGTCGAAATTTTACATATCAAAGTCCCACAAAGATAATTTCAGAGGTTGCTTTGGATTGATAGAAACATTTTGATTCAAGATATACCATAGTAAAAGTCTCCATTATCAAGATGAAAAATGCGATCGTTTCATTTTCGATGAAAACCATGAGGGATACCTCATGCTTTTTGGTCGATTTTTGACCATGTTTTTTTGGTCCCCAAAAAGTCGAGCAAAAGTGTCAGAAAGTAACTGCCAGATGAAAGCAACCATTTGGGGCTATTCTGACGATCTAAAACGGCCTTGAACGCAAGAAAATTCAGCTCAAACGCACTCATACTTTCTGTATTAGGGACACTAAGGACTAAAAAGTGGGAATACCAGTATGCTGCTTGCCCGTATATGAAGTAGCTACGTGTATATGGATGTAGAACATCACATAAGAATCAGATCCACAGATAATATGAAGGGTTACTATGTGTAAGTGGAGGGTCAAAATGAAAGTAGCAGTATTTTGATAAAATACGCAAGAGCAATCAGTAGCACGAGCTGCCGCTGCGCAGGTTGGTTCTCTACCTTCGCTACGCTTCGGTGAGAACCATCCGAAGCATAAACACTCATATGATTAGTGATTATGTATCAATCAACAATCAGGGTTCCTCTTCTAACATTTTAGCTCTATTAATTTTGGGATATTAGCCAAAGGCCCGCGGCAGCGCGAGCCGTTTGAACGTAGGTTGGTTTCCACCGAAGCGAAGCGTAGGTCAGGAAACCACCCGAAGTGCTGAAAGGCTCGTATACCATAGTAAAAGTCTTCGTTATCAAGGTGAAAAATGCGATCGTTTGATTTTCGATGAAAACCATGAGGGGTACCTCATGCTTTTTTGGTCGATTTTCATCCATGTTTCTTTGACCCCCAAAAAGTTGAGCAAAGGTGTCAGCAAGTAATTGCCAGATGAGAGCAACTGTTTGGTACTATTTTGACCATCTAAAACGGCCTTGAATTCAAGAAAACGCAGCTCAAATGCACTCATATTTTGCTGTATTAGGCACACGCTTGACTAAAAAGGGATAATATCTGTATGATACTTGCCCGTATATGATGTAACTAATGTATATATGGATGTAGAACATCACATAAGAATCAGATCCACAGATAATATGAAAAGTTACTATGTGTAAGTGGAAGGTCAAAATGAAAGTAGCAGTATTTTGATAAAATACGCAAGGGCAATCGGTAGCGCGAACTGCTGCTGTGCGAGTTGGTTTTCACTGAAGCGAAGCGAAGCGAAGGTAAAGAACCATCCGAAACATAAACTTTTATATGATTAGTGATTTTACATCAATGGCTAGATTTAGATTTGCTTCCTCTCATAGCCCGGATGCCTGCAAGCTGGTTCATTCTACATACCGCAGTGTTGTGATTTCAGAACAAGGGCTAGGTGTACAACTCCAACAGCTATTATTCATCCGCTCAAAACCAGGCTACATTGCTACTGACACTTGTCTGGCCTATCCGCTTGGAAAGATCGTGCAAGTACAATTGGGCAATCATCCATTGCTCAAAAGAAATCACCACATATGTGTGTGTTTGCATGTCAGAACACATTCACGCAGAGTCAATGCAGATATTCGAATGCACAGACGGATGTTGCATCATTGGCACTATGAAAGCTGGCTTCCAACATGTGTTATACACCTATGACAATAAAGCTATTTAGTTATGGGTGTGTGGGCGTTTCCTTACAGAGCAAGTATGTTTCCAATGGCGCTTATTAAAGAGGGTGACATTATGGTTCAGGGGTGATCCGACAGATCTTATGCAATAGAAGACAGCCAAAATCTGGAAAGAGCAGTAGCACGTCTATCTATTCAGCAATAAGAGAATCGCAATGTATGATTGTTCTTATTGAGCAAGACTTGTTGAATACATGTCTATCTTATTAGCAGTAATAGCCACTGTTTGTCAGATATTAAAAGCGTCGATTTTGCACCAACTTTCACATATCTTGTTCAAGCGTGATATGCAATCATATGCCCTTGATCTCCAGAAACACCGTATTAACACGACAAGAAGAAGAGTAGATTTTTGTGTTTATGTAAATGTTTATAAATATGGCAAATAGACTTAAATCATGATGAGAAATGGCATGAATGTACTTGATAGATTACACTTGCTTAAAGTCAAACCCCTGTTGCTGTTGAAGCTGTTGTTGCAATTGCTGATTCGCAGAATCAAACATTGGATGTTGTTGAGCCATCAACTCTGTACTTTGCTGCTGTTGCTGTTCAACCAAACCAGCTGGAGGAAATGACAACGTAATATTGTTTGGGGTATAAGCTTTCGACGAACTTGGCTGCTGTTGCTGCTGTTGTTGTAATAACGCAAAATTGTTTTGTTGTTGCAATGTAGGATGAGGCGTATTTGGGAGGGATTGGCTATGTATCGAAATAGGAGATTGATGCTGACGCATTTGGCTATTGAGATAGTCCACTTGTACTGAAGGATGCATTCCAGTGGCAGGTGCACTGGTTGTGCTAAATGGCGTATTGCTGGTTGTAGTTGCACTAGAAGCAGATGTTGTGTACTGGATCACACTATTGGGTGTGGATAGCATGGGCGTTGTGCTTGCTTCGTGTGTCTTTTCATGCTTTTTGAGTGATCTGGAGTGGTAATACGCTTTACCACAACCCTTTGACAGGCAGATGAAGGGTCTCACGTTGGAATGCGTCTTGATGTGTGTTGTAAGTGAATCAGGTCGAGAAAATCGCTTGCCACAGCCGGGTTTATCGCACACAAAGGGGCGCTCTCCAGTGTGTGTGCGTAGATGATTGTACATTTTATGTCGCTTTGTGAATGGCTTTTGATTTCGAGAACAACCCTCCCATTCACAACAGTAAGTAGGCTATTCAGCATATCAGTAACCTACCTATATTTCTAAAAAAAAAAAAAAAAAAAAAAAAAAAAAAAAAACGCACTTACCTTGCCACTACCCACATGCAAGTCATTGATATGCGAAATCAGCTTTTGAAGATCATTAAAAATCTCGCCACAGTCTTTCCATCTGCACTGAATTTGAACTTTGACAGATTTTCCAGCAGGCTCTCCAGCTAGCGATGAAGTCTCTTCGTCCTCCTCTTCCTCATCGACAGTGGATTTGTCCTCATCACTCGTTTGTTGCTGCTGTTGCTGTTGCTTTGTTTGGCATTGCTGTTGCATTTTGTGGTCTGTAGGCGTGTTGGGGCTGATATTCTCGTCATCCTCATCATCATCTTCGTTGGATTTGACACTGGATTTCTCATTCTTTTCAGTGTTCAATTTTTCATTTTCAAGCACAATCAGTCGAGCAATCAGCTGTTCTCGAGACATGTTTTCGTAATCCTGCGCAGCAGTGCCTGCAATCCCGGTTGTTGTACTGGGCTTCAGCCCCAACTCTTGTGGCGTAGGTGGAGGGGGGAGTGCAATCGTGCCTAGTGCTTGTTTTTGTGATTCAATGACCGTTTTGCGGTCCTCAGACTTGAAAACGCTATTCAAATCACTGCTGACAACGTACTGTTGTTGTTGAGGCTGAGGCTGCTGTTGTTGTTGCTGGTACATTTGCTGCTGTTGATATTGCTGTTGTTGTCCAATGACAGCAGCAGAACGAGGAGCTGAAGCCATCATGTTGGACAGATTCTTTGTTTCGATATTCAACGCAGGCGGGAACGAGCTGGAAACGGTGTGTCTTCTTGATTTCTTTTTGTCCAAAACCGTATCATCCGCTTGTCTCTTTGTGCCTCGAATAGTCTCGTTGATAAACACGACTTGCTGCTGTTGCTGATGATGTTGCTGCTGTACAATAGCGTTGTGTAATGAGATATGATCATTCTTTACTTGATGCAGTGGACTCGTGGGTGTTGATGGGCCTGTAGGAGTAGATGGACTTGCTAGACTCGCCATTTGAGACAGAACAACATGAGGTGTTTCCTGCTGCTGTTGCTGTTGTTGCTGTTGCTGATTAGAGATGATATCATGTTGCTGTAAAATGTCTGTGCTGTTTTGTTGCAAAATAGCATATTGGTGTGCCATTTGTTGTGCCATCACTTGTTGCGCTGCAGCTGCCACTCGCTCGTTTTCCTCGTCCATCGCTCTATGCATTTGCTGTTGTGGCACAGGTACCTGTTGTTTTTGGGCTTGTTGTTCCAAGGTGCGTTGAGAGGGAACTACGGGATGTTGTTCAATACTTGATTGAGAGTTCATCATTTCATTTATCATTTGTGGTTGAGATGGTTGAAGTTGCTGTTGTTGCTGCTGCTGATGTGCCTGAACATGTGCTTGTGCTTGGGCCTGCGCTTGGGCCTGAGCCTGAGCCTGAGCCTGAGCCTGAGCATGTGCTTGGGCTTGGGCTTGGGCTTGTGCTTGTGCTTGGGCCTGATGATGAGCTTGAACTTGCGCCTGGGCTTGAGCCTGTGCTTGAGCTTGAGCTTGAGCATGAGCTTGTGCTTGTGCTTGTGCTTGAGCTTGAGCTTGTGCTTGTGCTTGAGCTTGTGCTTGAGCTTGTGCTTGTGCTTGTGCTTGTGCTTGTGCTTGTGCTTGTGCTTGTGCTTGTGCTTGTGCTTGTGCTTGTGCTTGTACCTGATGATGCACCTGCTGTTGTTGCTGTGATTGATGAACCTGCGCCTGATGAATGTGAGCTTGATAGGCAGCAGCTTGAGCCTGTGCCTGTGCCTGAACTATATTCTGCTGCTGTAACTGTTGCTGCAGATGCTGATCGTTATCTGTGTAAGATAAGGTTACTTGCTGATGATTCAGATCTACGGGATTCACAGTATTGTCAAAAATGGCATCTTGGTGATGATGCATCAAGAGATTTGGGCTCATGTTGGTTGAGGAAACAGCAGTTGTAGGATCTGCTTGGTTATTCTAGATGAGAAAGAAAGTTAAATTACTAATTAACATTTCGTATATTAATAATACAAGTTATTTACAGTCATTTGCATTAATTGAGTCGTTGAAGGCGAGCTTGCAATAGAGATGGCATTGCTGGAAGGTGTCATGGGAGACACTCTGTTGGTAGGACTGGACAATGCTGCCATATGTATATCAGCCTCACTGCCAAACAGATGCTGCATTTCATTGACGTTATTCGCAGTCGATGGCGAAGATTGCTGCGTTTGTTGCGAATCAAATCGATGTATAGGCGAGGTTAATTGATCAAATGTCGAAGAGTAGAATGCCTCAGTGTTGCTCGTATCTTGATGTTGTTGTTCCATAGTGTTCAAATGTGTGGTTTCCCCGAAGGGAGTAGAGTGATGTTGTTCCTTTATTTTGTAAATCCAAGAAAAGAGAGAGATGAGTTCTCTTTAGGTACAGCAAGCCAAATTGAGTGATCTCTTTTGTGGCTATCAAAAAAGAAATCGAGTATGAAGAAAAACGAAAAGAAAGAAAGACGAAACCTTTTTTTCGTATCTATAATCAAATAAGGAGGATTGAAAGAAGAGTTGAGAGGTGGAAAGGGGAGGGGAGGGGGAAGAGACACACCTACTGAGATTTAAAACATGGTAACATAGTTCGATAATGTTGCATCTATTGTACATTGGAGCCAAAATACAAACGCACTAGAGTGTGCTCCAATGCCACAAGCTAAGCGTTGGCTTGCCTTGGAGGTTTGCTTCGCTTTCAATTCATTTTATTTAACGTTTTGTAGCAAAACTGAAGGATCATTTCTATCATACAAATCAGGCAATTTATTATATTAATTCAAGAACATTGGGTAGATTTCGTAGATCTGAATCCGAAGCTTCTCTAAAATATTTTTTTCTACGTACAAATGGTATTATAAAAGTGCTATTCAGTCACGAACCAGTGGCGTATTCTCTTGATATTAAATAGAAACTCGATGAATAACCATCCCACATGTCAAATTAAGTCAAATCAGAGGCCAATGCTGCAAATCGAACAATGGTGAATGGCACCATACGAAGCCTGCAATCGCTAAACAGCCTCGATTCCGGTATCACATCTTTAGGAAGAGACCATCTAAATTCAAAGAAAGAGAGATCATCGGCTGCTAGCAAAAGAGAGTGAACCACTCAGGTACAGCTGTTGCGGATGTCTACAAATCGAGATGAACAAATATCCATGATAAATATGGCACTGGTTAGTTAGCATTCAAGCAAATTTGTTTGCTTCAAGCTCTTCCTCCTTCCCCTCCTCCTCCTCCTCCCCATTTTGCAATAAATTATTTGTACAACATTTAATATAAAACATAAAACCAACATTTCACAATGTGTGGTCAATTTAATCATGTATATTTGCTTCATGTTGTCGTCCGAGGTCTAGAACAGAGAATAATACCTCCTTATCCGTTGAATCTATCCAGCTGAATTGTCGTAAAATGTCGTTTTCACACAACATCAGCATTCATTGTAACACACAAAGTCTTATATGATATCATTCTTCTATACATATTACATCCTAGCGGCAAAAAACTGTGTGTTACAGAAAGAAATGGCCGTGTGATACACTAAAACCTACTCATAAACGTGGTCATGCATACAAATACATACATTTGGTGGTTTGTTATCCTTAGGAGAAATAGCTTATGCTAATTGATTCAGCTCGAAATGTCATTCAGTGGGGTTGCAGACATATCCATACCATTAGTGGCTGTACATCAACATAAGCGCATGAATATGTATCGATGGATTGACAATTCTCTCCTCTTGTTTCATCATGGTAGTCCTATTGAGTGCACATTGACAATAGACTTTGGTTTTTTTTTATCAACGTCGTGAGATATACATTACACCTCAGAGAAGCTATTTTCATGGATGGTGCCAGATCATGGTCTTTTTTCAAGGGCTTGTAGATTGTTGCTCATCAAGCCAAGGCAACTCTACTTGGAAATATTGATTAACGCTGCATGAACTCATGAAAAAATCGCACAGCTTTACTCTGTTCGATGCATATTTGACACATAGCAAATGCCTGTCCACATTGCAAGCCTTATGCTGTCCTCGGTCTGGCAATATTGTACTGTATCATTGCTCTCGCTCTCTCTTCAAGCGATTTGATCTTATTACTTCTTGCCCGCACGAATGACATCGGCTTTATAATAACCAAAACGCCTCAAATAGCTATCTGCTGATTATAGATCTGTACATTGAACTTTACTTGTGGTAAGAAACATGCATATGTAAATCTCAATTAAGTTTCGCTGATGATGTTTTCAAATGTTTATTTAGCTCTACGCATTTCACAATGCTTATATATACTGAATTAATACATGAGCAACAATGGCAAGTATCAATCAAGATACGATTTCAATTTGCAATGCAATTACTAAGGGCTTCCAACGGCACTGATTACTTCTATGATAAGTATAGCATTGACCTTGCCAGCAGCTGCCAAAATGGTTCTAACTCCGACTAATTATACTGCTGCTCCAGATTGGACAGATTTGGTCAAATTTCGACTTGATTGAACTATCCTGCTATATTTAACCATTTGAAGCGTGATAATCCTTACATACCCCCTTATGCTTTTTTGAAGTACTTTTCAAGGCGCATCCGATGCTACTAATTCTAATGCGTGTTTAAAATAAACTTATTGAGCAACTCTTGAAAATAGGAAATAGTCATTTTAGCCAAATTGTCGAGATTTCACATTCAAAGATCTCATAAACAAAGTTTCAGAGGTTGCTTTGGATCGAGAAAAGCATTTTGATGTATTATATGGCATAGTAACGAGCCGTTTGAACGTAGGTTGGTTTCCTGACCTACGCTTCGCTTCGGTGGAAACCACCCGAAGTGCTGAAAGGCTCGTATGGCATAGTAAAAGTCTTCATTTTCGTGGTCAAAAACGTGATCGTTTAATTTTTGATGAAAACCATGAGGGGTATCTCATGGTAATCCTCTACAAGAAAAATGACCCCAATGACATGGCAGATTATAGACCTATCTCCCTCTGCAACACTGACTACAAACTCTTGACACGTTTGCTTAATCATCGAACGACGGAAGTCGCTAAGCAACTGATCAACGAGAACCAAGCGGGCTTCGTGCCTGGGAGGTTCATTGCCCAAAACGTTCTGCGGTGTCAGGTCATAATGGAAGATGCTGAACGAACAATGAACTTGGCAAAGAAGAACAATGTGATACACCAAATGCCCAAAGCAATTGGCCTTAGTTTTGACCAGGAAAAAGCGTACGATCGAGTCAACCTCTCGTACCTTCAAACTGCACTCATTACTTATGGCTTCCCTGCTAATCTTGTGCGCTGCATCATCAACATGATGGGCCAAAATCTCTTGCGCATCAATGTGAATGGTTACTTTACCAAAGATTTTCCCAAGCTGCGAGGCTTAAAGCAAGGTGGCCCCATTTCCTCTATTTTGTACAATTTGGCTATTGAACCCTTTCTGCGGTCTATTCTCAATGATCCATTATACCACGGCTATCAAATGCAGTATGCAACTGACCATCCCAACTATAATGCTAATGACCCTTTAGTTCATGTGTCAAAAACCCTTTGTTACGCTGACGATGCTTTTGTATTTGTTCAAGACCTTCCTGATCTGGCAAGACTCGAGTACCACTTAGATGTCTATTGCAATGCAACCAATGCCAAGATTAACTACAACAAGGTTGAAGCTGTCTCGCTCTCTGGTCAAAACACATGGTCATATTGGCAAGCACGACTCTCAGAAATGAATATCACAAAATTCACATCCAACATGGATTCCAATCCAGTGATCTATCTCGGGTTTCCTCTGCTGCAATCGGTTCAACAATGTGAAGTATTTATCGGTGGTCTTGTCGACAATCTCCGGACAGCTACCAAAATTCACAGTGCAAGAAGTCTCTCCGTCGTTGGCAAAGCTACAGTGCTCAACAGTTTGATTTTGTCCAAATGCTGGTATGTACTACGAGTAACTCCGTTTGCTCAAAGTAATGTCCAAGCTATCCAGTCCATTTGCACCAAGTTTCGACGAAAAGGCATCTTTCCTGTTATCCCCTGGGCCACATGGACTAAGCCGAAGCCATTAGGTGGATTAGGTGTTCTAGATGTTGCTCTGCAACAATCAGCCCTATATTTTCGTTGGGTTCAACCGCTCCTCCATCCCTCTGGCTCGCCCCACATCCTAGATCTCATGCTGGTCATGCTAGTGAATAAGCAAAATCAGAGTGCGCATGTGCAGGTTTCGTTGCTCTTTCCCCTCACACGAACCACTGGTCTCACTAAACAACGCACCAACACGGTAACAATGATCTACAAATCAGTTGACCGCCTCAAACGCATCCACGAACCAGTTCACCTCAATATTGCTACCGCCTCAATCCTACCTGTCAAAGCCATTCTGCAGCCGTCTGCCACTGTCTCCAAAATGCCGATTAGGGCCACTCAGTTGCAAGTAAAGGATCTTTATCAACCCAATCCTGACCAACCTCTGCAACTCGAAGCACGAAAAGCACCAACCATCCCAGCTGACATTCGACGCGCTTGCAAGAAAATCCTGAAGCAAATCAACGAGAACAAAGTACATATCCAACCGTACTTTAACCTCATGCTGCAACCTCCTCAGGATAGCACCAACCGCACAACCGACATCTCCTTCAAACCGTTCATTGACTCCTATGACTTCAACAGCCAGAAAGGCCTCACTCGACAGATTTCAACCAGAACATTCCGCACAGCATGCATCGATGCTCATATCTCCAGCATCGCCAGGTCCAACTGGAATTTCTTCTGGTCTCTGTCCCTGAACCTTGTCCACCGTAATGTCATCTATCGCTTCCTCACCCACACCATCCCGACCAAACGCCTGCTACACTACTTTGAGATAGCTGAATCACCTCTCTGCCCAATCTGTGATAACGAAGAAAATGCTGTACACTTGCTTTTCCTCTGTTCCAGTAAGGCATCCATCTGGAAAGCTATCATCTTTGAATTCTTGTGGCCAACCGTTTCGATTGGTGATATTATCCAAGCCTGTTCCTCTCTTGACTTTGAAAACATCAAGTATGTCTCCAAATCATACACCACTGCTCACATGGTCGTACTGGTAACACTTGGCAACATTTGGCGAGCTCAAGTTCGTATGATCTTTCATTCGACTCCATTTACATGGATCGATGTGGTCCAGCAGATCAAGAACGAGCTCCTTCAACTACATGCCCAAACTGAAATTCACAAACAATTGTAATTCTCTAATCGCAATTGTCATCTATCATTTGTTCCTGTCATCTATCGCTTTATCCTAAATACAATTGAATATCATATCAATTGCGCCCGCCTCTTGGTAGTGCCCTAGGGACCTACTTACACGGAGCAATCAATAAAAACAATTTAAAAAAAAAGTACCTCATGGTTTTCAGCGATCCCAAAAAAATCGAGCAGAGACGCCAGAAAGTAAGTGCTAGATAAAAGCAATTGTTTGGCGCTATTCTGGTGGTTTGAAACGGCTTGTAGCACGAGAAAACACGGCTTAAGTGCACCCAGGTTTCGCTGTGATTTCTTTACATCTGAGAGATAGGGAGTAATAGAAGTATACTGATTGCCGGTATATGAGTTTTTTCTATTGATACGTAAGGTTGACATCGTAAAAGGGTCAAATTCGCGGCTACAGGCTACTTATGAAGGTTTTCTAGGCGATAGTATAAGTATACATGAGCAGATTGACTTGAATTGCTTTGTATCACTTGGTTTTACAAACTGTATATCTCACTAGCCAAGATTCGTCTATTTAACATTGCATACTGATTTTAGAGCATTCAATTATCGTGTATCTAGCACTCTATTACTCTAAATTGCCGTCAATGTTACAATGCAGTTTCGTGTGCCGTCTCTCATGCATTATGTGATTTAGGTTTATTGAAGGTTATTTTTATCTTTTCCTTGGCTTATTACTGTAGCTGATCAATAATGTGATCTACAAATAGCATGCTAAGCATTAAGCTTACAAGATTTAAACTGCAATTTTCTCATAAGGTGGCCAGCGATCCTACTCTAGCGTGCGAAACGTCTTCCGTATCTAACACAGAGGTTGTATCTACCCAACACTACTGTGCTTCATGAGAAATTCAATACAAAAGATGCGTTTAATGATACGTAATGCGATAGAATATTCAAGTTTAATTATCAGTTTTATTGAAATTAAGAATATGGATAGTGCAAGAGTCTAAATAAAAGTATTTGGCATTTTGAGATCATCAAGATCAAAGGTATATAATATGAAAGCTAGTTTTTCTTTTCATGAGCGGCTTCATGTACATGTTTTTCTTGTACATGCTTTTCTTGTACATGCTTTTCATTGACATGGTACGCGTTCTTATTCATTTTGGCATATTGTAGCAATTGGAGTCTACGAATCAAGATATCGTGCAATTGAACACGACGCTTGATGTTTGACATGTTATGCGCCTGGATCAATACAATCAGGAGAAAGCCTTCGATAATCATGGTGGGCGTGTTACAGAGGAGCTGACCAGTTTGATTCCACTTCATGGCACTAGCAACGGCAATAAGAGCAAGGACAACAATGACAGAGAATAATACAGCAAGTGGCATTGCACAGACACGCCCCATCCAGTTACTGATTCTTGTAATAATAGAGTGGTCTTCTTCCAAGGGTTTTGTAGGGAGAGGGATGTTTAGGAACTGATAGAGGCGCTCGTCGTTATCAACAAGGATATTGAACTGTTCATCCAGCATTTCGTCTTGTCGAAAGTACACATTACGCAAAACAAAGCCATCCACGAAGCCCACCAAGCCGGTATAGGTTCCAATCTAATGAGCTTGTTAGCAAACTTCAGAGGTCACATCCCACCATCCACAAAACTTACAATTAACCACCAGTCGCTACTGTATTCCATCATGTTTCCAACGCCAATCCAAGTAATAAAGACGCAAACGCTGATGAATGCACCAATACCAGTGCCGATAACATCACCATAGTAATCAATAGCTCTGATTGCACGAGATACTTGAGGAGGATCAATGCAAACAATAGGATTAGGCTCGTTATCATCAGCTTGCTCACGAAGAAGCAACTCCAATTCGACATCAGTTTCCATGATTCTCTTTAAACACTTTTCAAGGTATTCCATGTGACGACGGCGAGTATTCTGAAGGAACATGGAGGTAAAAGTAAGTTCAACAGCTACGCCTGTGTTGATATAGAGTTGCCATAGATCACTAAAGTCAAGAGAATGTCCAACACCAATCCACGCAAGAATACCACCCCAGTAAATGGCGAGAGAGGCCATGGATCCCACAGCCATAGAGGCAAAATTACACACACGATCAAATAGGTTTTCACTGGGCATCTTGACAGCATCACCAACATCGTCCTTAATGACCATCTTATTTACTTGCTGAGCATCTATACCTTGATGTGCCTGCGGATTACGCAAGATTCGATCCACCGTAGCCACTCTTGAACGCAATTGAGAGATGATGGTCAGTAATTTGTATGTATAATTTTGCTGTTGGCGCATCAAGAGGCTATGGCGCAGACGATTAGCATAGGCCCAAATCAAAGCAGTGCATTTTCACTTACGAATCACTGATGTAGCATTGAATAGAGGAGGCATCTTGCATAACAATCTGCCAGGTCTCAGGGGCACCAAGCACAGCACCTACGATAGCCCAAGCTACGAGCAAGATTAGGGTGACCACAAAAGCAATACGCGAGCCAGCGTATTGAGTAATGCCATCAAAGATTCTACCACCCATGGGCTTGCGTTCTTCAGGATGATATAGTCTGATATTATGAGGTAATTCTTCGCCAACAACTTCAAATGAGTCTTGAGTCTTGCTTTTAGTAACGAATTGAGTGGGTGCAGAGCATTCTACTTTATGGTGCCTTCCAGGGGAAGACAGAGTATTCCAGAGTTTAGAGCCAATTGCCATTGGAGAGAGAGAGAGAGAGAGAGAGAGAGAGAGAGAGAGAGAGAGATGGATTTCTGAAAAAATTCACAGCAAAAACCTCTCTTTTTATATCAGATTTTCATCCTGGAAACAAAATCTGGCCATAATTCATTTCAAAGGCCCCTTCCACGCCCTATCAATGTTGTTTGCACTGCATTTTTACCAACAGCTGAAGCAGCACCCGAGCATTCGTCATGGCCAAACATGGATACAAACGTATCTCGCTGATTAACTGTTCAAAAAAGCTAAATTACTACCGCTATGAAGCTGTAATGCGATCTGCCAGCGTAAACATGATAAAGCCTACACCAACAAAAGCCAGCGGTTGAATGTCCTGATCCAAAACTTCCGTCTAGACAACTCTTTCTAGCATTTCCTCCTAATCAAGTTAAAGATCCGATAAACACATTTGAAAGATCTTAAACCAAGAGAATAAAACTTCAGTGGGATGATATGGATCAGATAATGGCAACATCCTACTTGATAACTCCACTTTTTTTTTTACCTGTTTATATATAACATCTCATTCATTTAGGCATGTAACACACACAGATCAGTAACATTTTGTGGTACATATCACATTTACATGGAAAACTGACATTGGCATTAGTCAGGAAAATAGAAAAACTTGCTGTTTCTTTGATCGTCCGTATATCCTTGATATACAATGACCGCTTCACATAAATGAAAGCTAAACATTTTAGTATTGATTTTGTGTCTCACCAGCTTCAAATGTGGATTGTTACAAAAGCTATTCAATTGATAGAGCAAGGATATACAGAACATACAGCAAAAAAAAAAAAAAAATTGATCTGTCATTCAAGCCTCACGTTTGCTGATTTTAGCCAGGTCAGTGGCTCGTAAATGAAATTTGATATCTTGCAAGGTCCCTGGAAGATTGAATCGCATGATTACACACTTCAAGTGGAGAAAATAAGGCTGTACGAGTTATCGAACGACTTTTTCCAGTTTTCGAATAAAGTAGGTTGGACAAATGAAAAGCCATAGACTTTAATGTGATCGAAGCTCTTTAAAAGAAAACCAGAAATATAGCATTGGATGGACATGTCGTTCAACTAGCGGCTTTTGGTGGCATCTATCAGTTGGTCATGGAAGTCTAAAGAGAAAAGGCTTATTTGATAACATGATTGCAGTTTCAAATATCAGATTGAACACCAAATTTGGTTTAGGCAAGTCAGTGCTGCATGAAATGCATGGCAAGATGCATGATTTGGCAGAATTCAACAAATTCGCACTATGAATGCAGTTTATGAGCGAGCGGTAGGTATAGCTTGATAGAATGGCATTCAGCAGTGGTACGGGAACAACAGGTCAGTTGAATTTAGTTTTCTGCAAGCTATAATGACAAGATGTTGCATGCATTTCTCAGGAATTACCCCCCCATATCATTATATTAAAATCAACTATGTTTATTGATTGACGCACTAGCAAAAAGTAACAGTAAAGCTTTCTGCCTCACATTCAAAAGTAGATTGTTGATCATCGTAAGCAAAGCTATAGGCATCTGGGCATTTCTGTTTGATAGCAGCCGAATTGCCACTGGCTTTGCAAGCATCTGGGTTATTATTAGCACCCGTACAACAATCTTGAGAGGAGCCTGTTTTTGAACAAGCACTCATGCACGAAATGACATTTCCCGTGGCATCAGTAACAGCGTACTCTTTGGGACAATCCGAGATGGAGCACTGTGGTGAACCGCAAGAATACCCACTAGGAGATGCTCCCCCACTTGGCGCAATCGACATGGGCATGTTGTACCCATCGACAAGACTAATATCGTAAAAATCTTTACCACCAGCACCCTTAAAGAAGAATTCTGCCAAAGAAGCAGGATTTGTTGCACCAGGTACTCCACAATTGCTTGAATCTTTGCCTGCCGATCCAGAGCAGTGATAGCGAGCCCATACACGGCCTCCCCAGGAATCAGACTTACTGAAGCTGTTGGTGGCAGAAGGAGTGAGGTCAAAGCTTTGTTCAGGCAGTCCAGAACTAACACCATTAGTGAGGACACCCACTGTAATGACACTACCACAGTTGTTCTTTACCGTGATGGACTTGTCGGCTTGTGACATGGACACAAGCACAGTGATCCATAAAGCAATGTATGTGATGATGGATTGAATTTTCAACATTTGAGAGTAGCAGAAAGAAGAGAGGAATTGTTTTTTTTTCATTTTTTTTTTTTCACTCTTGATCCATTGCTGTTTCTAATGAAAAAAAAAAATAATGCAGTCTACAAATTGCAGTTTCAAGGGTCTTTTATGGATTCCATCCTTTTGACATGTCAAGTGTAAGAAAAAGCCCTAATGAATATGAAACCCCTTTGAAATCAAGGATTTTTTAAAAGTCAATTCTTCTAGATCCACCATCCAAATGAGCAGGTTTTTATTGTGTTGATGTCAACAAAAGTAATCCAGATCCAGTTCAGTTGTGCAAGGATCGCTCATGATGCTATCATTGGAAGAACACTTTGAGCCCACATCATCCATGGGCGTGGTCGCCGGTGTGGTGGATTTGCTGACTGAAAAGATGCTCCAACCTCCACCTGCATGGAGATCATCCAACAGCGCTTCATCAATCATTGCCTGATACACAATTTCATTCTGTCCAATCTGATGTCTGTTCAAGAACTGAAGCATATCCTTCTCCAATTGACTCTCATCAAAGGATCGTCTGGTTGGTGTTGTTTGGTACAGTTGCAACAGCAAGACAAGATAAGCTCTGCTTACATAGACAAGTGCTGGTGATCGCCCATATTGCGATACATTGGACTAGCATAAAGGGGGTGAGTCCATGTGTGTGTGTGTGTTCCCCTCCATTCTCACAATGCCAACTTACACTGAATATATGCTTAGCGCTCATAAAGTGGTATAAGTATGGTCGAAAGAAACAATCAAACTTCTCTTCTGATTCGGATGACGTCTTGAACCAGTTTTGGAACAGCTGTACTATCGCAACAGCAGCCTGAGATGTGTGCAGAATGGCCTCGTTTTCGTCTGGCGTCAGTGGTTGCTCGCCTTGATGGTTTGCGGATGGTAGTAATGCTCTGTACATGGTAATCCAGCATTGGCAATAGTCTAGCAAAATGCAGAAATAATTGCGTCTCAGCCATATGCTTGCGCCGGGTGGAAACGAGGTTGGGTTCTTCTTGCCAAATTGCAGATGCTTTGGCAGTGCATGGTAGTATTGTAGCAGCTTCTTTCTGAAATGATTCACCAATGCACGCGGTCTCATTTTACGCGACTCCTCAGATATAGATCCTGCTAGTTTTCTGATTTGGATGATGCTGATGGCAAATGTCGTTTGATCCATTTCAATGGTGTTGAAATCGGGCAGTGGTGTGGGTAGTTCAATTGAGATTTGGTTCAGTTTGATGGTAGACAGTTGATCATTGAACAAATGAGACACCATGTTATCGTAAAACCACACTGTCCAAAAGATGCGTTTGGATTGCTCTCTTTCATGGGGCGTTTTGCAAGACACATAGCCTTCGGGACGATGCAAATTCAACATGAAACACATACGAATGGCGATGCCTATATGGAGAAATGCCCTTCTCACTCTGCCCAGATCCAAATCATACGTGATCAACAAGGTGCGTTGATGAATGTTGGACAAGTTGGCTGGCTCATCAATCCCTAGTAAATCGTGTGAATGGTTGTAAAACTTGTCGCCCAATTCGCGGAAATCCTGAATCTGTGTGAGGTGAGGATGGTAGATACAGGCGTGTGGTACAGAGTGAGAGAACACAGAAGATAACACCAAGGGCTTTAATTGGCCTTGTCGGTAGTGGTTCTCGAAGCGAGATGGCCTCACAAGTATCGGAAACCCACATTTATGATGCTGGTGGATTAAGCGAGATTTCACGTCTTTGGAGAGATCGTTAGTGCCAGTGGCGTTTCTGTTGCAACTGTTGTCACCACCCGAGGCTTTGGAGTAGCGATTCAAGCTTTCAAATAAGGTAAATGTATGTTCCCTTTTGTTCTTTTCGTCCCAGTGATGCGTGATGGAAGGTCTTTTGGCGAATACAGTGCTGTTGTGGAGAGATTGCACAGAGATGTCGACTCGGGAAATGTGACTCAACTGCTGAGGAAACTGGCTGGGCTGTCTGTAGATGGGGTTGCCTTTGGTATTGTAGATGGTTTCCACTGTATTTCTCAATGCCTCGCTGAGATCCTCGAAATTCTTAATGGTAGTAAAGATGGATTTCATGCCATCTGCATTCTCGATGACGGGCCAGCCGGTACCAATAGCCCAGTCATAGACGCTGGGACTCTCATGCTGTATCCGAGGTACGATGGCGGTTGTTGATGTTGTCGGTAATAGTGTGGTTCCTTGAGCAGGAGGAGGCTGTTGCTGTTGTGTGACATAGTGTTGCACGTGTGGCTGTATTCGGGGAACCGTCGACCGATAGTCTTGTTCAAGGTTCGTGACAAATGATGTGAGCCAGCCCACTTGATTTTCTAATTCGTCCAGTCTTTGTCGCATTGAAACATTGTCCAAGCGAAGCGCATGATTGCTGTACTGACAGTGATATCTGTCCTTACATTGGCCACAAATAGGCTTTCCTCGATCACACCCAACCCTTCTTTCGCGACATCTAATACGTAATGCTATCAATTTTCAAGCATGCAATTCATTTGGAAACATGTTTCGTACTTATCACATGCATAGCCAATATGCTGTCGCTTCTTCTTTTTGGGCTGTTCTTGGTTTTGCTTCTGTGTTGCTGGTGCTTGTACGGGCGGTGGCGGTCTCGCAGTAGAAATGATAGATGACGCAGAGGAGGAATCGGATGGACTAGAGGCATGCTGCTGCTGCTGCTGCTGCTGATGCTGATGGTATTGAGGAGCTGTCGTCGTAGAAGGCGAATGCTGATGATGGAGTGGTATATGATGGCTGGACGATGCGATCGCACTGGAGCTAGTGCTGGTGTTGTTTGAGTATTCTATATACACAAAAGGACGGGCCTGTTTCTGGATCAAAGTATTGTCAAAATACATCTATTTACACTGTGATGGAAAGAAAACGAAAAGAAGAAAGAAAGGAAAAAAGGCTTCTTTTATAAAGACTGGTAAACATGTCTCTGTGTAACGGATGCTCATGCTTGTGGGTTGTTTCCAATGGCCATGGCCAGGCTGAGCATCAGTGGAGCTGGCTTGTGTGTGTGTGTGTGTGTGTGTGTGTGTGTGTGTGGGAGAGAGAGAGAGAGAGCTATGAGATGATGTGGATGCATGATTTCAGTTTCACCCAACGTTTTCTTGTCATAACCTTTGTTTGCTAGATCCATGATAACACTTGCTTGATTTAAGCTATTCTTTCTGTACAACAACTGCAAAGCTAAATGGTTCACAATAGGATCCCCGAAGCATCATTGTGCAGCCCCCCCCCCCTTTGCTAAGCTTTTGTTCTCCACTTTGTTTTACATTAATAAGGTTTTTATTGAATAAGCATGGCATCGGACGGAATCAGTTTCAATTGACATGGCTCGGTGGACGGTGGCAGCGACGATGATGGAATGTCCGAGAACAGTGATAGAATGCGATCTTTTTCTGTATTCCAGTGCGCAGAACATAGTCTGTATTCAACAGGGATCCACGATTCATCTTGTCGTTGTACAATACGATATCGCACCACAAATGATTGAAAATAAGGGCCACCACAGGACGAACAGGCTTTGGGCCGAGATAAATAGCAAATCATGTGGCCGGGCAGTTGTTGGAAGCTCTTGTATCGCTGCTTTTGGAGCTCTTTCAACTCTCGTTTTTTCTTTTTCTTTGCCATTAAATCATAGAGGATAGGCTGCATGATTTGTCTGGCACATATCTCAATGAGGCTGAGTGGGTTGTGTGCTGTTTTCTGCTCCAGCTCAATGGATCGATCTAGCAATTGAGGACAGTGGTCTGTCTTGATGATGGTCATGGAGAGATTGAGTAACTCGGCTGGAATGGAACTGATGTCTGTGTTGGATAGATCCAGGTAATTGAGATGATGCAGACGAGCCATGTTGGCAGAGATGTGGGCGATGGGGTTGAATGACATGTCAAAATGAACGAGTTTGGTGAGCGAATAGATGCTTGCAGGTAAATGGCTAATGTTGTTATGGGAGAGATTCAGCTGCTTTAGATTTCTCAATTGGTCAATGTTGGATGGCAGTTTCACTAGTTTGTTATGAGAAAGATCAAGCATAGTTAATCTGGTTAATAAGGCTACTTGGGTAGGAAGTGCAAATAAACCAATGTTGCGGCTATTCACATGGATGGAAGGGTTAGTTTGTTAGTCTGTCATGTTGAGAGGGCATATTTACAGATCAAGCCTGGAAACAGATGTTACTAGGCCAATGGTCTTGTTTAGCACGATGCTCTGCACATTGCTCTGTAGTTTGTCATTCTGCGGGAACATGGTTGATGCTGCTGCTGATTTGGCATCGTCTTGTGTGGTTAGTGGTGGTTGCTGCTGATGGTAATACGTCTTGTCCACATAGCTTAGATCATGATCCAACGCAGTAGGTGAAAACAAGCAATGCATTGGAAATTGATCCAATGTCCTTAACGTTCCAAGTGTGAAATGACTACTCATGAAATGAGAGAGAGAGAGAGAGGCAAAGAGAGTAGGAAAAGAAAACAAGAAAGAAAAAGAGATATCCATTTATATATTATATGTTATATGTAGAGAGACAGAGAGAGAGAGAGAGAGAGTATGCGATTTAACAAATGTTTGTTTTACAATGCACTTTCGGACCATTTCATATCATCTTTCCATTTGCTTACAACATCAATATTGATTGTTCGACCAAACCTGAACGCGTTCTTCAACAGTAATAGACGAACTTGCGGATCAATGCCTGTCAAGTAGCCAATCTTCCCTTCTCCTGATTCGTACTTCAAAGCGACTGTGCCAATGATGTTGCCTTGCTTGGTCATGATCCATGCATTGCTCTTTTCGCTCTTTCGAATCTTGGCTAGTTCAGTTGCCATGTGCTGGCATGTCTTTTGCAATTCTGCGTCGTACTCTTGGCTGATCCATTTGAACCAAAACACACTCACACCAGCACTCCACAGCAGCAGCTCTGCTATCAGCCATAGTGCATGACTGTGTCGAGAGAAGTGTATGCCCAGTATACCCACCAATCCTGCTTGCCAAGTCCTCCTAGCACTGGATCTCTGCTTGAGGGCATGCAACACTCGGCTGGTTCTCTTTTTGCTCTGCATCTCCTTATAAAACTGTTCAAATTGCGCCTGATCTGTTGGTTCATATTGGCGGATCTCGGTGTCCTTGTCCATGCGGTATATTATTATATAATAGGGTAAAGGGAAAAAAAAAGGTGCTTTTGTTCTTTTTAGGTTGTTGTTGATGTTGTAATGTGAACATTCATCGAGTCACACAAAAACACTTATACACACACTCTTGATCCTTGACACTGAATACATTGCAACATTGAAGAGCCATCGTGTTGGCTACTAGTAGGTCCACTGACCCAGGCACCTCTGCAGGAATTTCTCCTCGGTAACTTGAGATAGAAGCATCATATTACAGTTTATCCGTTCACAAACAAACAAACACAGATTAAGATCACACCTTGTTTGCAAATATCAAAACATGGAAGAAAAGGTTATTTCAGCATTCCTCATTAGGTATACGAACGCTATGCATTTCGCTGTGTGCTGTTGCGCTTTAACTGACAGCAATTCATGCATCGAAATACAAGCTACAATAGTATGGTAGCCATTAAGGAATAAAAAGTGATACAATGTTGGTATCAGAATCAGATGTTGGGCACTCCAATGAATGGATGTAGACTAGTCAAGCACACTGGTTAAATGTATACTAAAAAAAAAAAAAAAAAAAAAAAAAAAAAAAAAAAAAAAAACTATGCCATAAATATAATGTCAGCTTCGGATACATTAGATGTCCAACGATTTACAATGTTGGTAGCTCATGATTTAGGCTGTAGATGGCACTAGGAGGCTAGGTGATCCTTCCGCCTCCAATGCAACACAGACTTGCGATGAGCAAGTCAAGACGTTTGATAACGAAAAAAGAAGAAGGACGATTATTCTTACATCAATTGCATCTATCATCAAGCAAATGCATGGTTAGAAATAAGTCGTTCCAGATTATCACTGCCGTGAATAGTTGGCAAATTGCAAACGTGAAAATTGACATCTGGCCAACCTAGTAGTAATGAAAGCACGCATTTCGTGTACATGGCATCTTCAAAATGGCACATAGTAACTGATGACAACATTAATTTAGAAGGTTAAAGGCATAGTTTATTATCATTTACATTATTCATTTACATTTATATATATAAAAAAAAAAAGACTCTTCTTGGTTTCTCAAAGCCATTTACAATGGCAATGATGCTCACAGGAACAACTACGAGAAAGTGAGAGTCTAAATGTTCCCAAATGGAGAGCGTACCTAGCGTGAGGCCCAACTACCAACCCAAGACACTGTTACATGCTCAGGCGACCTACGAGTAAGCCAATGGGTTGAACACACACAACAGAGCACGCAACCCCAAAAAAAACACCTCCATTAACAAAAAAAAAAAAACCTGACTTGAAAGAAACAAAGTGGTGCCATAAGAGAGAGCGATACAAGTAAAAGCAAGAAAGTAGCATGCAAACGAAAGGGTGTTACACGCTAATAGTAAAAGAACAAAGGTAAAGTATTCATCCATCTAAAAGTTTCCCTCTTTATATACCATGTCACTGTGGAAAGTCTCGAACCAAAAGACCTCACGGCGTTAGTTTCGTATTGTTTCGTGTTGTTTTGATGAATTTCGCGATGTTCACCTCACCTTGGATCCTGAAAACAGCACCATTGCATTCCCCAAACAATTTGCTTTCCAATGATGTGCATACTTTATAGTAGAATATCTTCTTTTTGACTATGCAACGACCATTTACTTGTTCATCTCTCTTCAATCCATGTCGTTTTGTTTACTCTTTTACATGTAAATTTTTTTTTTAGTTCGATTTCGCCTACAAATGAGCTGTTTTGATTATGCATGATCCGGGGACCTTCCAAAAGAGGGCAGCTCCTAAACTTATGCTATGAAATATGTTGACTCTATATGATGAGATGAATACTTTTGGCGTGAGAATTACAAACAGGTTACAGGAATGATACTGAAGACGAATCAACCCACCATGTGAATGTGGGCATAATGATGATGTATGGTGGCCCAAACACTTGATTGATATCATTGACAGCAACCCATGATAGTTGGCACAAGATTGCTTGTACTGGCTCGAAAAACAATCTGTTTTGTTCTATTCCATGGAGACTAAGACATCAATTTTTATATGGTGCTCTTATCGATGCTTTGTCTTCCGAGGTGTGCACTTGTTTCTTGATTTGAATGTGCATACTTTGTGGTACAAAAATCATTGAAAACTGGTTCTAGACGATGTAAATAAAGAAGAAGCTATGCTTATCATCCAATTAAATAAACAGCTCATGATGAATGCAAACAGAAGGAGAGGTGAATCGAGAGCATTGTAATTTCTGGTAGCGAGAATAAGGAGAGGTAGAGAAGGACAACCGAATTAAGCTTCCAGTTACACCTGTTTCAGAGTCAAATGATCTTTTTTTTTTTTTTTTTTTTTTTTTTTTTTTTTGTTTACCTTGAACATTGGTGTTAAAATCTTTCATGTGAAATACGCCTATGAGAAAATGGGGGGAGAGAGAGCTCATTGAATGTGAATGTCGAAAATGAGCATTTTGCAATAGTGAAATAAATATAATTGGGGATAGAAAACAGCTGGAAGCATAGGATGAAGCGGATCAAATAGAGCAAATGTCAACTGTCAAAATGGTACTACTCTCACCTTCTTAAAGTAGCAACGTATGGATAAAAGTAAAGAAAACGAATTTAAATGTGACAAAGAGACCACACAACTGAGCCTTGGTGGGAAACAACGTAGCCATGTGAAAATATGGCATAAGTTCTCGTCAATCCCAGTTATGCTTATTACGGCATATGCTACATTTGCATGTGTATTAGATATCGCATAGTAAGAACCTTCAGTAAGCAGCTTGTAGCTGTGGATCAGGCTCTCTTACAATGCTCCACATTTATATCAATGGAATCCATTCATATACGGACAGACAGCATACCTACATCACCTCTTGCTGCTCAAAAATATGCAAATCATAGCGAAATTAAAATGCATTTGAGCAGTAATTTCTCAAGCTAGACGCCGTTTTAGATCGCCAGAATAGCACCAAACCATTGCCCTCATCTAGCACTTACTTTCTGACACCTTTGCTCAACTTTTTTTGGGATTGCCAAAAAATGATCGCCAAAAACCGACCCAAAAGCATGAGGTACCCCTCATGGTTTTTATCAAAAATCAAACGATCACGTTTTTGACCTTGGTAATGAAGACTTTTACTATGGCATACGAGCTTTTCAACACTTCGGGTGGTTTCCTGACCTACGCTTCGCTTCGGTGGAAACCAACCTACGTTCAAACGGCTCGCGCTGCTGCGGGCCTTTGTCTAATATCCCAAAATTAATATAGCTAAAATGTTAGAAGAAGAACCCTGATTGTTGATTGATATATAATCACTAATCATATGAGTGTTTATGCTTCGGATGGTTCTCACCGAAGTGTAGCGAAGGTAGAGAACCAACCTGCACAGCGACAGCTCGAGCTACCGGTTACCCTTGCGTATTTTATCAAAATACAGCTACTTTCATTTTGACCCTCCACTTACACAAGTAACCCTTCATATTATCTGTGGACCTGACTCTTATGTGATGTTCTACATCCATATACACGTAGTTACTTCATATACGGGCAAGCAGCATACTGGTATTCCCACTTTTTAGTCCTTAGTGTCCCTAATACAGCAAAATATGAGCGCATTTGAGCTGCATTTTCTTGCGTTCAAGGCCGTTTTAGATTGTCAGAATAGCCCCAAATGGTTGCTCTCATCTGGCAGTTACTTTTTGACACTTTTGCTCGACTTTTTGGGGACCAAAAAACATGGTCAAAAATCGACCAAACAGCATGAGGTACCCCTCATGGTTTTTATCGAAAATCAAACGATCGCATTTTCCACCTTGATAATGAAGACTTTTACTATGGTATATCTTGAATCAAAACGTTTCTATCGATCCAAAGCAACCTCTGAAATCATCTTTGTGGGACTTTGATATATAAAATTTCGACATTTTGGCCAGAAACCTCTTTTCATATTTTCGTAAATTATTCAATAAGTTTATTCAAAACACCTATTTTACTTGGTACCATTGGATGCGCCTTGAAAAGCACTCCAAGGAAGCTTAAAGAAGCATCGGATGATTAGCATGTTTTTATAGTCGAATCTGCCAAAATATTTCATTTGAGTCGAATTTGGAGCAAATTTGGCCAATCTGAAGGAACAGCAGCGCACCGGAGCTTCAAGCAATTTTAGCAGCTAGTAAAGAGAATGCTTTTCCAAATCATGAAGGCCATACATGCTTTTGAAGCTAATAAGAAGAAGAGCATGAACCTAGAAGCACTGTAACTTGTACTGTATACCTTACCCTACTCTTTTCATTCAGATTTATATATATATATATAAGAACATAAGCCAAACTGGTATATTTAGAGGCTCAATCTCATCCACGAGGATTTGAACTTGCCCAGGGTACATTCGTTCCTAGCATTCGCGCGAAAAGCTCCTTCTGCTAGCAAGTGTCATCCTAATCTCAAATAGTCATGCATTTACTACTACTATTACTACTACTACTACTACTACTACTACTACTACTACTACTACAAACACTGACATATAGATTTCACTTTGAATGCAGTCAAGGCAAATCATGCCTCCATCGTCACTCCAACAGCAAGAAATGGATACTCTCATCCGATAGCATAAAGAATGTGTGGCACTGTATTACTGCATGAATAAAATGTGCACACAAACAACGCAATCTGGTTACTGTAATGTTCAAAACAAACACATTGGTCATTGGATTTTGAGACGACATGTTCCAAATGTCTCTTTCTGCTGTAATCGATGATGAATGATCAAATATCGGGTTCTCATTTTTTGCTATCCGCTTCAGCTGTTCTCCACAAAAGCAAAGTTGTTTTACCCAATACAGGATGAAGACACATTTTTGCTTATTTATTTATAAAGCCCCTCGTTTTCCTTTTGTCTTTTTTCTTCTTCTTTTTCTCTTTTTCGTATTGAAACAAAAATAAATGGCTTCAGCAAAGGCTATCCAGTTATCCAAAGACATCGATGTTGCTCGTTGCAACGGAAATTGGGCTGTGATACCCGAGTTGGCAAGACGATACAAGAAATATTATTCAGAAGGAACAGGTGAGAGTACAATTGCTTTTCTTCATGCTCCAAAAACGTGTATGATTAACATGAGTCCCCCCCTCCCATTTAATCCAGTCTTGGAGCAGACCGTCTTGGCAGAGATCAACCTTATTCAACTAATCAACAGTGCACGTTCCAGCAGCACGCCAAACTACCGCATGGACGATCCGTATCATATTAGCATGGAGGATCGTTTGGATCCAAACCTCGTCAAGCCAATTCAAAGTCAACTTTTGGCAGCCATTCAACTTGCTGATCCAACAGATGTTAATGCAACTCAAAAAGAGGTAATTTTGAGCATGATACGGGAGGAGCAGAAGATCAGGCAGACTGAATTTGAGAGTAGTTTGCAAAGGTTGTGCTAGCAAGGTCCCATTTTGAATGTGGAGAATATGACAAGGCAGTCTCCATCATTGCACAACTTCAGTTTGAAAAGGAACATGTCAGCCAAGGATATGGATTCGTTTTATTTTTGCAGGCAAGAGCTATCAAAGGTTGGTTTTGAATGTCTTGAGAGTAGTATACAGCAATTGCTAAGTGTATATCACCCTATTAGCCATTGCATACGAACTGACAGGCAATGAGGAAGACGCTGTGCAAACTTACCAAGGTGTTGGATCATTGATATCGGAGAACGCTTCTGTCAAGAACAAATCACTCGTTGAATGGTCCGAAGAATCACTGTACCGAGCCACACTACTAGGCCTGAAGAAAGAGTAAGTCAGTTTGTCCCATATCCGTGAACGAAGCTAATCCAAAATCTACACAAGGTCCTTTGTGAGCACATCCTCGTTATTGGAATTCATGCGTCAATATCAAAAAATAACAATTGGCCAACCCACCATTTGGCGTATGCATAAACGTATGACCATCACTCGCCATTCATTGCAATACGTATCGCTTATATACCGCCAAGGCAAGTACTGTTTGCCTGTGATGAATGTCCCGACGACAATGACAGATGATGGAGAGGTGGATCCTCAGTTGCACCGACATATGTTTATCATTGAGCAATCTCAACTGCACACGATTTACGAAAAGATGCTGTACCTGGATGTGCCGCTACCCAAGGCAGGACAAGTAAATCAGCGCGTGTTGGATTTTGTGGATCAGTTTGCCAGCGATTTTGATTTGATAGGTGCCTCTGCGCATGATTTAAGAGGGTTTGTGGAAGCATTGGATAGAGCATCTCAACGCACATTCAATTCACCCCTGATTACGCGACATTTGTTTCATGCATTGGTACGTTTGGGTGAGTTTGAGGAAGCGGAACATGCGTTGCAGGCCTATCTTTACTTGGTAGGTCTCGTTTCTCATGGTTGGAAGGAGACACACCGTGATGGACAGGCACTGGCAACAGACAAGACCGGCCTCAACATGCCTGTTCCTGTAGCCCGACCGGATATCAGCACCGACGAGTTGGATCAAACGCTGCCAGAACGTCGTGAGTCGATTGTGGGTGATATATCTACCATCAAGAGCAACGAAAAGGAAGAGATTGCAGATACACTGCATGTGCTTGTGGGTGCTATCAGAATGTACTGTAACGATTTGTGTCGAGGTGTTGATGCTGTTGAAATGGCAGAGATAGCAAAAGAGCTTCTTCAGAAACAAACCAAAAAAGAGCGCATGTCGACATTGCTGGACATTGGTGCTGAAGTCTACCGTGCTGTTGGTGTTGCTTACGGGTTGCTAGGATACCAAACATTTGACCCTGAATTAAGGCCCTTCTATCACGAAAAGGCGCTTCGTTACCTCAAACACTCGGCTGAACTCAACAGCGACTCGTGGGAGATATACTACCAACTGGCCTTGCAGCAAGCGGACATGCATGCTATTCGGCAAGCAGTTCAGTCCATCACCGTTGCAATTCAGCGGAATCCCTCCCACATTACGTTATGGCATTTGCTGACACTGCTCATCTCTTGCCCAGCTCAAGGCGATTATCGACAAGCACTCAAGACATGCGAAATGGGACTACAGCAAGCACCAGAATCCATGGACGACGATTATGTGGATGCAGAGCAACATATGATGTATCAAATGACCCGCACCTTGTTGTTGCAAGCACTGCACGGACCAGAAGCCGCATTGGAGTCTTCCGAAACCTTATTTGCATCTTACCGTAAAATTGCCATGCCCGATATTTCAGTAAGCATTCAGTCTGATTCTGCTTATGGCGGTGCCCATCATGGTATGATCATCTCGGGGTCCTTGGGCAATCTCAGTGAGTTACAGACAGCGAGAAGAGGCCGAAGTGCAAGCAGTAGTATGGTGCATAACCCATCTAGCGCTGATATCATTACGTCAACGTCCACTGGCCATCTAGGCTCGCGGTCTCATGATAATGTATATGTCAGTGGTAGCGACACTCAATTACTGACAGCTGGAAGAGCTCGCTCTACTTCCAATTTAACTACTAATCCATCGCCCTTGGGGTCCGGTGCTGCTGGTAACCAATTATTGACAGTGCCTGACGAAGACGGCAAATCACAGTTACAACAACAACAACAACAACAACAACAGCAGCAGCAGCAGCATCACCATCATCATCCTCATATTCATGGACTGCATATTTTTGGATCTAAAGGTTCCAGCAGTCGATCCAAACTTCCTCACGACAACAGTATCTACAGCACAGCCAGTGCCCCCATGACATCTCGAGGCAATTTAAGCAATCAATCACTCCCCACCTCGCCGTATGGTAAGTTTGACATTCAATTGCACTAAAGTGAGGCATTACTCATATAGCCCTGTTATTTTTAGATGTGAAAAGTATAGCTGGCAATTCTGTTGCCTCACTGCAAAGTCTCTCGCCATCTGTGTTGAGCATCCAATCCATCTTACAGCCCAGCAACGTCCCCAGCAAGCCTAGCACGCGCACCGTACTGAGAAAGAAGAGATCTGATCGCATCTTGTCTGATTTGTGGCTACTCACTGCCCATGTTTTCATGAAATTGGGCAAACTAGACGAAGCACGTAAAGCAGTGGAAGAAGCAGAGAATGTGGATTGGATCACCAACCCTCAAGTGTGGTGTGTTTTGGGACAATTACTGCAGAGAGACGGTGATCTTGAGCAGGCACAAGCGGCATTTCAAAAGGCACTGGCTATTGATCCACATGATGTGAATTGTCGTTTATGGCTTGCAAAATCACATTTAGCACAACAGAGCCAGGAAATGGCAGAAGGCATACTGGACATTATGACAAAATCCAATGGTTGGGATTGTGCAGAAGCATGGTAAGTCTACCTGTCTCGAGAGAAAACAATAGACCAACGTTTGTATCAATGTTAGGTTCCACTTGGGCGAAATTTACAAAAATACAGATAGATTAGATCGTACAAAAGCCTGTTTATTTTATGCTTTGGAATTGGAATCGACTACACCTGTTCAACCATTTTCAGTGCTGACACGCTTTATATAAAATCCATCGTATCTAGTGTACAAATAATTTCTAAATGTTGCAAAATGGGGGGGGGGTATTATATACAATGTTGTTGAATGATGCTGCTTTTTTGCTTAGAATGTCTGGTTAGCGTCTTGAGGGTTGCTTCTATCGGTAAAGTTCAACTTGCCCATCTCATTGAAGGCGCGAGTGAAAAAGGGTCGAATCTCATTGATCTCCATTAAAGACAGGTTGTTCATACCGAGCCATTTATCGTCCAATACAGCCAAACCAGTTCTGGATTTTGCTTGCCTGGTTTCTCGAAGATCCTTGAGCAGTTTCCTGATCTGCTCTGCATTGGGAATGTCGTCGGAAGCACTAGAATAGGGTGTGAGATGGATTGCGCTGCTGCGAATAATGAGTATACACAAATATACGTACGTTTCCAAAAGCATCTGTGAAATCTCCATGTAATGGAAAGGCAGTTTGCTGAATTCCTCGTCCTTTTCCTCCTCTTCTTGTCGCATTTTCAAGTAGTCTATGATTTCAATGTGTCAGTGTGATTGAAGCATGTTGGCAGCAGCACAGTGTGCACATTTTACCTATATTAAGCCAGTCAGGGCACACGATGGAGCATTTGTCGTTCTTTTTCATTAGCAGGGCAAGCCATGTAGGCACCTCAATAGACAATGGCGGCTGGAAGGGACCTATTTTGCCCTATTTGTATTACTGTCAGCATGACATCGCGTAACGATTGTGTATATTACTGACTTGAATGAAGTTCATTTTTGCAAACTTGGCTTTGGGAATGATATGAATCTTTTCATTGCCGGCGATGAACTCAATCTCACTTGGCGTAAATGAAGCTTGGTGTGCACGGGGTAAGGCCATGTTATAATACGGTGCAATTGGCAAAAGAGAAAGAGAAAGAAATAGAGCCAAGGAGGACCCCATTTAAATAGGTCACATGCTGTGGTTCAAAATCAACACGCATCAGTATCATGGCATTGCTCATCACGGCTGCTATCCGAGCGTCTGTACTTCCTGATCTGATACGATCTATGATCTGGCACTGAAGGCTGTTTCTCTTGTCATCCATTTTGATTGATCTGGTATTTAGTTTGACAAGTGGCGAGTGTCAGATGCATTGTCTGATAGGATCGGGAGGAGGATCTCTCATCAACCTGATCTACAGCAATCGCTTCATGACACATGATGGCTGGCTACTCTCTCTTTTGTTGCAATAGACCATTCTGCGGAACTGTTACCTTGTGCCCTGTTGATATCTCCCAAACAGGATGAACAATGGCATCATGATGATCATAGCCCACCCACCCAAAAAGACTGCTCCCAATTCAGTCGGCTCAACAAATTATCCTCATCAAAGAATCATGTACCAACTTGAAACCACATCCTTTTTCTTGTACTCTTTTATTTTTTCTTCGTTTTCTCCAGTTCAGTTGTATGGTGTCTTTACGCTCGGCTACAATACGCCAAAGAGGATTGCTGGACTCAAGCGCTACAACTGGACAATCGAGCCATCTGCCGTTTCAATTCAACACTCGGAAATGGCGTTGGTGGAATTATGTATCCGCCCTTGTTTCAATCATTGCATGCGTCGAGCTGATACTACTTGTGGTCAGCATGATATTGCTAGCACTGGCTCCAGATCCAATTACATTTAGTAAGTGACACTCCATCGCACACTCGATAGCACTCTCAATTTGCATCTAGGTGTACAACAAACCTATCCCAAAATACCTTACCAGCCACTCGACACTACCATGGCCATCACACTCGCTCCGGATAGCAACGTGTATCATGTCACCAAGGAGTTCGGACCCGCCACCATGGGAGGCATGGGCACAGTGCTCACTGCCATGACTCAAGCACAATTACGCACTGGCAAGATACAGCCCAATGTTGTACTACCGTTTTACTCGTTCCTAAAGAAACAAGAACAATATCCAATCAAAAAGACAGTTGATCTAGTCATTACCTTTCGAGACGACCATCAGCAGCCTGTCAATGTCGAGTTTAAAGTGTCTGAAATGCAGTATGATTTTGAGCCTATATCCAACTTTAACACCTTGCCTGAAGAGGACAAGTTAGCCATCATGGCGGCCAGACAGACAAAACCCAAGATCAAGGTCTTTCTGATCGGACCTGGTAAAGTGGAACCGTTGCGCAAAGCATTCAGAGCAGGATCCATCACGCAAATCTACTCATCGCCCAAGGGACTACCGCAAGAATGGAAGGACCAGTATTTCACTAAAGCAGCAGCCTCCTTTTTGGTGTGGCGAGCTGCTGGAAAGCACGAGCAATCCCTGTTTGCGCCACTCACCTCACAACAGCCCAAAGTAGATGTTGTTCACTTGCACGGTGCCACAAATGCTTATGTCGCCAAATTCCTGTCTGAATACGAGGGCCAGTTGGGTGCTGCACCTCCAGCCATTATATACACCATGCACGACTATTTAGACGAACTACAATATACAAATACATTGCCCAATGTGGTGAGGTTCCTGAACACACCGAGACAAGGCAAGGATCTAAAGCAGGAAGTGCAGGATGTGCTGATGCCATACACATTTGGCAGCAACAAGATGTTCATGTCACCCATGGCAGTGGATATAGCGGATACAGTGACCTTTGTCAGCCAAACCATGGCCAAGGACATGGTGGAAGGCAAACTGGACTTTTACCTCAAGGAAGTAGTGATGGAGAACATTCTACGAAAGGCCGAGCGTGGACAGTTTTATGGTGTCAGTAACGGTGTGGATTTTGATGGCAGCGTTAATCCTTTCACAGAGCGCAAACTTGTGGAGGCTGGCCTGCACTACTCTGATTTTGCCCGTACGCTGATCAATGCGAAATTGGACTATGCCAATGACATGGCAGACGCCACAGTAGCCACAGCAGCCAAACATTGGAGTCTGTCTGCCTTTCATGCGGATTATGTGACCAATGCCAAGCAGAAGGCCAAGCAGTTTCTGGTAGATCAGGGCTTACTCTATGCTGCTGATGTAGACCGACCACTTGTGCTGTACGTTGGACGATTTCAATACAACAAGGGATTGGAGACGTTTGAAGACGCCGCTCGACTGTTTAAGCTACATGATATGAAATTTGCCATTATTGGACAACCCAACAATTACCCCTTGAGCTGGGTAAAACGACTGGCCGCTGGTGATCCCGAGAATATTGTGCTGATGACACATACCAGCGAACAACGCAAATGGCTCATCTATTTTAGAGCAGCAGCAGACTTTGTTTATGTGCCTAGTGTCACAGAGAGCTTTGGTTTGGTGGCAGCAGAAGGCCTCTTGTTTGGTTCGTCAGTTATATCTACAGGCACAGGTGGATTGGCAGAATTCCTGGTGGATCGACAACTGGACAGTGAAGCACCCAGCGAAATTGTTTCTGAGCAGCTGGTAGAGAGTCATTATCGATTCAATGCTTACTTGTTTGATGCACTAGCTACAACTGGAGACAAACAACTCTCACAAGCCATTATGAGAGCAGCAACGGATTATGAACGCATGCGAGGCATACCAGCGCTACATGAGACCTATGTGCTAAGAATGATGTTGAGTGCGTACAGCTTGGGTTGGGAAAGAGCCGGACCAGAGCAAGGACCTGTGTACGACTATCTACGCATCTATCAACAGGCGATATATGATAGACGATCCAAAAGCTCGTTTGCGCTGGCAGGCGATGATTTAGACGAGAGGAGATAAGCATGTGTATTTCAACTCAAACATCAATATTGTACATACTATATTAATCTAAATAAAGCTAATTACGTTCAAAGAATATCACAATCGCCGTGAATCAAGTATAGTCAACCTCTCCATCGACGTGCGATCAACATACACTGCCCTTGGTTCATATCCAAAGCATGTCTTTATCCTATAAGCCAAAGTCTCAACAAATATGAATTTATTCACAAAAAATTATATTACAAAGTGTATTATTATTGATTTAATGGATCAAGTATTTTTTTTAAGAGCACAACTATACAATACGTATTCTTCACAACTAATTATTGAGTGATGCAGTAGATGATGAAGCGGATGAAGTGGATGTGGAAGAAGCTATACGAAAGTTGGAGAACATGGTCTCTATGAAAGGCGTCAATTTCGGTCGTCTTCGAGTCATCATGACCAATTCTTGCTCGTATGGCATGAAGCACACATGACTATTGGGATTACGAGAGAGCACCTTGAGCAGTTGAGCGGCCACCAATGCCACACCTTGAATATCTGAATTATCGGTGAATCCTGGTAGATGAGAGTCTTTTACATGGGAAGACAGTTCGTTTGGATCTCTAAATGATGCATCGTCGCAATCAATCCACATGCAATTACTGGATGATGCCACGGAAGGTATATGGTCGTGCAAAACGTGGCTTTGCAGCAGTTGCTCATCATCAAAGCTCTGAGAACAGTTTGTCCATTGGCACATCAACTCGCTGCCTAAATGACAATCATGATGTGAGATTTTGTGAGAAAGGTGCATAGCACAACTTACCATCTTGCAGAATACACATCTTGACCTGCAGTCCACGAATGGTTGTGCCTTCCAAAATAGCGCCCTGCCTGCCAGGAGAGCCATCAATGGAACCTGTAGCAATGGGAAAAGCAATCTTCAGCACAGTGTAGAATTCCTTCATCCGTAAGGCCTTTTCATGGCCAAACCGCATCTCGTACAACAGATACATATCATCCAGCGACAACACGCTGCTTGCATTGGATAGTTCAAATTTGTCTTTGAGCCAACCTAAACAACGATACGGCTCATCCAGCTGCTGATATGAACTGAGATTGGGCACACAAGGCACACTGCCATGCTGATGTGTGACAAATAGCGAATCACCTGAGTTGGATCGTTGAGGTGAGTCCTGTTGGTGCACGATGAGAGGACGGAAGAACTTGCAGGGTGTCATGAGCAAAGAGACCATGATGCCAATATCTGCGCCATCGTGCAATGCCAGTAAATGCTGGCCAAATGAAATGGACTGTCGACTGTATTGAAACAGGTATTCCAAACTAACGCCTATCAGCTCTTCGTCGTTGGCAATCAAAAACTGTGTTATTCTGTTTGCCACTTGATTTGACGTGGGAAGCAGGTAGTGCAGGTTGGAGATCGAGTTGGATGCCAACATGGTGAGGATACGAATCGAGCCTAAAATGACGGATCGTTCCGTTGCACTCATCAGCAAGCTGTTGAGACAGCCAATGATGGAATCAAAGGGTCCTAATTCCACAAAAGGCGTCATATTTTCCAGAATGTCGATGCAATGGCTGTAGTGAGACGAGTTGGTCATGACCAGGCACTTGATCAGCATCTGCTTAAATCCAGCATGAGCCGCAAACACACGTGTGTTGGACTCGATGAACGAAAAGTTTCGAATAATGTGAAGGATTTTAAGGATGGTTGTATGAGAAATGGCATTATCTGGTTTCGAGAATAAGGTATCTTGTAGACATAGTTCGGCTTTTTGTAATAGTGCCTCTAGTAGTGCTGGATTCTCCACGAGAAGCAATTTTTGAGGACATTCGTACGAGATGGTGACAATGTTGTTGAGTGCCCATTCCACGTCTGACTGGCTGCTAGATTGCAGCGCAGGTATCACTCGTCTTTTTGCATTTTCGTCAAATTCGTTACCTGTACAGTGCGTCAGTTGATTCCATCCTTTAGCCAGGTACACTATTTAGTTTTTTTTTTTTTACCTGTTACACAGTCTGTGTCGGCTCCAGATTCAGTAGAATGAACGTGCTCAAACGGCTGTGTTTGATGATGTCTTTCTGAAATCTCACATCGATGCACTTCGTTCGTGGTGATCAGGTTGAAAGGCAATGCTGTGCTGGAGGTGCTTCGTTTGTTCGGTAGGATCAGAGTCTCATGAGCAGCCGACACTATGAAAACATGTTTGTTACACGACAGTTGAAAACTTTAAACTATAACATCATCCAGGAAACAAAAATACCATGATCATGGTGCTGATGGTTCTTGTGTTTGCATTTTCTATAAGTCTTTCCAGCAAGTGTTGATGCCTTGTGCGCTTCTGGCCCTTTCAGTTCTTCTGGCGGGACCCATTCCTTGCACCAAATCTGCTCTTCCTCCCAGCCCAACTGTGCAACATGTTGTTAATATGTGTAATCTTTAAGGTACTCACACATTGCATACCAGATTTCGGATGTAAAGGCCTTTCAAAATGTAGGCAGAATTTGTACATGTTGCTGGAAATTCAAACACTGCGCCTATTTGCTTCCAACTGCGTTTCTTGGTCACCTTGGTAGAGATGGTCAAATTTCAACACATGTCATCCACATCTTCAAATAAAGATTTACCTGGTCGAAACCGCCAGCAGTAACAACCTCTTGGTACAGTTTATACAAATCAATCTTTTTCCCTCCCAACACTGGTTCAGAGAGGAGCGTAGTGCTGTCATGACATTAGTTGAGTATATACGTTTGCAAGTGGCTGGCAAAACAAGTTACCCTTTGCGATTATGAAAGGCCTTCAATTCTTCAATGAAACAAACATAATCGTCTGTTCTCTCAATGGTATCGATGACTAGTTTAGACATTGGAAGAATAGCAGAGAATCAAAAAAGGTCCTCTTGACAAGTTGACTTGGCAATATCAGAAATATTTAAAGGAGAAGAAGAAGCACTAAAAAAATTCTAGATGAAATCCTTTGCTTTTTGATATCATTGTAGCCGATGAGGTCCTTCTTCCCTTTAAATTCCGCGAATCCCGTGATTCACCTGTTAAACGGGATAAAATGATGTGATCCATGGATCTACAGTAGAGTTACCAAGATGAGATCATGACAAATGACAGGCAATAGCTTGAGCTAGCAGGATGAGGTGTGTTCCAGGATACTTGAGCCAGTGTCTTCCTCTGGAGTCTCGACGAGCATTCTCAGGGATGTGTTCCTGTTGTATTAACAGCAACTGTATTTCTCAACATGTAACAGGGTCGACTCATTTAAATCTTTATAGCCCTTAAAAAGGTCGCTATTGCAATCACACTGCAGCATGGGCAAATCTTGCTCTTTCTTCATCATGCAAAAGCCGTTAAAATAACAAACAATGTGGGATGCCATCAAAGGTTGGTATTGACTGAGAAATGTTTCCTCTTTCATATCTATCCCTTAAAAGTCCATGTATGCATATATGAAATACTGGTTACAGACTGGCATTCAAGATATGAAACAAGGCAACATCGACCTGTTGACCGCCAATCATCACGAATAAAGCGCTATTGCTAGCAGGAGTAGATCAGACGAATGACTAGAATAGTATGACCATAGAGAGATGCCTCAAGAGATTACCATTGAGGGCCACACAACACGGTAGACTACTGGATCGAGCCAGAAGTGACATTCAGATTGGATCCAGGATACATTTGAGCATTTCATTCAAATTAAATATATCTACATGACATCTCATGTTGGCCGCACTACAGTCAACGGGTATCTGGCAAACGCTCGCCAATCTAGCCAGAAAGCTGCAGTTGCATGAGTACAATGTTACATGATCGTCGTGTGTATCACTATTGTCTATGCATTCACCGTGAGCCAAGTGTGGTTGTGATTGCAGGACTGCTCGCTTTTGGTCTCCCCCTCAAAATGCAAGCAATTCAATACACTACTGTCGTGTGTATTTCTATAGAATAGTATCAGATTCTTCTTTTTTTCCTCTCTCTCTCTCTTTCTTTCTTTCTTTCTCTCTCTTTTTTCCTACAGTGAATTCGACTCATCTCTTCCTTTGTTGTCTACTCCTTGTTTTCCTTTTAAAATAGACACAGCGCTCTCATCAATGGAACCCTTTCACAAGCAACAAGAAGCTACAGCCAAGACAACTTCACCTCTATTACTACATGCGGAAAAACAACAACAACAACAACAACAACAACAACAGCTATCACCTAGAGTGGAATCCATTCAGGACACAAACTATATAGGCATCACAATAAACGACGATGGGCCACGACAGACATACACAAACGGCCTCACACGACATCAGTCCTTGAACGACTATTCGACCATTCACAAACAGCACTTTCATCACTCTCGAAATTCGTCTATTCCCTTTGATACCACAGCGACAGCTGCTAATACAAACATAACGACTTCTACAAGTAGCACGTTAACCAGTTCCATTGATTCCCCTCCTATTTACCACCAACACCATTCACCTCGTTTCAGTCAAATTGTGGAAGAAGAAGAAGCCGCAGATGCAGGTTACATGATACAACCAGAGTTATCGGGCGCTTTTCTCAAAATCAAGAGCCAGGCTGATTTGCCAATGTCGCATCATCGCAGGGCGAGAGAAGGAAAACGATATGGGGTAAGCATGCTGCAGACACAAAGACGAATTCATTCTTAAACTAGCCTTATAGCCACTGTATATGCTCACCACAGAGCTCAAAGCGACCTATCAAGCATGCAATGATGGCTTTAAATACAATGCAACAAACAATCCTCGTCGAGTACTGACCAAACCAAGCAAAGCATGTCGAAATGACGGATTTGATAACGACGATTTTGATTACATTCTCTATGTCAACGATATCCTCGGCAGTGCAGAGGGTCACAAGTAAAGTGATGACATTTGATGTAGTAAATTAGAGCAGAATACTGATGGAACTATGTATTGGGTAGGTATTTGATATTGGATGTGCTGGGTTCAGGTACTTTTGGACAAGTGGTCAAGTGCAGAAATACCAAGACACAGGAGATTGTCGCTGTAAAGGTGGTCAAGAACAAGCTGGCTTATTTCAAGCAGAGCATGATGGAAGTGGCTATATTGGAGATGGTGAGTTATGCACATACCGAGCTATGCTATTGCTTATTCTGTTTTACAGTTGAATCAACGATACGACGAACATGACCGACACCACCTTTTGCGACTAAGAGATACGTTTATCCACAAAAAGCACCTGTGTCTCGTTTTTGAATTGCTCTCAGTTAACCTTTATGAACTGATCAAGCAGAATCATTTTCGTGGTTTATCGACAAACCTTGTTCGAGTTTTCACAGCACAAATTTTGGACGCACTGACTGTACTGAACGAAGCACGCATCATCCACTGCGATTTAAAGCCTGAAAATATACTACTGAAAAAGTGAGATAGACATTACAGGCAAAAATGCACGTGTGTATTCACACCTTTGTGTTGTAGTTTGGAATCACCCACCATCAAAGTAATTGATTTTGGATCCGCATGTCATGAAGTGCAGACAATGTACACCTACATTCAGTCGAGATTCTATCGGTCGCCTGAGGTGCTAGTAGGACTACCTTACACCAGTGCCATTGACATGTGGTCGTTGGGGTGCATAGCTGCGGAACTGTTTCTGGGGCTTCCCTTGTTTCCTGGAAGCTCAGAGTACAACCAACTGTCGCGGATTGTAGAGATGCTGGGGACTCCACCAAATTACATGATTGAAGTAGGCAAGAATGCGCACCGTTATTTTGACAGAGTGCCCGCAGCCATGGACAAACGATACGAGCTGAAACCACTGGAAAAGTACGCTCGAGAGCAGGGCAAATCAGAGCAGCCATCCAAACGCTATTTCTCGGCAAAAACACTACCAGAGCTAATCAACTCGTATCCCATCATGCGAAAGACGCAAATGACACCAAAAGAAGTCGAAAAAGAAAAGCAGAATCGGCTTGCATTCATTGATTTCCTGCAAGGATTGCTCAACTTGAATCCAATCGAGCGATGGTCTCCTCAGCAGGCTAAAAAGCATCCGTTCATCACAGGCGAAAAGTTTACATTTCCTTTTCAACCACCTTTTATTCCTCGCAAGCAGCACCACAACTTGCCTTCGCCCTCTTCCACTCATTTGCAACAACAACAGCAACAACAACAACAGCAGCAGCAGCAGCCTCAGCAGCCGTCCCCTACCCTATTGACAAGTGGATATCGAAACAACAACGTGCCACAACCGACATATTCTGACAGCTACTTGAATCCTGCTTATTCCAGTCTACCAAGCCATTACGAGAGCAATCATAAGCACATGGGTACTAACAACAACACTAGCAGCAAGAGGTCATCTTATATACCTCCACTACCAAGCGTTCTTGAGCCTCCTCACCACACCATGTATCAGCATGATGTGGTTAATACCAGCAACGGGTACATGCACTCTCAGCCACAGCAGCAACGACATCACCATCAGCAGCAGCAGCAACAGCAGCAGCAGCAAACACAACACCATCTACTGGCTCAACAGCAATCCACGCCTTTGCATTCAGCCATGAATATTCCCTCTACAGCAAACAATTACAATGGTATAGTCGATGAAAATGCCGTTGGAGGTGGAGGTAGACCAAGGGCGAGCACATTAGGTACAATGCAAGTACCGCCTCAAATTCAGTGGGCAGCTGTGGACCATGGGGATGGTACTGTAGCTACGGAGGGGTCGTTATACAGCCCCTACTATCCATACGGGCAACAGCCTCAACAACAACAACCTCAGCAACAGCACCACCATCAATCACAACTTTCAGTGCACTACCTAAAAGATAAGGATGAAGATCACAGCAATGGTATTCTACCAAGGTGGGGCAGCAACAATCGCCAAACGATTGATTTGGAAAGAGATGGAGATTGGCTAGAAGATGCACCTATATTACCGTTGACCAATACCAAATCTGCACCTCATCATACTCGTCAAACGCATAGACGTAGCAACAGCAGCGTTCATTTCTCTGATATACCTTCATCACTATCCACCAATCCCTCTGCGCATCATTCAGGCACTCGATCTAGTGTCTCTAGCTTACATCGTCTCATGCGAGGTAACTCGATACCCTACAGCAGACAGGACTTGGAGTGGGACGGTGTGGTTCAGCAGCCCACATTGCCTCTAGTGGCTCCTTCTCTTCCTCCTCCTAACACTCAATCTCAAATGGAAAATGATTTGGATGATGTGGATCAATGGAAAAAGGACCAAAAGGACTGGATGATCGCCTAATTTTTTCTTTCCATAGTCGTTTTGTCTTGGATACAATGCGCTAGAAAATAAAGCTTTAAAGTAATCATGGAGATGTATAATAAGCTTGGTTGGTATGCTCATGCCGCTTTGCAAGGACTACAATAACGGAGCAAGCTACATCATTTAGCGTTAATAAACAAATAGCATTACAAGACTAGTTTGGATCATGCTTAACATCAATGCTTGAGGAACATTAAATTCTTAATGAAAGCCAGGGCGCACTACCCTCAATTGTTGATTTTAACACGACCAGCAGTTTGAAGCTCAAGGAGTTGTTGACTGAAGCTGATTCATTATCAAAGTAGAAATTACTCTATTAGAAAATACAATCTATTAATTAACTGAATAGTGTTTATTGGATATTCATATGATTTAGAAAAGACAGCAATGACTTTTTCTTGATGATAGATAACAACAACTAGTAAAGCTTTTTGTGTTTTTTTATACGGATGTTTGACTTGAGGTTATTGAGGACACTATGGAGAATGAGTAATGAGGAAAGATAATATAGTAAAAATGAACAGTTTTCAAAGGGCTGTACCGCTGGATTTCACTAAGAGAATGCGAGCCTAAAGCTTAATAACTTCTGTTTCTTTTTTTAATTCTCTATACAATGGTATAGTTTTTATAGAGAAACAATAAAATTTTTGAAAAGCCTCTGCTTGTAGCTCATAAAATGTACGGTTTTCAGCAGATTTATGAAGGGAATGTACACCTGGTACTTACTAAAACCCTTGCATAATAGTGGATATAACGTAGAGCTATCGAATGGTCTTTGTCTTGTGCGAATTGAATGATTATTTGTCGAGATACGGCCAAAAAAGGGTATCATGCAAAATCATGGATTTTCCTTCAAAGTCTGCCTGTGATAGCAAGCAAAAAAATTGGTGACGATTTTTGGTCAGGGCAATATTTTCAATATTTCATGATAGAGTCATGTTAGAGCTTCAAGCAATAGCTTATTCGATAAGAAAATTTTTGGTCTACAATATTTATTAATGCTTAACAAAATGTTTTGATGACAGATACTGATTAATCTTTAGAAAACAGTGAAAAAATTGCAAAATTTATCTCATCAAATATCGATTGAACAATGTACACCAGACACTTGATATAGATATCATTGTATTCTCCTTGCAATTCTCTACAAGTTCTATATAAGTTTGAAGGGGTGCTTACTCTCAAGAAATGCGTAATTTTAAGGTCGATAGATTTTGGAATCCCATGGACCATCATTCAGAACAATAAAGATTGAAGCTCCGCTGACCTTCTGCACGTGTACACCACACAATTATGAATTTGACCAAGCATTTTAAAAATCGGAGCGTACGAAAAGGGCCATATTAACTTGCTGGTTTTAAGTTATCAATAGATACCTGACATGTTGAAGAATTTGGCTTTTTTCAAGACTAGATAGCTGTAGCTTGCTTTATTCAAGAACAATAACTTTTACAATTTAATGTGTGTATATTCCCCCTGTTAAGTACAAGGAAAAAAAGGATTATAATTTGTAGCTTATAAAAAATGTTCGATATGACAGAAGCTAGACAAGACTTATTTGAATAAGATCAGACACAAAAACTAAAGATTTATTGATGAAGACAAGGGTTATCCTATTTATACTAAGTTCTGAATGCCAAAGTAGCAATTTATCTTGTACAACGCTTATCACATCTGGTGAACCTCAGCATTTAGATAGCTGAGATGCACTTCAATTATCATAGCTTGTCTGTGTTGTTGCACAACACAGACATATCTACCCATCAAGAATACCTTAATCTTTATAGACAGTTGTACCCCTTCTGGCACAACATTATCCACTTGATTCTCTCTACAATCATCATTATCGCACTTACAACCACAGTAACACAGATATGACAATAGATCAAATCACATGTAATAACTGATATCAACAAGGTAAAATAAGAAGAAAAGATAAGTTTTTTTTTATTTCAAATGTCTTGGAAGGGCTATTTATATTATATTCAGAAAATTGGAAAGGATAGAATGTGTTTAGGTTGACATTGATATTTATTGTTTGCGGTTATAACTATCTTTTAGATGGATGGGATGTTTAGGGTGGTGAATTGAAATAAGAGGAATGCTAAATTGTGGCTAGTCTTGGATTGTGGTGTACTGAAAGTGCATGCTTCTATTGTAGGGTGAGGAGATGAATCCAAATTGCGAGCTGTCAGCAAGCCTCGTCCACCAACTTCTTGACCATGATTGGCTCTTCAAACCTATTAAAAGAAGCAAGACTTTCTGTGACCGACATGACTCAAGACTAACCTTCTGTAACAGGAAATAAGCTATATTTTTTTTATCGTGTCACTACAATAGATTCAATCTCCCTAATGTCACGATGTCGAGATCCGCCTACACTACATGAAACATTTCGACTTAAGCGGCCTTTCAACAAGCTATACCAACAATCCATAAGGCCCCAGTAGCCTGCTATTTATATACCGTCTCAACGTAGTAGTCATTGACCAGGGATCTATCATATTTAAGCTAGTTAGATGCCCTGTAATAAAGAAACTCTTTGCTTTTCGTTCTAGATACAGTTGACAACTGATTATTATCATCGACTTATTATTACGAATTCATTAGGGGGGCTGTATGTATGAGGAAAGCCTTGTGTTGGAAAGGATGTGACGCTATTAGCGAATGAGTACATAAGAAAGGAAGTTCTGTTGTATAAAAGTAATTTTTAGTGGAGGAACCTGAGTATTTCAAATATGTGTAATTTACTTGCTTAATGACACAACCTAATACATCCTCTTTTTAGGTCGAATCTTTTTCAAAGCTACTAGCCATTATCAAGCACGAATAGCTCATGCTACAAAGCGATGTGAACGCTCGGAATAAGGCAAAACGGCTCTCTTTTGATACGCCTTGTTTACTGATGCATTATCTCAAAAAATTTTAAGCCATCGCAAATCGATGAAAATCGTCATTTTTCCACAGCTCTTACACACTACTGTACTCAAAAAGAATTGCATGTGCCACTACAGAAGTGAGTACTATTTTTACTCATTCAGAGTTATATATTTTTCCATTAATACTTGGGAGATTTTTGTACCAATGACAGATGATATCGAAATCACATGTGATATTAAAATCCAATGCTGTTGGGCTTAATAGGCCCTGCTGCCTATCCATGACTGCCTATACATGACTGCCTATAATACGTTCTGCCCTCTACTATACCTTGCTGCCAATTGTTTATTGATCGCAATCATTGGGGAATGCCTCCTAAATATTATTTGATCCCAATAGGCTATCATGCTTTCCACAACTCACTTGTACCCCACGCTACTAGTTGCGCTTCGTTTAGCTTTCTCTTTCGACTAACGCAGAAGCTTCTTCCCTTAACTATATTGCCCTGCCTGCCTATCTAATCCTAGCTTCATTCTCTACGCTGCATTATTTTCGTAACAATAGTTTCAAGCATGCTGCTATTGACAGTTTTTATCAGTAGTTTGTTTTGCGAAGGCATTTGATGCGCAACCTCCTCGAAACATTGCAAATAATTTTGATGAGCACACATCAAATACAAATTTCTGATTGCAGTCAACGCAAAGTAATTTCATCTGCTGGTATGTGATTCAATAAATTGGTGTTCAGAAAAGAGCACAAACATCTTCCCCAACTGTGTAACTGTGTAGGTTGTGGAACAATCGAGTTGACTCACCAAGTACTCTTTGTAAGGAAACCAGCATCACTTTTCTATATTCGTCCGCTATTCATCAAATGTTGAAAAACGACGCAGCTTATAAAATTGCTAAGAGAGCCAAGAAAGCCACAGGAGAAGAGGCAAACAAGGAATAAAACAAAAAGGTCTTCAAGAAAATGCCAACGAATGCAGAGGAGATAGCCTTGAAGAAAAAAGACCAAAAAGCACGCAAACAACGTAGCCGCTCTACAACAAATTCTCAGTTTATGAAGAAGAGCACAAAGACTGCACATGCGAAAGCCATCAAGTACATCAATGGGCTGGAGAAACAGAATAGGCAAGCTGTAACCCAGCCTAATGCTTCGCTGAATGACAACACTAGACAACTTGTCCACGCAAACGGAGCTGTGGAATTTGAGGCTTGATAGACTAAAATTTACGGAAAAAAAAGAATAAAAAAAACAGTAATGTCAACTTGATAAAGGTATGTTTTATTATCAAACTGACAGGTGTCAAGTAAACTGAAGTCTCTCTACTGGCCAGGTAGATAATCCTTCTTATATACTATAACAATGGATAAAAGTTCTATTAACTAGATTGACAAATAAGTCAACTCAGATCAACTAATGTCTAATCATGCTAAAAGACAACTCCAGCAAGCTAATCATGATTTAGCTCTGTCTGGATGAATAATTAGACTCTCATCCGAAGTACCCTGATCTATCCTTTCCATAAGGATAATTAATATTGATCTAGTAGCATGTATCCGATAGGTACAGTCTTCTTAGTCTATATTAATAGTACATATCTGAGTGTATATCGCTAAGCATACATCTTTAGCATGTATCTGGATATATGGCATGTCTATAGCATATCGTATGCATGTCTATAGCATGTCTCATATATAGTACAAGTCTGTAGTACATAAAGTATCTGTAGCTAGTATCACGGATATAAGCATGTGTCTTATAGCGTGGATCATAAAGTGCACATCTGAAGCAACAAGCTCATATTGCATTAATCTTGGTGCCTATCCAGATATGGTAAACATCCGTAGTCAATGTCGGAATACAAGTATAAGTCTATAGTGCCATCCATGTCCGTGGTGCCATCTATAGCCTATATCTTATATAGTATGAATCTTATAGTACTAGCGTATCTGAAGTCCATATCTTCTTATAGTATAAATCGATATCGTGCATCTAATCCAGCGTACATACAGTTTATATCTAAATCTGGTAACTGGATGATGAACTGTCGGAATGCAGATCATAGTGGATGTATTCCAAACTATATATTATCT